CGAGGCTGCTTTTCTCTCAGAATTACGGGGACCGTTATTCTGAGTCGATTTTGCGGCTTTAACGAAGTTCATTGTTCTGCCCATAAAAGACAAATTTGTAATGATCAAGGTCAGCGCTTTCTAATAGAAAAAAGGCGAGCCCCATCCGGCACCATTTCAAAAGTAAACGCAACTTCATAATGCGAGATAATCAGCCGGATGGCGCCACTATTATTCAAAAACTGTAAGCCGGAATAAAAATTTGTTAAAAATTTACAGCTGCGTGGCATAATTCGCCGCGCCAGCGCAAACTTTGATTTTAAACCACAACACCGACGCGCGTTGTGTTCTGCTTTTTGTTGAAAAGTGCGAATTTATATAGATAGAAGAACCGCTTCTGGGTTACCATCAACACCTGTGGTTTTATCCGACTCATTCGGTAGCTCAATGAAAAGATCTGTTTGATCGTAAAATATTGTGTGTGAGAAATTGTGGAAATAAGAGTAGTTATTATCAAACCCTAACGGGCCTTGGCGGCCTAGCTTTAGTTTCATGAAGTTTTGCTCCCATAACTTATGGCCCAAAATTAAAAGAAAGGGGCCAGATAGATGGGGTCTGTCAATCGAGCAGGTCTTGTGGATGTCTTGCTTCTTGTAATTTTTACTGATTTTATTTGAGTTTTCCTAGAAATTAGTTCGGAAAAAATGATATTGAAGCGAAACAAGATAATATTTATAAACTGACTCCTCCTGTTCGTATTCTTATATTGTTATTCTTGTTATTGCTACTTGCAATACTTTATGAGAGTATCGGGCTCCTCACAGTCTGAGATGATTTACTTCTGCAAGCTTGTTTACGAAGAAAAGGACCCGGACAAGGATTACTTTGGAGTGGCCAGGGGACGTATTGTTTAGCACTAATCCGCCCGGGACAAGACACACTAGAATGCCACGAACAAGCATGTACGTTGGCTTATTAATTTGAGTAATTTTACATTTGTTATCCGAAATCAACACAATTCGAAATAGGATTCCGACTTCCGAAAAATACACCTCACCACCATTTTCTACTTCATAAACAAACTGCAATGTTCAGCTCAAAAAATCATAAATCAATTCTTCTGTCGCTCACTTCAAGCTCCCTGACCTCATATGCTGTCAATATAATATCCCATATCATAATGTGACGCGCAAATTTTCAAATATTGAAAGGCTCGTTAGATAAGTAAGGTCACATTCTGGCTGGAACTTAGTTCTGTATTTCGCACTCGAGATCTTTGAGTGCTCTTTTTTTTTGGTTCTGTTTATGTTCAAGGGTGATTTTACAATAAATAAAGTACGAAATTTGTTTGAATTTGTTACAGCTCAAGGCGTTACAAGAAAAAAGCCCCTTTCCGATCCCTTTTTTGAAGGATTCTTACCTGTTTTCTTCTTGAAGAGTGTCACGCGGCGAATTTATCTGCTGAGTTGTGCTAGTTATCTGAATTGTATTTGGCTGAGTGAGGTGTGAAGCCTTCTTCTGGGCTCTTCTCTGAAGCCGAGCCAAGTTCCTTTGGCAGGAATCCTAGTGCGGGCTTTGCAGCTTTCGGAACCAAGGGAGGCTGCTTCAACGACACTAGAATAAAACTGGTATTTTGAAAAAGTTGTCAAAGCTTTTTTGGAAGTTTTCCTTTTATTTTCCGTGAGAATTTTTGAACCAAAGAGAAATTAGTCTTTCTAACCGTTTAAATTTACTAAGACTGAACTTATTGAATTCTAAAAGCACAATGCATTGATAGAAATAGTAGCAGTTTCAGAATTCTGATCTCGTAGTGTCTACAAACGAGTCATTATCACTAAGAAGCGAACCCTTCATGCAGGGCGTACTTAATTCTGGTCTAAAATTTACCAAAGCTCTTGAAAAGAGATTTTCACGGGAACATGGGCCCCACTAACCATGATGGTTATTCATCAGAATTCTTCAATGAAAATCAGCTAGTTTTTCTTGCTAATTGGGAGTTTTGTTCAATAACTATTAACTGAAGTGAGGGAAAAACGAATCGATTTTTGATGAATTAAAACTTTTTGTAAGTAATTATTCAACTTTATAAAAGCTTTATTTAGATCACTGAAGTAAAGGAATAGGGACCTAGAAACGTTCTAGATCCCGGGATCACGCTTCCTCTGAGTTTTTAAACGATATTTGCTCAGTAATAAATCACAATGTTGCTCTCACCTTGTTCACTCGGGCGACGGGCTGCTTCGTTAATCTCTTTAGGCTTCTTCAGGCGCGTGCCTAAATTTTTGCAACGAACAGCTCGTGCAACAGGATCGGGTTCAACCTTTCAATCACCTGTGGTGGTACTTAATGAACCGCAGGACAGGGGCTCGGACAAAAGCTTTCGGTTTAGATTGGCTTGGTTGGCGGCTGCGGCCAAGGGCACACGCCGCCCCTTAGCGCCACCATACCCATCAATCATCACACTTCTTTTCGCTTTTTCGAGTCGGGCACACCGCGAAATAATGCCTACTGGCGCACCAGAGCGCCAAATCGACAGCCAATCATAATATCGCATTTAAATCGTATTCGAATATAAGAAAATATTATTATGTAAAATCTAGTATTTTAAAGCCACCTTAGAAAATTAAAATCTTGCTTTATTCAATTTGAAAAAGTTTTTCAGAAAAACTCTAAATTTAACAAGTAAAAATGCATGATAAAAGGTGTTATATGAGTTCCCTCCAAGAAATTCCAGCTGTCACTACCCCTAGCACCGCAAAAATTCCAAGCTAAGACATTCCTGCGGTCGTATCAAATATCAGAGCAGTTTGCGGTCAAGAACTCGCTTGGAAAGCGAAATCTCTTCCCTTTTTTAATTTTATAAATTCAAAAAGGTGTTTTCTTTGGAACTTGTGATTGTGATAATAGGTTTAGTAGAAGCTTTAGGTATTGATCTAAGTTTAAGTGGCGAGGGTGGACTAATTGGGTGATTAATTTAAAATCCAAACTGTTCTTCATTAAACACTAGCATCTAAGAATCGATCAAAGCATCAATAGAAGAATTGGAATCATTTGTGTGCCTAAAAATGCAAGGAACACCTCTCCAAGTCGTAAACAAGGCGGGGATCAAAGGGCTATTTCGCTTAATAAATATGTATCAACGTGTCGATAATATGTGGCAGAAAGAAATGGTGAGCCGGTGACCGCAGCCTTTTCCCAGCCCGCTGCGCAAATATGGTCACTCGAATGATCCCTGCCCTAATCACCGAAACCTCATAAAACCCCTTCGTCGCCCTTGATCTCCTTATCAACCAGCGTATTTGGCAAAGGCTTCAAATCCTGCTCGTTTCCGCCTTCCAAATCCCAGCTCAAAAGTTCGCTAAAGCCCTTGAATCAGCGAAAATCTCCCTGGACAAATTCTGAGAATGATCGACCGTCTAGGAAATTCCCTCAGATTAGATTTACGTTTGGGCACACAATGTCACATGCGGCTGGATGGAAGCGGCGCAGCTGTTTCAACGTGAAAGGGCGTAAAATGGTAAAGTTGTAAATTATCATCAAATTGCATGATATTTTTATTTTAGCTATTTGAGCTGAGCCGCAGCATCAAAAAATGCAGATAAAAGTTTTAGTCTCGATCGGACGATCAGACTAGATCAGTTTCAAGAATTTTGCAAATAGAAGTTCATGAATGTCTCCTGTCACTGAAAATGTAAAAACTAAAAACTGCGGTATGCATTTCGCCTCCATTGCCAAACCCGCAAGAAATTTTTTATCTCCAGCTTGAGTCCACCGCAAACGGAGATTTAAAATTCTCGATTTGAGCTCCATTTTTTTATCCTCAACAAAATAGAACTCGCTCGTGGAGCCTCCTAACCTCATGATGTTTTTGATAAGAATTTCTGACTTATATTTTCAACGGTTTAAATTTATCATTTGACAAAAGATTTCAAAGAATTTTTTTAATCTTTTCAAATTGTTTTGAATTCTGCTGATTGACGAAGCCTCCAGTCGACCAGTTCCTTTGAACATGATCTATTTTTCAAAACAACTTGACTAGGCCAATTTCTCAACGATAAACGGGAGACTCTGAGACCCTCGCTCGCCGCAATTAATCAAAATTACCAACGCCAATAATGAGCATCGAAAGGTCGCACTACTGTTAAAATGTTACCTGTCAATTTACAGGACTCTACTGTTTCCTCAATCTTCACATGAACCTTTGACCTTTCGTCAAAATTTTCTGCTAATAGATTTTTTAAGTCGGTCCAGAATTAGGATTTTTAATGAAGTGCCTATTATTTTTTCTTATTGCTAGAATCGATTTTCGAGTTCCTAATTCGCAGGTGCCCGAGAGGCACTGTACTCGAGGTCCAGTTTTCAGATATTTCAAAGGAATAATTAATTGTCTCCTAAATTGATTTGACGATGGATGTCTGTGTCCAGTTTTGATGTGGGAGGAACCTGCGGCGCGAATTCGTCCCACAGCATAATAAACCTTCAAGTTGAGCCCGCCGCGCGTGAAATTTGCCCAAATCAACAAAGAAGATGGCCTTGGACAATCACGAGAAAAATATTCAAGGAAAATCCAAAGTTCGCGACGAAAGAAAACATGGTGAACTGGCCCATTTGTCGTGGTATTTATGCATCGATTCTATCTGAATACGTAATTGTGATCTCATAAAAACTAGGGAGAACAAATTCCAAACGAATATTGATCAACGATCTTCTGACCTAAAAACAGTCATCTCCGTGACTTTTTAACAGACAAAATAGTGTTGAATGCAGTTACCGAGTTTATTATCTTACTATTTTGGCTCGATTCCGTGGACTAATCTGTAGCATAAGAAGCTATCAGCGGTCGACATTTGTGGTCCAGCACTGACCGCATTCTTTCCAAGCTTATCTGCTGGATAATCTTATAAGACAGGTACAATTTTGCCGCTTTATTTTTTGTTCCGAACGCACCAGGAATGAAATTTATTTAAAATAATAAGTGAATACGGAATTTTGAACTTTCAAAGCAGGCAAGATAAGAAAAGTCAGTCGACTTTTATATTCTCGTCGTCGGACTCGATCTCCTAAAAATAAATTATTCAAAATACTCTATCGCTTACGAACCTGTGAATAATCAATAAGCTGCTCAAGAAACAGCCGCGATCTCTGAAGACAAGGCCAGTATTTCCCTAAACTTAAGGTAAACCAAACCAGGGGGGGTTCAAAGTACCTTGAGTGTGAATAACGGAAATGATGGTTTCCCGAACTTCATCGCGTAAAAAAGGTTTGCGTTTTAACTTCTGAAAAGCTTCCTTTTGGGAAACTGCTGTTCGCATATTGAAGGCAATGCGAGCTGGTAGTGCGGGACTTTCAAGGCCATTGAAGATGACAACGACTTTTTGTGCGGCGATTTGTGAAATTTCACCCATTAACCACCCATAAACTAAGTTTTCGTATAAGATTCGAATCGATATTTTTTTCAGTCTTACGTTCAGGTGAAGTTCTTTCAAAGTAATTGGAGAAGTTTGTATTTACAATGACCAGCTGAAATGCCTTTGAAATCAAGGAAGAGTACAAGCGTTACCTCAGGTTCAAACTCAACCATCAGTGGTAGAAGAACAACATCAGCTACGACTTTGATGTCATCATCACTAACATTGTCAGGGAGCGGAACATTGAGATTGAAGCCCAATCCAGTACCTCTCCCGATTTCTTCGATCTTCTCTGGGGTTCCCTGACTTCTATGAAATGAGACTGTCAGGACGTTAGGATCGGAGTAGAAGATGCTTTGAGTGCCGCTGGCATGGGTTTCGGCAAGATCGAGGACGAGAAGTCTGAAGTTTGGTCGCTGATCAAGCAATGATTTTACGGCGATCGCGATAGAGTTGAAGGGAAAATCGGGCGAGAAGTCCTTTTCGGCTTGAACACCAGAATTGCTGACGAAAACAAAGCCGTTTCTTAGCTGATCGACTCCTACCGCGACGACTGTGTCAACGATACCCTAAGAAAAATGAAGATCTTGTCTTAATTGGAGATTTACCGAGAGACTATGGAACTGGGATGATTCCTGTTTTTCCATTGCAAGCGGCGAGACTGAGAATTTCGAAGAAATAAGCTTCTCCGAGTGGACTAAACGCAATTCATCTTTACTTGGAAGACGAGGCTCAATCTGAAAGAAAGATTTAAAAGAGATACACTTTATAATTTTACCTTGTCAAGAAGAGATCTCTCCGCCATCGACCAAAATATATTTTCAAATGCCTCAACGTGATCATTATTTCTTTCCGCAAAGAAACCAGTTCTTCGCTCAAGTGGTGTTTGATAAGAATTCAGTCTGCTTGATCGTTCAATTTGGAATCGATTACAGTTCAGACTCAGTTGACTAAGATTTGGTATCATCTGTGGATTCTGTCTAAAGCCCCCAAGTTCTCCATTTTGTCCTGGCAGCGTGAATCCGGGCCCAAAAGATGCAGAATATTGAGAAGGATCTCGCCTAGAAGATGCCCAGTTTTTGATGTCTTCTCCAAGCGTGGGTACAGAATTCGCGCGATAGAAGCGATTCCGTTCGACTTGACTCGCAAGAAGAGCCTGGATAAGATAGGGGCTTTTTGAAGCCATGTTGGACTCGTCATGGCTTGTTTTTCTGTTCGGTGGGTGGTGACTGTGAGGATGTCCAGAAGCGATGTCGGCAATGTTAGGAAGACTTGGGGAAGAAAACATTCCCGAGGAAGAACAAGCAGTGGCGGCAGAAGATGATGTGCTTGGATAGATTGTACTCGAGCTAGTAGATGTTGGCGAGGCAGATGTAGGAGACTCAGTTGCTGGGGGACTCGTATGAGTTTTATTTTAAAGCTTTCGTTTTACCTGAGATTTTTCTTCGAATGCGCTCATTCAAGATCTCGTTCGCGCCGGTTTTCCTTGTTAGCATAGGCGAGTGTCTCCGGTCAACCTTAGTTCTCAGCTTCGATCGCAACTTCAGATTAGGCTCCGACACTAAATCCGATTATTGAGCATTGATGTCACAAAGATGCCCAATTAAGACCACGAGATTAGAAAGGGTGTAACTATTTTGGGCTGATCTGCGTCACTTACTAGCTTTGCGAAGAGGGAAATCTTCGCCATTCGTAGGTATCATCTTCCGTTTAGCGAGAATAACCTCTTTTATACGGATATCGAATGAACTTTTTTCGAAGAAACTTTAGATTAAAAGATTCTATCCAATTCCCTTGTAATCTTCGTTTTACAGCGGCTGAAGCATTTGCAGACTGCTGTTCAGTTTCTTTTGCCCTAATTGATTGTTAAAAAATTTGAGATTATTTCAAAACCTGATTGCTTCAAGTTCTTTTTGTCTGGCATTCTGGTTTTCGAGCATGTTCTGCCGGTTCGTATGTTGTTCGATCATGGACAGTAAAGCCTAAAAATAGCGCTGACGTTTCTTTTGTTATCATAGGATTTATTATTTAAAATAAATTAACGAGACTTATGATGCTTCCGGTCAAGGTGGTCTTTATCGTTTTTCATTGTGTACGATTTTCCGAGTTTCTATTTTTAGCGCTTCAGACAGATTGTTAATTACTTTTCACGGTTTGTTTGACGTCAATTTTTGCTTATTTCATAAAAGTGGCGACATAAATTCTGAGGCCCGAGCGTTCAAATTTAAAAAGAAGCAAGCACAAGTTTGAAAAAAACTTGGCAAAAATGACCGTATAATGACCGGATTCAACACAATAAATAGACGTCAATAGTGAATTTAACTCTATGGGATCAGGTTTATAGCACCAACAATTAGCAGTACACTTCTGACGTAATTTCGGCGAATTTTATTTATGCTGAGCGACACTTGACATTCAATAAATTCAATTATGATCACTTTCATAATGGGAAATGGCCTTTTTACATAAATTCAAATAATTATATACATTTGCGGTATAAAATTTCTTAATCAGTTATCTTCAATCACATGAGAAATGAACCCAAAACATGCCTTGAATTTTCACACCTAGAAATGCGTCTACCCGTTCCCGAAATGTCAGATTTGATACCAGTTAACTATTTTTGTGAAAATTCTTTGCCAGAATGGATCGACTTCAAATCCCGAGTCACCTTTTGAATCTACTGTCTCAGTTCCTTCTTTGGAAAATCAAACATTCCTACCTGTTGTCGAGCAAAATGCATAGCTTCGTTGATCACATGTTGCCTTATGTATTCCGATTCGGCGGTTGCTGAAATTTTTTATAATTGAAATCATGGAAGAGGACACCAGAAATGCGCAGTCTAACTACTGTATAAAATCTTTCATCTGATGAAAGAAGAGCTAAGCTCTATGTATCAGCGATAAGTTATCACTTCGCCCTAAAATAGACCTGCACAGTCCAGTCACTAGAATGACATCATCTATTATCGAGATATTTAACTGCAGATTTTCAAAAAATATGCACATTACCTTGACTTGCGTTTCCGTTTGGACACATTCGGAGGACGCCGATTCTTTCGTGATTTTCAGGGCTCGATGATGAATTGAATATTATTATAGTTGAGTTCAGGTGTAATTAAAAAGTTGGTTAAAATGAGCGTGTTTTATGGCTTGTGAACGTCAGAATTCACTAGACTCTTTGGCGCTGATCATCTTCTTTGCTTTTGCGCGAAAAATGTTCAACAAATTAATTTATGAAATGCTTGTGCAAATCTGTGCTGGCTCGATTCTTTCAACTCATTCCTAACTGTCATTCTGGCGCATTCCTCCGTCAATCGAGGTTGCGCCCTGATCGGCCTTTCTCTACCCGAGTTCGAAATTTTCTTTGTCTTCCTTGATTTCTCTCGTTTTTTTCAGCTGTCAGATTTTTCTGTCTTTTTCTTTACACTAGTATTTGCTCGTGAGATTTCGGTAGGTGTTGATGTTTGTTTTCAAATATGTGAGGGATTGTCTCGAGGGTAAGTGTGTGGCTCGATGTGAGTGCCCTAAACGAGGATGGACGAGGAGGATTATTAATAGAAAAAGCGCGATTGAGTGAGAAAAGTCAGAAGTCGACGAGTGGCCCGCCCAGAGCCTCAGTGTCGAACAGCGCCTGAAAATACGCAGCCCTAAATAGCCAAAAACGCTAAAAATCGCGACGCCGATCCAAGATAAAAATAACCTTTCCAAGTTACTGATTCCACGAACAATTAGCCAGTGGAAATCTCGGGCAACGAAAGTTCTGAAGTGCAAAATTTTTTGGCACCCAAGAAGTGCAAAATTGAGTCATCACGGGGTGAAGAGCCTTTTATAACTAACACTTTGGTCAGATTTACAACTGGCTATAAACTTGCTCTCCTTATATGGAAGTTAAACGTATGGAGATCTCGATCTCATTTGATGAAGTTAATAATTTTTATTATTTACAATTTTTTATTATCTATGCTTTTTAATTATTGAATCTTCATTCATTAGCTTATCTTCTGAAAACTATCAATAAGCATATTCTTAGCAAAAACTCCTCAACAATCAAGAAAGTTCCAAAAGCGATAGATGAAACAAGACACCTTTGCCGTTTTTCATCCAAGCACAGTGGTCATCTGAGATCACGTGATCGTCTAACACGCTGACGCTTCCGCGCTCCTAGGGTTAACTCAATTCTTAGTGTAGAAATTATGATTTTTCTCAGCTTTACAGTAATATTATTCGCGGCGATCGGTGTTGAGTTTGAGAGAATCCTTTCATCCCTTACTTATTTCGTCCAGGCTAAGGTGAGTCAGTGATTGCGCAAATTGTCTTTTTGTTATTTACAGGAAGTCTTTACGGATCAAGAACGATTTTGTTTCGACGATCTTGGATGTTTTAATAACACCTTTCCATGGACAACTTTTCCAACGAAATTATCGCCCCTTGTGCGCTATCGGGAATTGTTGATTACATTATGGCCTCATCTAAAATATCTAAAGCGATACTTAATTAAACACTCCTTATTTCATGCCTCGACGATTTAATTGTAAAGATAGATTATGATCATATTTATCAAAGAAGAAAGAGGTTCAAAAAGACTCTTTCTAAAAGAGATATCTAAACGATACTAACATAGCAAAAAGCGATAAAACAATGTCATTTGAAATTAGTGTGTTCAATAAATTGTCTCATAATAACAACAATCATGGATAGTTCCATGCCACTGAAGCCGAATAAAATTGATACGAAATTGCTATTCTACGAAAATAAGACGCTCACACAATTCGACAAAACGATGATTAATTCAAGTCTGCCAACTTTCATCGGTATTCATGGATGGAGTCCTTCATTGAAACGCGCAAGCGTAAAAACAGTCCCTGGTCACGTTTTGTTTATTGCAGATATTTTTGATGTTATTGGAGAAAAAACAAATGGAAACTTTATTATCGTTAATTGGCGAAAAGGGTCGTCTACGTAAGTTCTCTTTCTTGATTTCACCAAGTGAGCTTCTCTCAGACTGAATTATCCGCAAAGTTGCAGCAACATAAGAGTTATTGGTCGCCAAATTGCTAATTGGATCAATGAGATAGAAGATTTGAACGTTACTGATGTTCATATCATCGGACATTCTCTTGGAGCTCATATGGCCGGATACATCGGGAAAGAATTGCAGCTTATGGGCAAACTTATCGGTATTTTCAATGAGGGATTACTCTCTAAAATTTTCAGGAAGAATAACTGGTTTGGATCCGGCCGGGCCTGCTTTTAGCTTCCCAGCGTCCTGGTACTGTATGTCTAAATTATTCACTTGTTTATGCCTAGAATCTAGGTATGTCGAGTTCCCCAATGAACTGGAAAAAGTGCACCTATGGCATTCTGATGCTGAATTTGTTGATGTTATACACAGGTTTCTTAGATGTTAGAAAAATTAAATCAAAGTCTAACAAGTGACGCGGGAACATTTGGAAACGGCCATTATGGACATGTCAAGCCACTGGGACACGTTGACTTTTATCCTTCGATGGGAAGAGATCAGCCTTTTGTAACATCTACCGATATCATAACAGACTAGACCAGCTGAAAGATCGCATGTTTTTGTATCATTCTGCTTTCGGACCACAAGGTAGTTGTCTTGATTTTATTGTCTCAAATGAATTAAGCGTTTTGTGATCACCGTATGTCCAAAGTCTACTTCATCGACTCTATCAAGCGTCCAGAATTGTATCATTTCTGTAACAAACTGTACGGAAACTGCAACATCCTAGGATTTTCAGCAACAAAACCTGCCTCAAGACACACTTATTTTATTCCAGAAGAGGATCTTCCAAAGTTCAATAAACATGCTTAAAATCTAAAGCTATAGAAAAATTTATGAATCAGATGAATAGTGTTTTGTTTTGATTTTTCTGAAAAAGTACAAGAAAGTGTATTCAAAATGCAAATAACTTCTCGATGTCAAATGTTGTAATGTAGGCCTACATTCAGGTGGAATCGTAAGACATCAGAACGTTCGGAACAGGCCTGTCCTACGACAGAAATTTGGTGAAAAGTGGAGAGTTATATAATAATAAAGGTGAGACACAAGAAAGAGTATAAACAATGGTACACAAGTGAGTGTTGGAGGAGTGCGGTACCATCGGGTTTTTTACAAAGCGGAGGCGTGGATAGTGTTATCCATGTCTTCGACAGTCTGCTTGATCTTGAGCTTCTCGGCGTAGAGCTTGTCCTCGAGCTCATCGATGGTGGCTTCGAGCTCAGTGACGGACTATAATTAAATGTAAGAATTTGATTCAGACCTTGACTAATGAAAACTATGGTTTACCTTTTCGGCGTGATCAGCTCGCTCACCAGCATCCTTGAGTTTCTCTTCGAGAGATCGGACTTCCTCGATGTACTGGGCTTCTTTGGTGGTGTACTTCTCGGCGGCAGCTTCGAGGGATTTGAGGTTGTTGGCAACGGCCTAGGAATTAATTGAAAATTTTTACTCAATAAAGTTTGTACCTTGAGCTCTTCTTCGAGTTCGTTGGCTCGGGTTTCGGCAAGTTCAGCTCGCTCTTCGGCCTTCTCGACATCGGTTTCGACGAGGACGAGCTTTCGGGCAACTTCTTCGTACTTCTTGTCAGCCTCCTCGGCGACGGACTTGGCCTCCTTGAGGGCGGTCTCCTGGTCCTTGAGTCGCTCCTCGTCCTTGGCGGCTCGAGCTTCGATGACCTTTCGGCCTCGCTCGGACTCATCGGCATTCTTTTCGGCTTCATCGAGCTATAATTATAGATTTGTATCGATACAAATTGATAAACCGCGTGTTAAAAGAACCGTCAATTAAAGCCGCTAGGAGTTTACTCACTGATACGTTACAAATTACTTTATTAAGATCGTTTATATCCTCTCCCTAATTTAAAATAATCGATATATTTAAGAATTATTATCGCCAACCTAATGTTCATTTATTTATTTACCTTAACGATGGAAGTGTTGAGCTTCTCCTGAACGGAGTCGAGCTCTTCCTCCATGGTCATGATCTTCTTGTTGCAGTGAGTGACCTCGTTCTCGGCATCAGCAGCCTTCTTCTCAGCAGCCTTGAGTTCGTCCTGGACCTATTCAAAAAGGTTGGCATCAAGAAAAACTGGCTTATTCTTACCTTCTGGAGTCGCTCTTTGGCGGAGTTGAGTTCTTCCTCCGTAGCCTTCTGCTTCTTGAGAAGAGCCTGAAGTTCTTCCTCGGCCTTGCCGGCCTTCTCTTCAGCGGCCTAGGATTATTTTAAAGATAATTGATTGATTTTTGAGGGAATAATTAAAAAATAAAAACGCTGCCTCATAATTTCAATTTTCTTATAGAATCAGATCTACTGACCTTCTTGGCGTTTTCGGCGGATTCAGCTCGGTCAAGAGCGTCTTCCTTGTCGACCTAAGGAGAAAGATAAGTATCAAACCAAATGTAGTTTTTCAAACCTTCAACATTTGCATCTTCTTCTTGATGGCCTCCATTTTCGATTAGTTTTTTTTCTAAAAAATTTGAAAATTAATATAAACCAAGTCTTCTTCAAGGTCAAGAACATGAAAAATTTGAAGGATTTTTTTCTGACGAGAGGGAAAAAACGGAAATAGCTCAGGTGCATCTCTATTCAAGTCATTCTTGCAAAACAAATGGTATATTTATTAGGGGCCGGCGGCGTGCTCTGCTATCTCTGCGTGTTGTGGGTAAGGATTTTGAAAAGGGTGTCGAGGGACTCCTCACTAGTAGGAGGCAAAAGTGATAACTCGTCATTGCTCTTTATGCATTGCTAAAAATAAAGAAAATCTCATCTAACATGAACACAGTTCGGGTACCAACTGACTCACTCCCAGTCCAACTGACGAGGGGCAAAGGGACAACTGCGACACACCTGTTCAATTTTAAACTTCCTTTCTTGATACTTTTAGACGATAATATTTAAACGTTCTGCTTATTTATTTAAATAATAGTCATCATTTTCCGATAATTGTTCAAAAACGAGAAGAACAAGTATTATTATCATATTTTTAATCATAAATCGTGATCATATCTAAAATAATTTAGCAAAAATTATATGAAATAAATCTGAGAGAAGCCGCTTCTCAGAAGCGTTTTTAATTGCCGACTAATAAGACCTCTAAAACAACCTGAGTTCGATGATATCGAGTCGAAATAATATATCTTAGTAAGAAGTTCTTACCAAGTGTTACATTTCATACTACTTTTTGCGCCAATGACTGCGCAAAGTTTTGTTACAAAACACAGAAAACAAGAAATAATGCACTTGTTCCTATTTTATAGAAAGTAACATAATCTATATTAAATAGACTATGTTTAATTGATGACAGTAGGTCAGTCAAGGTGCTCTTTTTAAACTTCGAAAAAACCAATAAACTGGTCAGCAAATTCAAAATCTAGGACGGCTAAAGTAACGCGTCTTTCATATTTGCCTTTCAAGTCAGAAATGGGCCAGGCTGATTTTTCGCCGGTAACTAGCTCCAAATACGCGAAAGTGGTCGGAAGTGTTGAATCAGTACACTCTGCCACACGCTCGCAAAGACTATCAAATCTACTGTCGTCACAGCTGTTTTAAAACTGTCGTCGTTCATGTCAAAAGTTTTGAAATGAAAATTTTATGATTTCTTACTTTAAATTGTTTATATGAAGAAAGATATTTATAAATTCGTATAAATAGTAAACTCTTTACGAAACAAACACGTGATCAATTATCAGCAAATAAAAATCTGTATCACATGATGAGAACAAGAAATCGCTTTGATATTTATGATGGTAATTATATTCAGGTCCATGGAATGTATTTTAGCGTTATTGATAAAAACTAGTAATTAAAAATGAATCTTTCCCTGGCCAAGCTTGATTATATAATATGGGTTGTATAAGATGCGAATGCATTAGCTCTAATTTGGCTTATCTTAGCAACTAAATCTGTCGACTTGGCGAGGAAGCTGCAACTAAGCAAGGCTTTTTTGTCTGAAAGCTTGAAGAACATATGTGTTATCTGTTAATATAATTGAAAATTTTCAATCATGATTTCGGATTTGATCGATTCTCCACCAAAATCTGGCGCTGGCGATTTTGATTTAGATTAGAAATTATCGTCTTGCTTTCGCTATTCAGCGACGCCGCGGGAGCTCATCCTGGGAGCCCGAGTAATTCTTACATTTCTTTTTTTAATCATGCCGGGCGGAAACTCATTAACGGATTAGCCAGACTGTACATTTTAATCGAGATTAAAATTGGCCGGCTTTGAGTTAGCAAAGGTTAACTGAACTTCATGCTACTTAGTGGCTTGAGTTGCTGCTTCCCAGATGTATTTTGAGGCGGATGAGTAAATTTAATCATTAAAAATGGAGATAAGAAGTAAACCGGCGAAATGGATATGCTTAGGATTCAATTAACCATTTGATCCCTATGCTATCAGTTGCACGCACAAGATATGCCTAAAGGTAGAAATTTACTGAAGGCAGGGAATCTCTTCGTGATCAATGAAAACGGCGAGCAAAAGGAACGGCATGACTTACAAATGTTGAAAAGAACTTCAAGCACCTAATTGACCTCGGCCAGGTCAGCCTGGCCCCTTTGACTGAAAGAAAATTAAGCCGCCAAATTTGCGCAAAAACAAGTCCTTCTGAAATGATTTCCTTTTGTAGAACGAAGTACTTTTGGTCGATAAGCCAAATCAAACAAGACACGCTTATCCAACTCAGTATCCAAATTTTGATAAAGAAGTTGTTGTTCCAAACTTTCTATAATGCTAGCTGAAGACCTGTTATTTCTTTCTCACGTCAATTATCGACGAAAAATCTTTAATCCGTACAGCAGGTCGTTCGTCTGAGCAGTTTAAAATTTCCTGCTGAAAAGATTAGAGCGCGTTTCTTCCCAGCCCAGCTTCCGGATTTTCGAATTTGTCAGAAACGCAGGTCAATAAGGACTAACTGACATTCTGTTACTGTCGAAGCTGGCGATGAGATTGGGCTCTCAAGAATTTCGGTAATATTGAGCAATGCGCCCAAGTGCTCCTGAATGAGTTTGCTCAGATGGGCTCTAATAAGGACTAAACAACATCGTTATCTTCAAGTGCGATTCATCGATACAATATATCCTGTCTAAATTGCGTCTCTTCGCTCTTCTTCAAGATCCTTCAATTTACGCTGGGAAAGTTGCTGGCACAAGTTTCGGGCCTAAAAGAACTTTCAATGCGTGAAAACCTTTCAATAAAAACACTGTTCTCATTATTTGGAAAAAAAGATTAATATGATGTGTTATCTAATCTTTTCATTTCATTTTTGCCAGAATTATTGACTCGTCACATGATTCGAGCATCAGATCATATTTGGATCGCGAATGATGACGGATGAATTAGATGGCGACAATCTAAGCTCATGAAAGTATGAGAAATTATTTACGCAATTTACTATCTGCCAGTTGATTTGAATAAATGAAAAGGGCCTCCTGAACAGAATTATTATTCTTCAATCCAACGCTACAAAGTAACGGTCGCTTGAATAATACTTTTATACATGAGTGGATAAATCCCATGAATAATCATATTTTATATATTAAACCTCAGGTTATATCAGTAATTTAAAATTATTAATTTGAGCGGCGCTGTGCGCTGAGCTCACATGTAGCGCGTCGAAGCGCCCTCATCTCGCGTGGCGTGGCGCCTCGCCCTTTATTAATATTCCGATTTCCAGCAACTATTACAGAAATTAAAAAAACCGTCAGAGATTTTTTTTAAATTCACTCAACCCAAGATAGATCGAATGGCCAGCCTTCATACAATCGAGCATTTGCTCAAGTCCGTCGTTGATGGAGCGACTGCGAGAGCAGCTAGTGATAACCAGAACACATCAAACTCCATAGCCACTGTAGCTTCAGCGAATCCGAATCTTACAGTTCCACATCCATCACCTGTCGACTCACCTTCCTCTGAATCTCTTCTCAGGCCGGAGCTCAACATCGCAGAGTCCGACATCCTAGAAGTATCCGGCGCATCCTCAGGTCTTCCTCAGACAAACTCTCCTAGTCATATACATATGGGCTCGCCAAAAGCAGTGGAAACGTCCCTCGCCGAGACCCACTCAGACAGCTCAACCAGCTTTGACACAAGCCCTCTCGGGAAAGGGTCAATTCTTACTGGAACGGATTCTGCCGCGGAAAGCCGACGGAAACAACGACGATTCCGCACTACTTTTTCGGCGTACCAACTTGAGGAGCTGGAAAAGACATTTGTGCGCACTCACTACCCGGACGTTTTTACCAGGTAACTATTTGGAGTTTTCTTTCTTTCATGAAAGGAATTTAACCGCTCAAAATCGCGTTGATGATAAGCTTGAGTAGGCATTTCTTTGTCATATGAAATCAAGGAAGAGTACCTCAAAAATCTTGTGAACCGAAAAAACGCGGTTTTTGATCTACTTCCCTAAATCTCAATTTCCATCGCTATGAACTTGTTAACCATGTTAGCACTTTGCCACGATCAAAGCTGGCGGGAAATTTATCCACGTCCTAATATCCTAATTTGTGTGTTTTCAGAGAGGAACTCGCCGCGCGCATAGACCTCACCGAAGCTCGCGTACAAGTTTGGTTCCAAAATCGCCGAGCAAAGTGGCGAAAACGCGAAAAACATGTCAAGGTAAATCATTGTAAAAATCTTATGTAAATTTCGCGGTAAGCACATTACATTGCAAATGCTTTCATCATAGAATTCTGATTTCAGAGACATCAGACTCGGTCAGATGTGTCGTAAGATTTTGAATTGCTAATTTTCAATTTCCCGATGATTAAAATTTCCGCCAGGGCTCCAGATTATACACAAATGTTAAATTACCAAATGGTCTTCAAAAATGAGATGCCCCTCATTTATCAATATCGTTTAGACAATAATCCCGCCAGTGCTTCCCTCCTTACCAAGTGGCATCGCTCCCTTCATCGACCCATTGATACTGAGTCGCATCCCCTTTTTTAACCCGCCGACGTCCACGCCTCTGCTGAACAGTATGCCGAGCCTGGCACATGGAGGGTATCTGCAAAAGAATCTGTTCCCCATCTACAGAAACAATATTCTCTCACAGGTAAGATAAATTTGCCGACTTTTTGATCATGCTTGGACAATTATAATTCTTGAAAAAAATCAAAGATCGCCTTTTGTGAAAAGGTCGTCATATCATTTTCCGAACCCCGGGGGTTGTTAATTAGCAATCTGAGTTCAATCGGTTTGCCATTTTGATGAAAGTGCCAGGAGGATGATCTATCGCGTCGAGGATCAAACAGCGCGGGCCCGAGGCACACACAGGAAGCTGTGTGCCCAACTGTGGTCAGATACGGCGCCTAGTGTCGTGTGGCTTAGAAGTTAAAGTCACTTGGCACTGGAATTTGATGGACGATAATTGGCCAATTAATCAAATTGGGAACACCCCGAGCGTGGCGACATAGTTAAACAAATACACGCCCGAGGCAAGCCCAGTTCCTCGGGCAAGGCGTCACGATAGAACCTAATCTGATAAATCACAATAAGTGAACGACTAAACTCCACGACAAATATAGCTTACCAGAAACTTACTGTACTTATTTCAGGTTCTCTCGCCGCCATCGCTCAGCAATCTTGAATAAGAAGCACCACCTCCCATCCATCTCATCCAATCGCCATAATCCGACAATTGGTAGACTGTATTTAACGCTCGACCTTGCTCTATTATTTACTGTAAATAGCTGTAGTTCAAGTCACCTTATTTGAAGAAAGATTACTCACCTGCAAATAAATCAGACAATTGCCTTGAAAATTTAAGATCATCAAGATAAAAATTTAATAATATTCTGTTCTGAATAATAAGTGACTTAATTTTAGTCTTGTGGTAAGATTCTCTTAGGAGTGCCTGTCATAGAACATCTTGAGGAAAAGGACGCTAACTACAAAATTGAACACTCTTCGGACAATTGAAATTCTTATTAAACAAATTATATTCTGAAAATTGTGTATATCGCATCATAAAAGCATAACCAAAGAATTATCAAAAATCTTTCTGGTATCTGCGAGTCTAAATGATAGTTACTATGGCAGCATGGCCCTTGGAAAATGCTGCATGGCAAAATCAAATACAAGACAAAAAAATAAGTTTTTGTTTGAAGAAAAGATGGTTCTTTTTGGGGTTGAAAACAAGCGTTCCAACGGCTGGGTTTGCGAGTGGCTTGGCTGCGTGTGTTGTGTAAAGAAGTAGGCTAAACGCGGCGGGTCAACCGTCAACGCTCCGGGGGTTCCGTTCCGCGTCGATTATCGACAAGCAGGCAAACTGGGCGGTGTAGGCCCTCACTCGCGCTCCTTACCTCAGTTTGAAAAGTAGCTTTTTTAAAAAAAGGCAGCTCCCTCAACTCCAAAAAACGCAACAACGAGATCATGGGACGAGCAAAGAAAGTAAGTAAAAACGACTGAGAGATAAACATTTTGTTCGATGTGTGAATAAAGCTAAATTAACTGCGTCAAATATTTTCTATCAAAGATATCACGCTTGTAATTTACAAGTTGTAAAAATTTCTTTGACAAGGGTGCTTTATTGTAAGACAAACTTTATATAAGCGTCTTTTTGAAGAAACAAATAATTGAAGACGTCTAAATGAATTTCTATAAGTTACTCTGGGGGAGAATTACTAGTTTTCTCTGAAAAGTTGAGTCCTCTTTTTTAGAGTTCACTAAATTTCAACATCGAGCAAAATACCGGTTGTTTCTGGAAAAGCACCGTACCTTGAACTAGCTTATTCTGGTGTAGTAATCTTACTACCATATTTCTAGGATCCAAATGCCCCCAAGCGACCACAGACCGCGTTCTTCCTCTTCGCAGCTGATCACCGTCCCGCTGCAAAGAAGTCTCTTCCTGAAGGTATTTAATAATTATTTGTATGAAGCTTTAATTTTGGTTTTAGGTGCCCGAGTGAGCGAGGTCGCCAAGAAATTGGGAGTCATGTGGAAGGAAGCCGACGCCAAGACCAAGGAAAAGTACCAGGTAAGATCGCGTCTTCACCGTCTTTTGTAATAACCAGAAAGATAAAGGATCAACCCCTAACACACTTTTTAGAGCCAGGCAGAAGAAAACAAGGCCAAGTACGCCGAAGAAATGGAAGCCTACCGAAACGGCCAGGGCGTTACCGCTAACGATAGCGAGTAAACGCCACGTCCCGCTCTTCTTTCCTGATTTCTTTACACTTTCCGTCCTGCCTAGTTTCCTGATACATGTCGCCTTACTTGTAAGAACCCCAAAGATGTCGAAAATAATTCCAAATTGACCTTATTTTCATTTACTTCCAGTTTTGTTCTGCATTTTCCAACATTTCAAACAGACTGCCCAAAATTAAAAATAAGAAAAAATTTTTTCATCACAGAAAATTATTGCTTCATGAATCATGATCAAAAATAAGTTATTGCAAAAGAAAAGAAATTAGGATATAGTTTTTTTTTGAGTTTTATTCCGATGGTAATATACAACTGATCTCAATTGGTTGGTTTGGGGAGAAATTTGCACGGGGAGGTGAGGCAGGATTCGAAAACGGGGAATGGGAAAAAGTGTCGAATTCTTTGTGCTGAAGTTTTTATTTTTTGATTCCATTGAGATTGAATTGCGCGACAGCGTTGACAAGGTCCAAGTCTTTCTTCATAATGGTGACGCGCTTGGAGTGGAGGGCGAATAGGTTGGCGACTTCAAAAGTTGTGATAATGAAGGCCTCCGTCGCTTCTGAAATTGTTAGTTGAGCGATTAATATAGAAGATTGTGCTAAATTACCTTGAAGGCAGAGGAGTGCCTGCGACTGCCATCGATAGTCGTTTCCAGGGCGAAGATCATTCACAACCTAAAGGGCTATTATTTCTGTTTCGACTATGTTCGAGATTTACCTCTCGGACCACTCGTTGGAAGGGCATCTTTCTCATGAGAAGGTCGGTTGATTTTTGGTATTCCCGAATCTCTTTGATGGCTTTAGATCCTGGCTTTCCTTGCTTCTTCTTTGGAGGTGATTTTTGTCTCGCCATTTGAGATTTCTGAAAGTTTTGCTTATTTTTTTTCTGATGTTTTTCTTGATAATCAAGTAATAGAAATAATTATTAATTGGAATACAGTGATGAATTAGTAGTTGTTTTGAATTATATACATTTTAGGATATAGAAGAATTATCGTAGAAGAAATATCGGTGAAGATCAATTCAATGAGAACGGAGAAGAATAAAGTACGTTTTAGATACAGAAAAGGAGTTGAACTAAAAGTTAAATGCATTTTTGGCCAATTGACTGGGAAATGGAGAGTTGAAAGTACAGTAACTCGGGTAAGGTTGAAATTACAGAAGTTAAGGAGGAGTACAATGATAGTATTGAATCGGGATTGTTAAGGATGGGAAGTACACTTTCGGTATAAAGTATCAACGCACTAGTCGTTACTGTGCGTCTTTTTTAAGTACGATAGGAGGTAAAATACAAATTTCTCTAGGGTTAAAAGACGGTCCCAATGAGTGGGAGTACTAAAGTGATAAGTTGAAGTAAACGTCGTGCAAATTAGTTCTGGAACCATTTGGCATGGCTGGTGGGATTTTTTGGGCGAGCCTTGGATTGACCCTTGGTGCTCGTGAGCGCGCTCAGCGAAAGATCAGTGAGCGCGATTCGATTATTGAGCGTCAGTGAGCAAGTTTAACAGACGAAATAAAGATGTGAAGGTGAGTAGATGCAGGATGACTCATCCTGGATGAGTGTGTAGCAGGAAAATATAGGATACGAGGTTTTTTGTTTTTCTTTCAGTTAGCGATTTTCTGTCGTGATTGGAAAGAGATTACCAGTAGGTTTCTTTGAGATTGGTTCTGCGCAAGGATTCAGACGAGCATTTATATCACATTTTCGAAATTAATAGAAATCCGGAATTATCAATTATTCGAGTCGTTGTTGTTTGAATCCTTAGATCTACCGATAGAAGTTGCTGAGACGCTTCGAGCTGGACGGAGTGTTTGGAATATCTTGCTGCGAGAAAAACTGTTCCCACTCCGCTTTCTGTCGCGCAAACTGTTCGTCCAACTCCTAAACACATTTGTTTCAATGACGTCTTTGAATGATGGCATTTAGCATGTTAGTCATATTGTCCTTTAAAAATGAGCAAAACGTTAGGATCAAAATAATTTCAGTGGCAGTGAGACATCGGACCCGAAGCTGTAAGCTGGTGCGTATGACGTGACCAGTGATATCATAGATTGAACTTCTACCATAGCCTATGGACCATAGGCTATGGTCCATAGGTATAATAGAACTCCTAGACGATATGATGATAGAAACATTGAGTGAACCTTATGGGCAGATTTGATAAACCGTTCTCAGCTATAGGATCACATCTCACATGCCAATGAAAACAGATGATGATATATCATCAGGGTATCCCTTCTTCTGATAAAAAATTGGCACTATAAAACGAGATTGTCATGTTTAGTACTCTTTTTAAGCTGATTTACAATCGCCAGAAATCAGAATTAACCTTTCGTGCACGGAGTGCGACCGTACGAATCGATGGAGTCGGAGGATTTCACTGAAGGTCAATGATAATGAAATGGTAAAAAATCATTACAATTAGTTTCAGGCTCAGCATAATAATCAAGCAACGTTAGTAAGAATGTGTTGGAAAAATTTAATTCATGGACGGAAAGACGGGGCACAATTGGCATCTGTGTTTATGGAAATTTTAAGAGATACGACTTAGACAAGGGCTACGATTCGTTGTCTACACGATTCCAGGCAAAATGAGCTTTGCAGACTCAATCCAATACCCCTATATTCTCGTGATTAATGAATGCAGCTTTTAATTTTTATTCAGTCTACAAGCGACTATTTCCCCAGACGAGAGCCTTCGTCAGTCATTACGAAAGGACCAAGAAGCAAAACTGATGAGTAATCATTGAAAATTTACCATACAGTAGTCGGACCGGTACCATCTCTACTGTACTTACTTTGCCGAGACGGCAGATGTGCTCATAAGATTTCGAATCATGGATTCGAGATGCTATAATGTTGTAGTGAACTCTCTAACTATAAGCGCACTAGCTCATTAAAAAACTAGTGGCTGGAGAGGCAGCTGGTCAAAGTATGAAAACTAACCTGTTTTCGTGGGACGAGCTGGCTGCGCCAATACTCGAACTTCTTCTTGAAATTCTCATCTAAAGCTTTGAGTTTTTGAGCTTCTGTTTCTACCAACAGACGCTTCTTTTCACTTTGGATTTGCTTCATTTCACTAGAAACGCGCAGTTAGAGGCATACATAGATTAGGCCTAACCTAATATAGTTTTCGCATTTTGTATGCAGCTCTCGTAATTGTCTATCATGTTTATCCTCTTGCCTCGTCTTCTCGTTTCGTTGGCGTTTATCCTCGCTGTGCTTGAACTAATTGAAATGTTACAGTTGTGCAAAATAGATATAAAACAAACGTCTTTTAGTTTCTCGTTGATTTCTTTATCTAGAATCGCTGGGTTTTGTATTCTGATTGATTGCTTGAACATATTTTCCCTCGTTTTAGCTAGAACAGACGTTTTAGTTCAAAAACAAAACTGTCGAATTACCATCATTTCTTTGCCATTTCGGAAGCTTCAACTTTTCCAGTCGCTGTCTTTCCTGCAGCGCTTTTATAAGACGATCGTTGTGTTCTATCATTTGCTCCATTTCTTTATCGTGTCGTGCCATGAGCAGCATCTTCTGCAACAAGAACTGATCCTTCAACTGGCTCTTTGCGACCTGGTGCTTTTCTTGAAAGTGTTTTTCCTCCAAGTCCCACATCGCCTTCTCCCTCGCCAGGAGCGCTTCCTGTTTCTGGTCAAGGAACTGGCGCTCTGTTTCGGCAACGGTTTTCTTTTGGTTTTCGCTGTATTTTGTTATCGCCTCTTTGAGCTTGTCTTCTTGCTTCGCTTTGAAGGCACTTTCTTTGTACTTTTGATGCGAGTTGAGTTCCTGCTTTCGCGCACGGAGTGTTTCTGTACGAGCTTTGCGATCGGAAAACTGCGCGGTAACTAAATTAATCGTTAGCGGAATTCGGTCGTCACACATAGGATAGTCTGGGCGTTTCGGAACATGACATAATTTTTCCGTAAATTGATCGGGATAAGGGTCTAACTAAAGTTGACATTCCGTCTGTATCCAGAAGAACGGAGAGCTAGGCTTTCACTTCCGGAACAAATTCCGATAGAAATCAAAAGTTAAGGGGGCAGATGTCGGCTCCTCGTTTTGGGATGGTCCTCGGAGGAAGTAGAAAAGTCTGTCAGCAGTTTCTTTAAAAGGGTGCTAGAGAAACTTTTCTAAAATGCCATATATGAGCCATCTTTCATCAAGGGAGCACTGTTACACTACCAAAAACGTTTGTAACTTTATCATACTTCAGCCTAGCATATTCTTTTAGAACGATGTAACAAAACTAGAAGGGTCTTCATTACCTTGTCGCTTGAGCTCTGAGTGCGCATGGCTTTGATTTTGCTGAAAGGCGGAAAGTTCTTTTGCTGCTCTCGTTTTAACGATGACACCATTTCTTTCTGCTCCTTCGCTTGTGAGCTCTCCATTTTCTCAATTTTCGACTTTTGAGTTTTCTCCAAAGAATCAATTTTCGTTTGATAGATTTTCGCCAAATCTGCTGTCTCTCGATCATGTTTTGCTAGAAGAATTTTTCGTATAAAAATACATTCGTTAGAAAAAGAGTTACTTTCAAGTTGTTCAGTTTGAGCAGCGAGACGCATATTCAAATTCGCCATTTTTCGTTGTTCCTAAATTTTATCGTCAGCGGCTGTATAGAAGAGTGCGTAGATTTACCTCGATTTGTAGTTTTCGAAGATCTTGAAGCTCCTGGCGGCGGAAGATTCTCTTTTTCGACTCTTGCTCAACATCGTGATCAGAAACGGTCACCATCTAAACTCCCTATAAAACCAAATTCAAGGGATGCTTTCTTACGGATGTGATGGTCACTTCTTCTCCATCGACGATAAATTTTCTCGTCTTTTTTAGCGTTTTCTTCTGTCTCTTTAGCTTCTAAAAATATTGTTCATGCAATATGTAGACAAAGAAAAATATAAATTATTGCACCGCGAATGAACACCAAAAATAATATCGCGATTTTCTCATTAATGAAAAAATGCGTCACCTCCTCATGCGTCAATTCTGTCTTTTTCTTCATTTCGGTCTTCGTTGGCACTTTCTTCTCGTACTGAAGCGTTTCTTGGCCCTCTTCTTTGACGGATCGTTCCGTGCTCGTGTGTATTACAGGCTTTTCTTCGGCAGTTGCGTTTCTGTACGACTCTCTCGCGGCGCCTCTTTGAACGGGCTTCGTTGGTTTTCCAGCGGAATAAGCATCTTTAGATTCGGCGCGTTGGTCTTTTTCTTGTTCGCTCATCAAGACATTATCTAACATCTCCAGCGCTTCATCCTCTTTTTTGATCTCTTCTTTGAACATTTCCCCGATCCCTTCTGCCGACTGTGGATTCGCTCTTGCCAAAGACTTGCTCGTCCCAAACCATGTTCCTTTGGCACCAGAAGGGCTAATTGGTTGAATATCCGCCGTTTTCATCTTGAAAGATGAACTTCTCGATGTCGGGGCAGAGTTAGAAACTGATTTTCTCGCGCCAGATGAATCATTTGCATGATCTGGGGGTGGTGTAGGACGCTTCTTTACAGGAGACGGATGGGGGGCGATGACGTCTTTTCAGAGATTATACTTATGGAAAGTTAACCCAATTAGTCACATTTGGGATTCAAGAATCATGCTAATTGTAACATGGCTGTGTGAAATCCCTTCCCTGACATTTTGCCAAGAACTTCTTCATCTATAGAGCCCGCTTTCTCGGGCATCTTCGGCTTATTCGGCAAAATATTCGTATCAGACTGGCTCAACTGTTTCGCCAATTTAGAGGCACTTTTTCCAAATAAGGTGCCTCCCTTGACTCTCACTGTATTTTCGTCGATTACTTCTACAGGGTCTTTTTCAATAGAATGGTCTGTCAGAGCTGACTCAGAAACCGGCTCGACGTTTTCTTTGCTACTGGACGGGGACTGATTTGACGAGGGAACACCATTAGATTGGACACCGTTTTCACCTATTTCGGAAACACCAGACGAAGAAGGAGTGGGGGGCACCGTTGATGGGGACATTTCAGAGTTTGTGTCACTTACAGAATTGAACTTTTGATGGATGGCCTTTTCATATTTAGAGGGTTGAACTTCTGGACTCTCCTCTTCGGAGCTAAGAGAGGACATAGAACCGACGGAGTTTTTACGCGTTGACTTAGAGACGGAAGCTGGCGAGTTGGCATCCTGCTTGATTACTTCGGTAAGCACTTCTGCGCGCGCTTCAGCCAGAAGTTGTCTAAAAGAAGATTAGAGGGGAAAGAAAAGCATCACGCGCCGCTTTCTGTCGAGACAGATATTCATTGAACACGACTAAGGAGGATCCAAAACGTAAGAGAATTCAACACGAAATACTCTCGTAGTTTCAAAATCGACTCACCTCAATGGCTTATTATTTCCAAGATCTTGGAGCCAGGAATGCTGAAGTAAATCGACGCACTTGGCCCGTTCGAGGGGCGCTTTTTTCAAACACAATGCAAGAAAGCTGTTCATGGCGGCGGAAAATGACTTGGCATCCTGGAGTGTTGGCGGGTTCGAGCGGGCAATCTTCATCAAGACGCGCTGCGGATTGAGATCATTGTTGGGTGGCTCGATTTCGACGAGCTCGATGATTGTGATGCCGAAGCTCCAAACATCAGCTAGAGATGCATTGAAGTTTCATAATACAAAGGGAATTTAAAAAACTTTCCATGCAAGCGATATTATATCGCTGATATATCAGCTGACATATCATCCGATGACTTTTTATATCGACAAAAATACTTCCTCAAAGAATATCCTTCTCGAAAATGAGAAACAAATTTTGTTCATTCATCCGCAAATAAATATGTAATATGTATCTGCAAGAATATTCAATAAAAATTCACCTGAATAAGTGTAAGGATCCGTATTCCTCGTTTCACACATGATTACTTCTGGAGCCATCCAATATGGAGTGCCGATGAAGGTTTCCCGCATTTGCTCGACATTATCGTTCAACGCCGAAACGCCGAAATCCGTCAGCTTAAATTTCCGCTTATAAAATTCAGAACTGAATCGGATGATTCACCTTGACGGAGCCATCTTTCATCAGCAAAATATTGCCAGCTTTGAGGTCACGATGAATAACTCCTATTGAATGGCAGTAGTTCAGTGCCTCGAGCGTCTGCCGTGAAACGAGCTGGATTTGTTCCTCGTTCAGACCATGGTCCAGCTTTTCCATTATGTCGTCGAGGGCACCACCCTCGCAGTATTCGATTAGGATCTTAGTGAAGGGATATCGTTTTTCCGCTGTCTGTGGCTAAATAATACCGGTATTTTTCCGGCTTTACCAAAAGCAAGGGTAAATATTAATCGATTCCCTTTCCCATAGTTTCTTCTCGTAGAAGATTCCGTCCACGAGTTTGACGATGCTCGGGTGATTAATTTTCGCAAGAATCGCAATTTCGTTGTAATGCTCTTCCATTTCCTCCTCATTGCCCAATTCTATCACCTTCGCCGCGGCATAATCCCTCCTCACTTTGTTTCGCACTTTGAAAACGTCGCCGAAAGCTCCATCGCCGAGCTTCTCCAGCTGATCCCATTCCGAATAAGGATCTAGTCCGCGCTTTCACATGGCTTTCTCATTGTCTAATTTGTGAAATCGGGAAATAATTTCCATCATCATTTACATCAATAATATAACTATATCCTCTATCAGAGTACTTAAGTTGAAGCTGGTGATTACGTATACAATTAGTATATTATTCGTATATTTGCAACGATCCATTGAGCTCAATAAAAATTTAAGCCTTCATTTAGTGGTTTATTCTCGTCATTTTCAATTATTATTGCGATAAGATTATGCAAAGTCAAAATCTAAAAAAGAAAGAGCACATCTCACTGTCAAAATCTCACCCTCTATATCAAAAATAACTAAAAACTACGGAGCTATCCTTAGAAAGACTATTTCTGACGTCAATGGACGTTAAATTAGGATATCGAAGTCAAGTAATCTGATAGAGTACATTATTTTTCAGTGCAAATTTTGAAAATGCCCAGGACTGCTTGTTTTAACAAAAACACAACTTAGCCGAGTCTAAAAAGTTCACTGTAATTTACAGAAAACAAATAAAAGGCCATTCCTTAATGTGCTCGAAGGTCCTCTTTTTCTGGCGCTGGGTGCCGAATATTTTATCGAAGAATCCCATAAATGCTGATTTACGACGAGATTCTCCATGCACCACCACTGAGTGGTGCTCTTCTCACTCCTCTGTAGATGAAATTTCGAATCTTGATAATCTTGTTAATTGATAAAGCTCGGCTCGAAGAAGTATCGAAGAGGAGGAAAAATCGGCTGAGACCGCCCGTGGTCTGGCCCGCGACCAGTCTTTCTTTCTCGCCCGGGCGCTGATTGGCCGTCTCGACGAAATCCGGCGCTGCGGTTGGTCGAGCCAGAACACCCACGAAGGTCAAATCTACGGGAATTCTCCGATTTTATGGTTTTCAATATTTGCTCGGATGAAGCCATTACTCACTACGTGCTTTTTTAAGGTTAACGAAGTTTTCAGCCCACTTCCGCCTTATAGACCCCGAACACCATACCTTTTAGAATCAGCAGAAATTTTTAAGAACTTTGACGGTTTAAAATTCTAGAAAACTCCACTTCCGATCGATTCTAGAGCCGGAAGTTGACGAAATTAGGTGTAATGGTAGACTGTGACCTATCAAATTGATGCTCGGAAGATTTCCTATCATTTAAGAAAAGAATCAAGACCAACCGCGGTCAAACCAAACGGAAAAAATGAAAAAATTCTACAATTTATGCCGTTTTTACATAATTTTACCGGTCGGTTTGACCGCGTTTTGGACTGTTTCTTCTGATATATTGATTATAAGATGACTCAAAATCTTCTGAGCATCAATTTGATAGGTCACAGTCTACCATTACACCTATTTCGTCAACTTCCGGCTCTAGAATCGACCGGAAGTGGAGTTTTCTAGAATTTTAAACCGTCAAAGTTCTTAAAAATTTCTGCTGATTCTAAAAGGTATGGTGTTCCGGGTCTATAAGGCGGAAGTGGGCTGGAAAACTTCGTTAACCTTAAAAGCACGTCTCACGCAATTTTAGTGAATAAGCAGTTTAATTTTACGCTCTTCAGTAAATTTGATTCGTAAAACTAACGTAATAAAGTTAACTTACTTGGAACATTTCTGCTGTCTGCCTCAATTATCTCAGAATAAAACGTTTTCTATCCAATTCACGATGAAATCTGCTTCTTTTGAAGCTTTGCTCAGATATTCAAAAATATCTCGGAATCGTATAATTACATTGTATTCGGGGTACAATGAAATTTTTTCTCAATAAAATCGTTGTACCATGAGATTTTTTTCTAAAGGGAGATCGGAGAATCTGAGGGTCCTAAGCCCTCTGGGACTCTCAGTTTAGCCGCGCGCGCTTAGCGCGGCTAGCCAATCAAATGACGGTATTTTTCCGCAGTGCGCCGCACTCTAAATTCTTTATTCTGAGGTACCCAACAGGAGCTGAAAGAAATTTCTAGACTTCCCCGAGAGTGAAACGGGGAAGCGAGGCCAGGGGCCTTCTCCCTCTCTTAAAAAATCTCATGGTATTAAACACTTACCTTTAATTTCTTTGCTGAAATCAAATCTCTTTCAGCAAGATTCTACCAACCATAAGATTAGCTAAGCATGCTCAACCTTAGGTCAACTTTTATTAGTGTCAGTCTTTGAGCTTACAGGCAATATTGCTTTATACGAGCTTCTCAACATCAGCTAATTATCTTCCACGATGATGATCTTGTCAGAAACGCTTTTTGATAGAGCTTTCTATCAGAAAAATATGCTTACGGAAAGAGCAACTTGTTATCTAATATTAATCTTATCAAATGGCGCAATCGACCTGGATCCCACGAGGCCAGGAGTATCCCGCATAAACGATACAATCAGCGCTCCACAGAGGCCCTCCTCCATCGATTATCCAACGAACAAAAGGCGGTGGATATATTAACCAACGTCATGGTCTACCAGCCACGCCGAGCGACGGTGGTGGAGGATGCTCGTAAAAAAATAACGACGCGGGTAATTATTTATGAGCGGAATAGGTCACGAATGAATACACTCGCGCTGCTTTCCTTTCATTCGATAGTAATTTGGCGGTGGAGATGACTACGTTATTGAAGGATGAAATGATGATTTATAATAAGAAGCTTCAAAAGTTCAGCCGCAAGTGGACGTAAGAAGTTTCCTCAACTTTGAAAAAGGTTGCACCCAAAGTGATATTTGGAGTGCGATAAGCACCCGCGGGAAGGCTTATCACTGGCCGCCAGGGCGTGCAAAACAACTCCTGAGCATTGCAGGATACTAGACCCTACCCTGCACCGAAGGATAATAAATTCTTCTGGTGTAGTACCAGCTCGATGCTCCGCTAAGAGCGCAGGGTTTCTGCGAGGATGTGAGCGACGGACGAGTGTTGTGTTGATGGTGTGGTGTGGTGTGCGCATTTTCGGCGTGGGTGGAGCACGGTCCACCAATCACCACACTGACGCTGGTGGTGTGGTTGCGGCGCCCGCGGTGGTGGGGGCGGCCCTGGGTGCGAATCGCACTCGAGTTTCACCAAATCCCCCAAAGGCAGCACCACGAGCAGAGAGATTCACCACTGACATTCTACACCTCGGGGCACGTTCTACTCCTCCTCCAAGCACTCATCCCTTGTCTCGCAGACAGGGAGTGAAATCAACGAAGAGAAACTCTCGATAAGAGAGAGAGAAACAAAAACTCGCGAGGCGCAGGGGGAGTAATAAGGAGTCAGTTGACACCTCCTCAGTTGTCAAGAGGGACGAGGAGAGCCCCCTGCTAAGGAGATATTTCGACACCTTCAGCTCCAGAGCACGCAAACCCCCACCAAAAAACGCAGAAAGCAAATTAGAGATTGCCAACTCGTGAAATTCGAAGAACAGGGAAGGGATGAATTTCAAACAAAGCGGTGTCTGCACAACAAAACAGCCGGGCATTCCCGAGCAGGTGAGACTTTAGCATAAATAACAAGAGTGGTTTTTCCTCGCGTAATTTTATGATAATTTTCTTGCATAAATCAATGAGAATGAAACGAACGGCTGTTGTTTAGGTGAATCAGCATCTCGCTAACATCCGTCTGGAAAATCTTCTTGCTCCAAAGTGGAGCATTATTCTCAACGATCACGGATGCCAGCTTCAAGTCTTTTGGGGAAGCCCAAAGTCGAATCAAATACCAGTGGAGAATGGCGGGATGGCCTCGCTTCCCGCAGTTAATCCAGCTCAGGTGAAGCTTCCAGCGCAACTACACTCCGTCAACGCTGGGCCTATCGATGGGCCAGCTACAAAAAAGGCCAGGAGCGAAGGGCCTTCAATGTCAGTTAGTCATCCAGGCGCAGGACTACACAACATCCGTCAGCCGGTCGCTCCTCCTATGCTCACCCAGCAGGAGATGAGAAAACTCGTCTCAATGCCAGGCCTTTTTCCTCCTACCAAGATACGCGTAAAGAACGGATCCCCTACTGCACCAAACATGTTGCCGGGCTCACATCACTCGCCTGAAGCAAAAGAAGAAAACAACGCGCCTTTGAATCTCAAGACTGAGCCCAAATCGGAAATTAAGGTAAATGATAAGCGATATCATTGTCCATTGATACCGTACCGACATTGAGTTACACTTAATTCATCCGCAAAAGAAATATTAAATTTTCCGTGATGTGGGATTAAAGCCAAGCGGAAGAACTCTTCAGCACGCTTGGAAATTCCCCAATTCAGCATGAGATGTTGCCACAGCATTGAGCAGCATTCGTTTTGTAAAAAGATTGATCCGCTCTCGCGTCGCTGCGATTATCTAGTTAAATATATAGAAGGCGACTGTATGCACCACCGCCAATCAATACTCAAAGCAGCCAACTCACGTGCATTTTAGGCCCCTGGATCGATGACAACCCCAACCAAGCAACAGCGCAAATCGCTCGAGTCCACCGCCAAGCAGCTCCAAAGCCTCCAGCAGAACATCGCCTTAAAATCGTCCTTAATTTCATCGCTTTCATCCCAGGCGGCTGCGTCAAATCTAGCGGCTTTCGTTGAGTCAGCCACAAAAGCTCAATCGGCCGCCGCCGCCGCTGGAACCAGTAGCCAGAATAATCACTCGCCAGTCGGAGGCGGTTTTATTACTCCACCAAGCTCTGAGCGCTCCAATTCCAGCGAGGGAAAGACTTTTATCGAAGACGAAGATACTCCCTCGAAGGGCGGAAGAGCTAACAGTGAATCTGGCGAAAGTGGAATCAATGATCTCTGCAGACAAAAATTTGCCTGCGAGCTGTGCCGAAAGACCTTTACAAGAAAATACTCTCTCTCGCGGCACTACAAAGAAGTTCATCAGGTAAAATTTTGCGTGAGATTTTCGTTTTTCTTAATTAATCTTCAGGGCGAAAGTCGAACAAATACTATGCGCCCAGGGATGCAAGGAAACTCCCTGCTTGCGATAACAAACGGGTGCGATCCCCGTTTTGTCAATGACTACGGCTTGCCAACAATGGCTCACCGCCACAACAGCGGAACAAGCGAGGACGTCAAGATTGAGGAATTTGATGATGATGAAAGCCCGCCGAGTATGGTCGCCCTCCCATCATCCAGACGACCTAATGCACTTGACTTTTAAACTGTAAGTTGTTTTAAAAAATGCTTCGCTTTACTAATCTTTCTCAGAATTTATCCTGCTCTCTTCACAGAATTAATATGCGTTAAATTCAAGAAGGACCTTCTTCACAAATGCGAAACCACTTCATTTAAAAACATCGAGAGCTGGACATCTTCAACCTTTTTGTGCCCATTCTATTGCCTTTTTCTACACGAGAATACCAATTTTCAATTTGTTCTTGCCGCCTCCGAAACGCTTCACATAAACCGACTCTCAAAAACACATTCGAGAGATGTTACCCGTTCAAGAAATGTTAAACAGTAATAAACCCGTGCGAGATTTTTTTTTCACTGACTGTGTTCACTTTGAACGAATAAACAATCACATTAAAATCGTCGATGATCTGGCTTCTTCGGATTCGAGAACAGCGCGCAATAAAATATTGTATTCTTTGACATCGTTTCTTTCAAAACAGCAAGAAAGTTTCTAGAGCAGGCATTTTGCTTCTCACCAATGTGTATATAAAGACCGACGGAAACTGCTAACATCATTCTTGACAGGGAATGTCTCGATGAAAGAAAATGTCAGAACACGAAAATACGTGTGGGCAAACCCGTGCTCTGACAGAAACGCCCATCAAAATCATCCTAGAACAGGATGAAGAAGAAAATAACCGATATCCCAGCAACGACCAGCAGAAGCCCTTTTCAGGGCTCCATTTATTCCTGCAAGAATGTAAAGTTTTTCGTTTATTTTGTGCACTCTTCCTTGATTTCAACAGCATTGATAGCTCGAGGAATCGGTCATCTTTGTTGATTCCTCGGGTTTTTTTGGAAGTAAATCGATAATTCATTCTGAGAATTAAAAAAATAATCATACTTTTTTCGAATTACTAAAAATGGAGTCTTATTGTCGAAAACTCATCGTATTTCAATGGTGCAACTCATCATCGTACTCAAAGAACATTTACTCTTTAGTCATGACGTCGATCTGCTTCGATCGGTGGACGATCTTTTGTTCATCGAAGTCATAAAATACTCATTATTTGCCTTTTCAAGTTTGTCGCCAATGAATTGCGCTCCCGCCGCCCTTGGGCAAAGTCACACATCCTCGCTAGAAATTCCATCGCGATGGGAAAATTGGACGCTCAGATCCATCCGGCGGTAGATGGCGCACATTTGGATCAAATATCTGCATAAAAGCAGCCCACCTGTACTCCGAGTATTCATTCTATAATTTTGATAAATTCAAAAAAAGATAATGGAGTTCCAATTTAAACTTTTCGAAATCAGCAGATTGCAGAAAGCAAAACAAATCTTGGAAAATTTCCTTAAATTTCATGCGAAGAAGAGAAACTTCCAACGAGTTTTGGAAAATATCCTTTCGATCGTTGAGAACTACTTGAAGATGGTCGATGTGTTTACGCTCAGACATGAAGATTTCGAGCTTGAGAGAGTCAGCTGCTTCGTCGAGATCATCATTCAGTCGGTTATCTCTTGCTCACTCTACTGCCAAGTCGGAATCGACGAGCTCTACGAGATCTACGGCGAAGATGACTTCAATCTCGTCACTAGAAAATGCCGAGATGCTCTGTTGACTTTCTGGCAGCGAGGAATCATGCTGAAACCACGAATAAAAGCAGTTCTTGATCATGGATGGGATGAAGACACTTTCATAAGGCTGTTACGAAGATAATTTGCTTTGTTTGTTGTACTTTTTTCTTTTTATTCTTGCCATAAACAATTGATTGTTGTCACATACCTGTATTCCTGACTGCGCTACTAAAAAAAGAATTCATTACAGCATAAATTTTTTAAGACAACAGGATTAATCGATGAAGAATCCAAGTATTTTAATTTTGGACAATATGATAAAAAAAGTAAAAACATAAATGTAAAAGAATAGAGAAGCATAGAAAAATGTTACTAGAGGGGGACCGCCACGCTCGTGAAATCAAGGAAGAAAACAGAAAAGCCTTCCAGAGATTTTCACGAAGGAACAGGTCGTATGTAACAAGACAACTGAACACTTTAAAACACTTGAATAAATGTATTTATTCTTGATTTTTGAAAGATCGGTCAGTAAAGAGAGCAGGAAGATTTCTAGTATTTAGACGCGATTTCCTTCCCCATCTTCAATCATCGTCAAAGGTTTCTATCGCTTAAAATCCAACTAAGAAAAGCATCACTCGATGTTGGTTGTCCTCTATTGCTGTTGATTTTGTTGAGTGATGGCAAGGTTAGGTTTTTAATCTTTCATTTGCTTTTTGATTGCGAAGAAAACGCGCCTAAAATCGCTTGGTTGATGTTTTCAAGAGGCAGTTCTTCTCTGACTCTGGCAGAGATCCTCTCTGATCGTCAATACAAAGGCGACAATCCCAACATTCTTGAACAAATCTGGGAGCGTATAGCTTCTTTAAATTTCCGGAAAATCGACTCTGCGACTTCAAACTATTTTAATACCTCACCAACAGAATTTCTACTTATGATTCAATTTGTCATAATTTATCAACATGAGGCGCATCAATAAATCGATAAAATAATTTTTGAAAGTGCTCTTTAGCGATTTTTGATATTTACACTATTGTTTATTCTAAGCATTTATAGTGCGTTTCTGTCTTTTGCCTTCATCCCGAAACGGGTACCATAAACATGTAAATATTTTGGCAGATGGCTTTTTTGTGCTTCTTTTTGAAGGCTGCGGGCACATTAAAAAAAGCAATCTTTAGTCAAAGAAAAGGGGTGGCTGTTTTTCTATGAATCTGATAAAACATAATGATAATCTTACGAGTCCGAAATTTCCATTATGTATTTATTCTTTATTCGGATACCAAATTATTAAGGATCCTTTCTATCTTAGCAATTTCTATCTTATAATCTAAGGTCGTTTTTTACGCTCCGCCGAGAGGGTCTGACAAAGTATGAGAGATGAGCGGCGCCACCAAAAGGAAAATAATTATGTACTATAAGAGAGCGAGCACACAAACGAGAGATGAGCATGTTGGAAACAGACTTATTCGGATTTTTCGATCGTTTCGATAACTGGACAGAAGACGACAATGACTTTTTCATCAAGACAACTCTCGTCGAAAGATGCAAAGCAGGTCTCATCCCCGAGCGCCACTGCGAAGAGCCTGATAAAGTTAAACTGAAATGCGAGTTCTGCGATGCTTGTTTCTCCGAGCCAGATACAGATGATGAAATTCTCGCCACTCATGCGATGATTTCGTCCGATTGCCCGCTCATCGTTTCTGAAAGCGCCTTAGAACCGATGATCGTCGAGTTCCAGCGACAAGAGCTTCGGCTCACCTCTTTGGAGCTGCTACGAAAAACCCAATGCCCACACTTGAGTCGTGAATTTATCACAAAACTCGCCGACGAAGGCTTCTACTTCGACGAGCGAATCCAAATGATCAAATGCTTCTTTTGCGTGACCACTATTCCCGTTTCCCGCCTGACAAAAACGAATCTATCAGAAGTTTACTTCACGCAATTCCACTCAAAAGCCCTCGTTCAATGCAAACAACTACTAAACGTGATCGGCCCCAAGAGGTTTCTCGAACTTAGAGATAGCCGTCAAGCTCCTGCTACGACTCCTGTTGAACCAAAACCCATCAACACAAAGCCTGCACGCCAAAGCCCAGTCGTTGAGGAGAATCATGCGTCTGCTTATTACTGAAAAATAACTAGGGTCTATTTATTCCCGTTCACCGTGGTGAAGTTTTTCAAAAATTTCCTCGTGAGAGTCGCAAGAAAAATACTTAACCTCGGACAAACGGAATAAATAGCCCTTTACTATCATCCTCATTATAACTGTCACCTACTTTCTGTAAAATACTGTTACATACTTATTTGATATGCTAGCCATTCAAAATAAAGAATAATCAGTTATCTATGCATTAGAGAGCTGATTCTTTTACAAAATTATATGAAAATGAGTGTTTATTCGAAATATAAAAATAGATATAGATTTACAGCTGAGTATTTTACAGGATTCTGAAGGCACATGGAATGTATCCAAGGCTCAAGAGTGGACTTTTGTAAGATAAAAAGAAAGAAGGCAAAAGTGAACAAAACAAGACTACAAATTTAATTAATGTTGACAAGAGCTCGTAAACGAGTGACACGCGCTTGTTCGTTCTTATGTCTGGAAAGCAGCGCATCAAGAGTAGAATCTTCAGCATTGCTGGCGCCATGCATGTCAGTCGTTGACGTAGGGGGTGGCTGTCGTCCACCGTTGCTGCCTGGAAGAGCGTATTCAGCCTTCTTAGGTCGGTTTTTTGAAGGCTTGGGTGGCGGAGGTATTGATTTAGCATACTCTAGCTGTTTTTTACGTATTTCCCGTTTGCGCTCCAGCTCTAGTCTCTAGAAAAAAAATAAGAAACAACGTCAACGGAAGGCCTACCTTAATGTCAATTTTTTCTTCAACTTGCGGCTTGATCTTCCCTTTATTCATGTATCGAACAGCTTCGGCAAAGTTCTTTCTCCTCTCATATCTGAGAGTGTCTTGAGTAGGAGCCTTCTCGGGCCCAAGTCCGCGAGATCTGTAGATTCCCTGTTGTTGCTGTAAGTTTTTGTAGTCCTTGACCGAGTATTTCTTGTAGACTGGTGACTTGTTCGCCGCGTTTTGTATTTCCAAGTAGCTATCCAGCGATTTTGACTTTATAGTAAACATACGATTTAATAGCCAATAAGAAACTATAGTACCTTTGGTGGATCTTGAGTCTGCATCGTCGGCCTATTGATCGTCCTCAACGCCGCCTGGCTTATATGCTTTTCAGGTGGGCGATACGAATCCTGTCCTTCTGGGATGCTGGGATGCCCGCTGTATGAGTTATTCGATTCCTGGAAGTAGTTGAAGGAGTTTTCCTGTGAATTGTAGTCAGGCCCGAAGCTATCGTCAAAGGACGTCCTAGAGAAGCTCTCGACGAGTTTTTTCATCGAATGATGGCTCGGCCTGTGCAGTTTTCCCAGATCTTCTCGGGATGTATTCACTGAAACGACATTTAATTGTTTTATCGATTCAAGAGATAGTTCTCAATTAAAAATCCTATTAAATAATTTAGGGTATTTTAAATACCGTATTTACTTGTCTGATGGAATTGCGGAATATATTCTTCTTCGTGATGTTTCGGTGATGGCTTTGGATACCCTAAACGGGTTTTCCGCACAGGCTTAAATATGGAAAACGGATCTACAGCCTGGGTATGACTGTGTGTAAAACTGTGTCTCTCTTCCTTTTTTGGCGAGTTTGAAAACTGCTCCGCATAAGATCTTGGTTTATTCAGCGATTTGCTTCGTTTTATCGGTGAGTTTTGAGCCTTCGGTCGTTTCGGAGGCGAACTCTTTGGCTTCTCAATTTCTGGCTTAGGTGGGAGAGACTTGTTGTTCTTTCGGACAGTCTTGTGCGTCTCCATACTCGCTGCTTGAAATTTTTCCTTTTCAAGCAGAATCGCATACTCTCTTTCGTATTGCTTTTGCTTCTCGGCATAGTATTCTTCGTTTTGCGATGCTCCCAATTCATGTTCTGTGTAATAACTGTCCTGCTTCAGGATTGATTTGCGCGGTGGCTCTTCTCGCGTCACATCAGACTCTTTAGTGTTGAACGCTGCATTTTCGTAGTTTCGAAAGTATGTTTCTACGAACGGCTCTTGCTGCTCTCTGGGTGCTCCAGAAGGTCTTGGACTGTTTTCAGAAGCTTTCATTGGCATCGGTCTTTCGAGCGTGTTCAGCTCTTCGAAATTTATATTGTCCAAGTAAGATTGGCGAGGAAGATGCCGCGGAGATTCGTTATCAGGAGGAATCGGGCTCTGATTAGGACTCTCTGTCCCTGGAGCATTCGTGTACTAAGGATAAATAAAATATGTAAGGATGGAAAATGAAGCTAATTGTGCTCTAGGTTGTTACATAATCATCCTTATGTAAGAGGATCAATTCAAAGAAGTAATGATTATACGAAGACGTGCTCTAATAACAATAAAGTACGTTGATGAAAATACCAAATTAACCCGACCGAATAGACTATATAGGCTCTAACTCTTGAAAACTTCATAAAAATGCCCTATCGTCACCCAGATCATATACTTACTCGGTAAAAGTCATTTCTCCCATATTCGTCTAAACTATCGTCTGAGTACTCATCCGACATCTATAAACAGTAAATTTTGGTTTTTAATTGAGGATAATTTATTTTTTTGTTTGAATACGCCACTGGTACAGAACTTGTTGGATCAGAGATTTTGCAATATAAAATATATCGTGAGATAGTGGTATAATCGGCAATATTAGAATGGGAAGCTGGAAGACAAATTTTGGCTGTTAGTTGTTTTTAGTTTGATGGAAGGAAGAAGATAAAATGTGAAAGAATTGATAAGAATTATTTACAAGAAATGAAACTAGACGGAGCGATATAAAGTTACAAAAATATATAATTTATGATAACGACACAGATAAAGGATAAAGTTCATCGGAGTAAGGGAGCTTTTTGGATCTTCTGAGAAGTTAGTAAAATGTCAAAATATAAGAAGAAACAAGATTGATTTAGTGGAGGACTTTGCAATACATACTAGTAAATTTTACTGTTTTGTTAGGAGCGATTTTTTCGATAAATTTAGGTAAGAAACGGAATATTTTCAGGGCACCATTAGACGTCTTCTTGGCACTAAAAATTCTGGTGAATAAAGGAGCTCTAGTGAAGAGAAAATGAGGATTTGATTTCTTGGTAAGTCTGATTAATTATCGTCATTTTATTCGGGTTTATTGAAATAAGTTATGAAATGATTCGAAAATCCTAGGTAAAAACTAAAACACTACGAAGGACATTCACATAACATTATACCTGGTCAGTGATGGCATCATAAAACTGAATTCACTAAGAAATTCGGCAAAATTCAAGTACTTACATGAAGAAGTCGAACTGCAACTTGATGACCCCTGATGAGTGCAACGTCGATAGGAGTCTGATTTGAAGAATCCACGATTTTGGCGGAGGCTTTCGCCCACAAAAGAAGCTAAAAAATAACGGTCTCAGGAAATTCGAGATCTTTCTGTACCTGGAGACAAACAATGTTGCCATGAAAAGCAGCGATATGCAGAGGGGTCTCATTCCTCGCCGTGCCACCGGAGTTCAGTTCCTGTGGCGAGGCGAAGGCTAGAAGTCGGAGAAGTAAGGGAACGTCACATTTGTATACAGCGTCGCAAATATTCGATGAAGAGACCTGCAAGTATGAGATAAAGAGAGCAACAAAATTAGACCTTACTTCTAAAGTCGATGAACTTATAAAAGCTTTGTGCTTGTATTTTTGGAAGATGAAATCTTCTTTTACGGATCGATCGGAATTTGGGTCTGGCTTGGTCGTTCCACGTAGCTGTTGTTCATATACTAATGGAATAAATTACTCACTTGTGAAGTAATGATTTCCGTCTGTACCCTTATTGAACGCATCATTTCCAATAGCTTGAAGCATCGCCTTATGCTCTGAGCTCCATTCGTCTAGCTCAACGGAGCGCACTCTTGAAATATGCGCTCCAAGGTTTCGATGGATTCCCGAGCATTCGATGCAAATTAAAATTCCCAAATTCAAGGATGCCCATGTTGGACTGGGCATGCCACAGTCAGCGCAGAACTTGTTCCCTGGCTTGTCGAAATTCGGCTGGGAGCCATTCGAGCTCAGCGAGCGTGTAGAATCGACAGATCGAACGTCAGAAGTACCAACGAGGCTTAACTTTAGTTAATTTCTTCATTTTTCAAAAAAAAGAACCTTTGTCTGAACATATTTTCAATAGCCTCGACCCAGGCATCTCTATCTTCAATCGCGTCACAAGAAAAATTCCACTGGTCACCAGACGAAGACACAACAGTGAAATCAAACGAGTTTTCTCCCTTTGAGCTGGGCTGCCCGGATCTGCCAGGGACTTTTACTAGGAGTTGAATTAGTGACTGTAATGGGGTGCATGCTATTTTAAATTACCTGTTGTTCGAATAACATCAACGACTTTGCGATCCTTGTCTTCGCTAAAGTCTGATTTACTTGCATAGTATGCTAAATGTCCGTCTTCTGTCAGTGTCAGATACTTCTTCTTGGAGGAATTGAGAGGTGCACCTTGCTTGTTGCGCTTGAGAACCCAGCCTTCCTTCACGATCGGGACACGGGCTAAAGCACCCACTCGTCTCTAGTTGAAGGGTAAGAGGATAAAAAAAATTATTTTAGGATATCAAAGAGTAGATAACATGTGTCTACTGATCAAACATTCATACTTCATCCCGTACAAAAAGTATATTCTCGTTCTCAGCTTGGATGACTGTCATGATCGACAAGGATTATCAAAGCGCACGCAATAAAAAGTACTTGATATATATCTTTATGAATGCGCGGTGGCAAACACATAATCGGGCTTATTCCGGAGGACATACACTTGGACAGCATATTAAAATCTTCCGCATCTAACGTATTAAATCTATATATGCAGCAATTTCAAGTTTGGATTTTCGTCTCTCAAGCTTTTTTGATTCAGAATAGTAGCTAACTTTACTCTAAAGCAAAAAGTAAACACTTTTTCTGTGATTGACAACGGCAAATAATGAATTGAGTGAACCACGCTGGAGTGAGATTCACAGACTCACCATAGAAAGAGATCAATTAGGCAAAGAGGAATAATTTATACCAAGTTTACCTTGAGACTGACTTCATCCAGCGCACCGGATCGCCTGGAAAATAGACTGGACTTCCCGGATTTCCGACGCACCGGTCGTCGTGAGTTTGTATGACTTGGAGTCGTGCTCGAGCCATCTATGATGAATATGATTAATCATTCTATCGTTTTTTGAAGAGTACAGGACTATTTCAGACCTGAAGATTCTCCATCATTATTCGGTTGCAAAGAAATACGCCCAAGTTGCCCTCGAAGTGGCGTTGTACTCATCTTCGACCTTGACAATGGGAGCTCAACCTGAGCTGCCCCAGCGCTAGGTAGATGGCTTCTTTGCCTGAGGACTTTCAGAGCCACTTCCGAGAAAACGCGCTCGACGTTCATTCCATAAGTAGCGCAGGTTTCGATGTAGTCGCCGTTGAGGTCTTGGGCGAGTTTACGCGCGCGCACATCGTCGATCACGCGCGGGCAACGAGTTCCTAACGAGTCTTGCGTTCCAATTATAAGCAAAGGTAAATTCGGCCGTTGATGCGCAAAGCGTCGCGAGTAATCTGAAACGAGTCTGAAGCTTTCTTCGTCAGCAAGCGAGAAAATTAGCAAAACACCATCTGCCCAAGAGCAAAGTGAGTGATCCGGCAGGCCAGCTTCATCCCGAATTAATAAGAGATGGCTTTCGCCTTCGATGTTCACTTCTTTCTTGAATCGTCCTCCTTCTGGGGACTCGTCATTAACGTAGCTTCCAGTGAGATAGCGATGGACCAAAGCACTTAATTTATAAATAAAGATTTTCATCCTTCTAAGGAAGTGTGAAAAACGTAGAGAAAATATGAAATATTGTGAGATTTACATAATCGGGATCGCTTCTTTTACCTCCCATCCCTGGCTTACTCAAAATATAAAACGGGTAGGCCAAAAAAAGAAATTCGTAATTATTCAGGATTATATTTGAATCAATTCAATGAATTCTTATTCAATCTAAATATGAATTTCACATATCAATCGAAAATATTCCGAACTAACCTTTTCCCGCTTCTTAGTCCTCCAATAACTGCCACTCGTATTTCGAGCACAGCCCTGGAAATGGTCCATTCTTGCGAGTTAACAAACGAGTCTTCAATATTTATGACATGTTCGCGAATTTGATTTTGAAGAGTAGGGTCGCTGACGCACTGCAAAAGCTCATAGACTGCATAGATATTTGGGTGGACGGATTCGAAGCGGCAGATTTCGGACTGAATCGCCGCCGAGGTCGACGTATCGGCCCATCCGCTCATGTTAGCATCGTTTGTTTTCCAATACCACAATGGTACTGTCCAGTTCTACTGCATTTCTGAACATGGCTGCTCAAGATGGGCCAAGTTTGAGGACGGTCAAGTTTGGAACAGTACGCATTATAAATAACTGTAATTTCAGTATCTTGACATGTCACATGTGAAATGATCATCGCGCTTGAATGATAATCGTAAATTGATTTAGGAAATCTATACCAATAAAGTTACAAAACAGAAAAATAGCAACAACTTGAATCTTATCTTTTTAATTTGGAAAAAAACTAAGCTTCTTTTTGATCATCAGTAAAATTGATTATCCTCACAAGTAGACTAGGAAAAAGTCCATTTAATACATATAGCAGATGGCAGAAAATAATTATTTTTATTTTTCAATAGTATTTAATCATAGTGCTAAATGTCGAGTTAATAAAAAGGCAATTTCGGATATATAGTTAATCTATTTTCTTTGAAAGTTTCTGTTTCTTTGCTTCTTCAGCAGCAGCCATTTGCTCTTCTTTATTAAAAACTATTAAATCAAGAAAGAATAATGATAACTTACTTTCCCGTTTTCTTTTTTCTCCAGCTGGTGTATCTTTTGATATTTGAGCGGAAGAATCAATGGTTTCTTGATTCAGTACTTCAGGTTTTTCTAGGAAATAAATTGAGCGCAAGAAATCGAAAGCTTTATCACCTGATAGGACATATCCATCTATAGAATCGCTTTTACGCATTGCCAGGAACATAAATTGTATTAAATTCTTTCTGAACTCTTTTCCCAGCGTAAAGTTCCTGGCAATGCATTCCATCATGGCAGTAGATCCGCCGCGCAATATTTCGCAGTTTAGGGCCGTCCATCTGGTCACAAATCTGGGCAATGCGGAGACGAGCTCCGGATCGGGATTGCCGACGTCGAGTTCGAAAAGAAATCGGCGCAGGAGGCTAAAGTTGTTTTTGAAAATTTGCAAAACATAAACTTTGAAGATCGGCTCATTTTTCTCTAAATCTGAAAATTCGAAAAAACTCAAGAGAGCATGACGAACCACCAAGAATCCGGCTACCAGGTTCATTTAACGAATATCTACTCCACTAAACGACACAGTAGGTCCTTGAAAGTGAATCTCATTCTCACGATGAAACTTTGAATGACTCAAGAAACGACGAACATACGGAAAATGTTACAATACTTTATTTATTCCAGAAATAAATGAATAAAAATCGAATAAATCTGAACATCAATAAGGAGAACACCCGCAATTCCAGCTTCATCGAAACAATGAAGGAAATCACCACTGTTAACCGACTTGTCAGCCTTGCGACCCGTGCAACAATTTTTCTGGTCATCATCGCTATCATCCTCATCTGGGGCTACACCAAGCTTGCTCACAAGCAGAAAACAGAAAATTGAATACTGTGCTTACCAGAAAAATATATATAACTTGTCAATTGAAACGAGTCAATTCAATTCAGAATAATTGCAGTGAACATTTTAGAACATGGAACGGTGGCATTTCTGTAATAGGTTCACTCTGGCCATGAATGAAAAAAGGAAAGCGTCTTGGAAAGGCGATTAACTTTTTCTAAATTAAGATGAATTCTGAACGTTTGCGTGGCTCGTTAGGAAAGAGATGGATTAGGTAGACGTCCGGCAAACGCGCGGACCCAAGTTCAAATCCACGAATTCCATTTGAGCATCTTCTTGTAATTGAAAACATTGTTGGAAAAAGCTACTCGTGAGGATAATTAACTCGGTTTTGCGTCAACGGTGGGCAGAAGATATTCTCAGGACATTTAAAACATTTGTAAAGCGATAAATTTATAGTGAGAGATCGTCAAGTGCCTTCTATTTAACCTGCAATCAAAAACAGTTGCTCTTTCTGCAAATATTTTCAAGTTTTTCAAGTGCAGATTTCTAGGGATCCCGAGTCTAGCATTGCGTCTTATTACTGTAGCAATCCAAATACAATCCAATGCGATCAAAAATTACTCTCAGAAAAGAGAAATCAAAATAAGGAACGTGACGCAAATATATGTAATTTTAAAACTCAGAACAAAGTTCCCCTCTTTCCTTCCAGAAGCATATCAATTCAATAGATCAATGCTTTTTATTATCCAGATCTTTTTTCTTGTCTAAGATTCAATCATATACCATTTTCATACTCGTTCTAGATTGCCACCATTCGTAAGCCTTTGAAACTTCCCTTCAAAGTATAAAAACTAAAAGATGAGGGTAGATTTCAAATTGAAATTGATTATTATACTCAACGCAATTTCGGCTTTCCCTTTCCGTAACTACGGTTATTTTCAAAAGAAAAACTCATTGTGTAAACATATGAGCTGAAGCTGAAATGCAATATTACCCAATTCTGCCATCATGAATTATGCACGGAATGTGTCTAGGAAAAACGAGGCAAAAGATGAATAGACGGAAGAAGCTTGATATTGACCTTTCGACGTGTGAGGCGCTAGTCGAGGAAGGGGACTTAAATCTTTTCGTTATGTCACCACTTCAGAAGGCAAAAAAATGACAATACAAAATAGCTACGAAGCTATAGATCTTATTGCCAGATCTCCTAACAGTCTCGTGTATACTGGCAGATGTAAGAGAGGAATACCAGTAATACTCAAGCAAATACCAAAAAAGACGATAACGAAGTATTACGATTACGGGAGAAGAAGATGCCCACAGGTAAAATAATCTTTAATCATCATATGTTAGAGTGTGCAAAGATGTTCCATATTTATATTTTCCGGAAACTGCGGCTTTGGGTAGTATGAGGCTGAGAATATCTTAAAAAAATGGAAATGAAGATTACGATGGATTAGGATAGTCAGAACGGAATTTATTTTCACTTTCTCGTTAGTTCAGATTATTAGTTTTGTGATAAGAATTGTCAAAGAAAAAATAACAAATTTAATATAATTTTCAGGAGATTTACTTCCAACTACTTGCGTCGAAAATATCCTCCTTCGTCGTGACTCCCTTAGACTGGATTGAGAAGGACGACTCCTACGTGTTAGTGATGGAAAACCCCAGCGATGTCGTGAATTTACGACAATTCGCCACTGGATTTCCAGGAGGCTGCTTACCAGAAGATTTAGCCCGAAGCATATTTTGTCAGCTTACGGAGGTATGTACGTAAGGGTATGAAGTTTTACATTATCTTGAGCGAGAATTCATCCTTCTTAGTCAGAGTTAAAAGGTGTGAACCCTCAAGATCCTTACTCATGTTTGATATTATGCCTAAACGACCTTCGTTTGATCTGAATGAGGCGATGACAACAATACTTTTGCATTGCCACCTTCACTACGTATTTTTAATAAATTTAGAGAACAGGCAGCGCCTTGTCACTTGTAAACCCATGATCTCAAAATAGCGTGTGTTGATCCCTCGTTTTTAGTGCCTGCGTGAGCTACACGACAACGGGATCATCCATCGCGATATCAAACCCGACAACATTCTCATCTCGAAAAACTCCTTCGACATCAAACTCATCGACTTCGGCTGCGCAACCTTCTCGCACTTAGCCGATCAAAATGTCGCCGGTACTCTGGACTTCTTCCCGCCCGAATGTTTCACTTTCAATGAATTTGACAGTGAGAAAATGCTTGTGTGGTCTATGGGCGCGCTACTGTACTTTCTGCTCTGTGGTGAATTTGAGGTCAACATGGGTCAGCACAGGCGAAATTTCAGAAGAGAGATAAAACTGACGAATACGAGTCGAGAAATGTTAGACAGGCTGCTGTGCTACTTCCCGACAAAGAGGATTTCTCTGGACGGTCTCTATAAATCATCTTGGCTCAACGACAACCCATCTATATAAACTGCTTCATGTTTCCACTTGAAAATAAATTCCTTTAAATGGCCCTCATCCTAGACAATCGATTCCCTTGAAATTAAAGGCTTGAATATAATACCTCACCTCAAATTAGATTCGAGAATATTAGCTTCAGCAATTGGAGCTTCATTCGCAAAAATCCTTTCAATAAAAGCTTTGAATGCAGCGGTCACATGATCTTTGTTCGACTTGATCAAGCTAACCAAGTCTTTGAATTCTTTCCGGCAGCTGGATTTGTTCGCAAAAAGGCTGAAAATTTAATTTATTTGGGAATAAATGCAAAGAGCATACTCTAATGCAGCTTTTAGCGGAAGTTTGAAGATTTGAACATGCTGAACTATCTTATCCCAAAGGCTCGCTTCTTCTCCAGACATTCCAGTCTTTCGACAGCTATCCTCAACTTCGCCGAAGAGGAAACCCATCAACGTTTCATTATTTTTTGCAGTGAACTGGAAGCTGTCGAAATCAGGGGGAGAGGGCGCTTGTCGAGGAGCCTGTCTTGTTCGCCTTGGCGGGTTGCTCCCGAAACTTCCATTTGACAAATTTACTGGTGGTGTGTCAACTGGTAACTGTGTTGGTTGGTTCCATTGCATTGGCTGAGATTCGCCTCTTGCAGAGTGTTGAGGGGGCATGCGAGAAGCAAGAACTTCAATTGAACTTGTTCCAGGTCTTTGATCGCTGGAATAGAGGTTTTGCAATGTTTGGAATACCGCTTCGCCGACTATTCTTCCCACTTCTTGATTCGGCTGGCCCATAGATTCAATAACAACGGGATCGCCAGAAGAATTGAATCTAAAGGAACAATATTACTCCATAAAATATGATGAGTTTCACCTATTGACAGATCTGGTGATCTCGTTCAAGATATCACGAGGAAGCATTGAGGACAAATGATCAGGCATTACCGGAGGTGGTGGCGGCGCTGCAGTAGATGTCCGGTTACCTTCACTCCCGTTACTAGCAGCTGGAGCAGCTGTCGAGGTGCCATTAGCTTCATTTCTGGGCACAACTCTGCGACTGGCAGCACCAGATGGTCTCGCTCGAGACGATTCGCGAGGAAGGCGGATATTTATTTGTACATTTGGCGTGATACTCGCTGTGATATTTATATTCGCCGTTGTTGCTTGATTATTTGGCGCTGCAGCTGATGGTTGCTGCTGTTGTTGCGTTTGTTCAGAAGCGGGTGGTGGAGCAGCAGCTGGTGTTGGTGCTGGAGCTGCTGGTGGACCTCCGGAGGCGGGAGCAGCAGAGTTAACTCCAACGACTGGAATAATTGGGTCCGGCATCGAAGCTCGGAAACGATTGAACTGCTCGGCTAGTCTTTGCTGCGCCAGTTGCGACACTCCTTGCGTTGGAAAGGGGATTTGCTCTGAAATCAGCAGCTGCGGTGGATTCGTGAATACTATAAAAGGAAAGCAATTAACAAGTACGTTTTTAACTAGACAGTACTTGATGTAGCGTCAGCACTTGAACCAGTCATGGACTCATCACCTTGAGACCCTCCAGCTGGACCTTCAAATGCCATAAGAGAACCGAGCAATCCCGCTTGATTGCTTCAAATATGATAATTTTTATTCGGAAAATGTTGATTCTCAAATAATGATGAATATATCACATTCCTAGGAGCCAGAAGAATATTCGGGGGCAAGCGATAATTTCCCTGCTGGATGATATTCAAATTTCTCGGAGGGACTTCTCCTAGCGGAATGATCAAGCTGGAGAAGATCTAAACATCCTTATTTATAAAGAATTCTTGATTGGTTTGTACCTGCGCGAATTGATGTAAATATCGTGAGGCATCCATTGCATTTTGAACAAGTGATCGAGCTTCAGTGAATTCCGTAGAATTACGAGATGCTAACAACGGATCGTCGGATATGAACGTGTGTAGACGTCTCAGAGCAGCTGGAAAGCGTTCAATGCTGTCAGCAGCGCGATTTACAATTGATGCGAGATCTGTCACCGGAATAGGATTGTTCATCTCGGCCGGATTTGGCGGGTCTGGCTCATTTGCGAATTGCCGAGAGTCTTCTGGAGTAGCACCTCTATCTAAAGCCGTAAGAGAACCTTCGAAGCGAGCGAGCCAAGTTTCCATTGAATAGAGTCGACTTCGTAGTCCTTCCCTTGCAGCAGAAGTCCTATGCGAAGTTCTGTAGCGTTCTCGTCCTCTTGGTCGATCAGAATTTCTGCTTCTGCTGCTGCCTGACCCATTTGGCTGTTGCCTGGTCTGATCTGCCCTTGAATTTACAACTCTATTTGAGTCGACTACGTGAACTGCAGATCCATTTATATCAGCCTGATCTTTCAGTAAGAGGTTGTCTGTGAGCACTCGCCCCCGATAGATGATTTTTTGCCGGTTTTTCGCGATTTGAGTCTTTTTCTCGATCAGCTCCTTGAGCTGGAGTACGGTCGAGGTGTCGACAAGAGTCACTTCGTTTGTCTGACCGTCGAGCGTTTTCACTCGTATCGTAAACTCGCCCATTCTAGTGGTTTTCGATGAACATGAAGGCTTTTAGTCAGGCAAGTATAAAGTTTTATTTTTGTTTTATAGAAATTTTACAGTAAGTGATCATATCTAGTAAATGTTTGATTGCATCGTGAACTCATGGGCGTTTTGAAGGCATTCCCGCTCGATAAGCGGCGGATAGCTTGACGTTTTTTCTTGAAGAATTTTGGCTATGCTCTGAAGTATAGTAGTAAAGATAAAATCAGATGACGCTTTGAGGGTACCTCTCACAATATGAGCATCTCTCGATACGATCGGGCGCCACTCTTTTGGAAGACATTCATCTGTTATCGTTTCGGCTAAATTTTTATCAAGAAAGGAAGTCCAAACAATTATATGTGATGATTAAATCACCAATATCTTTCACAAAGTCAAAGGGAAGCAAGTTTCTCGTTAACTTACCTTTCGGTTTATCAGTAGAAATCTTCCGACTTCCCGGTGCACTCGACTGTGAAGAGGCTGAAGATAATGATTGAGCGGGGCTCTTTGCCACTGCTTTGGATTCTTTAACCATATCATCATGATCTGAGTCGATGTCGTCCTCCATGAGACCGTCATCAACCGGCTCTGTGGCAGGCTTTTCTGTTTCTAATTTCACTGGAGTCTCTTGAACTGAGAAAATATTTATCAAAGGATTTATCTTGTTCTCTCTTACTATCCATCACATATCCATCGATAAGCAGGTCTTTATCGTCACTGACGGAAGCAATATAAATAGCATTTTCAAACATTTCTCTCCTCCGGACTCCGTAACCATTACTTGCTTTAGCAAAACTGGCAGCATGGAGAATGAAATCACGTTTACTTTGGAATATTTCGCAGTTGAGCTTGACGAACTTTTTGGCGAAGTTTCGCAGCGTCTTTCCGAGTTGTTCGCGGTTATGAACTGTTTCTTTGAGAAGACGCAGGGTATGACGGAGGAGGCTTCAAGCGCATATTATCACATAATAAAGAATATATTTTATTACCTCATATTTGACTCGATCACGTCAATATCTTTCTTTCCCTTTTTCAACATCTCGTCGCCAAAGAAAAGTCTGAACATGCCGGGCATTCCTCCTTCCAAAATTCCAGCGAACATGACGATCTTTCGGAAGATGCCTTGCAAGTTTTCAGACGCATCTTGCCGGTCAAAAATGGCAACGACCTCACGCATGTGAATTGACTCAATTGACGATCGGAATGGAAGAAGTGTAGGGTTGTTTCCGATTTCACTTCCGATCCAGTCAATTAGTCGCATTTCAAGGTCAACTTCTTTGAAACGAATAATTACCTTGAAATTATTAGTTCAACGAGAAATAAAATAGATCCTACCCCTCCTTGAGAAAACGTAGCGACATCAGGGCCACTGATATCAGCGGCTGGGGACAACGGCGAATGGCTTCTTCTTGAGGAGTTTCTCGAAGAGTTTCTTGAAGAATTTCTCGTCGAAGAAGGCCTTATTTGAGCTGCTTCTAATAATGCGGCTTCACGTTCGTTGAAGGGCTGTCCGACTACGTCTACGCCATCTCTTGTTGTAATATTTTGTGGGTTCGTCAAGTTGTCGAAAGTCTGACTGAGGGCTTCTCCAATTACACGACCAACTTCTCCGTTTGTATCGGTGTTTTCGCACTCTATTTGAAATTAAAAAATAATATTCAACACCTTCGAAATTACCAATTACAATTGGGCTTCCAGTTTGAGCATTATTATTCACAGACGCAGTTATTTGCTCGATAATATCTGCTGAAAGACCTGTTGCCCTTCGAGTCGCATCTTCGGCACTCGAAGCATGGAAAGTTGCTTCTTCTCCACGGTTGTTTCGAACAGGCTCCATGGCCATGCTTGGTGGAACGATTCGAATGTGAATATTTGGTGTAACTTGTGCGTTGATTGTGATGTTCGCATTTATACCACCAAGTCGGTCGTCGCCTTCTTCACCATCAATCGCGCCAAGCCTATTCACCATTGAAATAACTTGCGCTTGAAGTGTAGCTTGTTGTCCATTAGTTTGGTTATTTGATGGACTAGATGATGAAGTAGTAGTCGAACTCGTCTCTTGTGTTGTTTGTGCCGTGCTAGCTGCCGATGGCAAGTGGTCACGTAGTTGATTCACTTGGTCTAGCATCTGTGTGTGCTGCTGGATGTGTCGGTCGAGTTGAGCGTTTAACTCCGCAGCTCTCGTCCTTATTTCAAATGATTATTATCAGATTCTCATACGTTGACTTACCCTGTTCCCGCTAGACGTTCTTGAATCGAAGCATTCGCATTTGCTAGAGCTCCTTGCAAGCCATTTTCAATTTGAGCACGGATATTTCCGAGAATATCATCTGAGTCTTGCCCATTTGCGTTAGCAGTGACGCTGACCGGAATGACTATTCCTGCTGAATTGCCTCCTGCGCCTCTCGCGCCTTGATTTCGGGACACACGAGTCTGTCGGTACTCAACAGTTCTAGGTGGCGGAGCGGACCAATTGATTCTTGCGCTAGACATACGCGACGCTGCTGTTCCAAGACGCATGAGTGCACTGGATGCATTACGAAAATCAGCTTCCAACGCTTCAAAATCAGAAGGCGTATCAGCTCTCAGCCCCAGAGCAAGAGATCTCAAACTTGCTGGCAGATTGTCCATTCCACGAGCCAAATCTTCCATGTTCGTGGCTAGTGCGTCCATATCGTTCATACTTCGATCTGTTGTGTCAGTTGTTATCGAACTTGTCTGGCGGTTGTCTAGACGCGATGCAGCTGCGACAAAAAGTGTCACAGCGCGGTGCATTTCCACGCGAGCTTGAGATGGAGCAGCAGCCTGTGCCTTATAAAAGTTTCCATAAAGTTGCAGATTCCTCAATGGAAATAAAAATCTTCCACTGTTGGGATTTCCCGCTCGAAGGGAAAACTATTCATGGAGACTGTTCCTGAGTACTGGTAGACGTATCATTAGACGGAGGAGCGTTAGAAACACAATGGACAACTGAGCCATCCTGAAGACCACACGAGGCAATGGCGGATCTATCACTGAGCTCTCGGCCTTGGAAAATTATCCTTTGGCGACTTGGCGGAGTTCCCGTTTTCTCTTGGAGATCTTCCTTCAGAGCTCCGATGCTAGAAGTGTTCATTATTTTCACCTCATGATCTTCGCCCGCAAGCATTTTGACTCGAATATTTATCCACCTCGGCTCTGTCATTTTACATGAATGCTGAATACGATGCGTGTTACGACAATTTTTATTGGAGCAAATTTATTGAACTAATATTTCAATCAGGAACTGTTTTCAAAAGTGGACATGAATCATGAATACGTTTGCGGTGATAAAAAACTGAAGAAGGAAATGTTTCTAGCGACTTGTTTACAAGTCGATGATCGTACGCAGAGCTCGGCCAGCATGCATATCTTCGAAAGCCTAAAGAAATAGTCAGGTATGGAACAAGTCTTACTAGAAGTAAGGATAAAGGATTCATACCTGGTTGATTTCTGTGAGCGGCATATGACCAGTGACAAATTCGTCAAGTTTCATGTCACCAGCGAGATATTCTTCCACAAGCTTGGGAACCGAATCACGGGATTTGTATCCCCCAAAGGCTGTACCTCTCCATACTCGACCGGTAACCAGCTGGAAAGGGCGCGTGCTTTGAATGATAAATTAATTTTAGGCAACAAGGCTTCAGCCTTAGATAAATGAAAAGGCGAAATAGAGCACGCGATCTTGATTTCCGATTTTTGTTCGAACGCAAGATGTGCGACGCTCTTATCCTTTTAAGGTATTTACCTGATTTCTTGGCCTGACGCAGCGACACCGATGATTACAGACTCTCCCCATCCTTTATGGCAAGCTTCCAGAGCAGCACGCATAGTGTGGACGTTTCCAATGCATTCAAAAGTGTAGTCCAAACCACCATCTGTCATGTCAACAAGAACGTTTTGAATTGGCTAAAAATAAGTTAACATTTTGTTCACATCTTATTATACATCTTAACGTCAAATTAATAGGCATGCATGTAAATTTATAAAGTCTGGAGTCAATCTTTAAAAGACTTGCCATTGGAGCGCTTGTGCGTCGATAAATAATGAGATTTCATATAATCATTATTATAAATACAGTTAGAATTTTGTGCCTTGTCATAGTCTTTCGGATTGACCACATCAGTACATCCAAATTGTTTCGCCACTTCGAATTTGCCTGGATTGATGTCCACGCCGATGATCCTCGATGCCTTCGCCTTCACTGCGCCCATGACAACTGCAAGACCAACAGCGCCAAGTCCCCAGACAGCTACAGTCGATCCTTCTTCTACCTTCGCTGTATTCAATACGGCGCCGTATCCAGTGGTGATTCCACAGCCAAGGAGGCATACTTTATCCTTAGAAACGCGAAATTTGAATTTTAAATAGTGATGTAATTTTACCTGAGGTGCCTGAGGATTGACGGCACAGACAGATACGCCGGCGACGACAGTATATTCAGAGAATGTCGAGCATCCCATGAAGTGGAATAATTCTTTATCGCCGCACTTGAATCGAGATGTTCCATCGGGCATTTTTCCTGGTTAAATCATTTTAATGAAGGAAAAAAACGGTGCTTTTACCTGCGCCTTGAGTAGCTCGGACCTTTTGACAGAGATTGGTCTTCGGATTCCTGCAAAATTTGCAGTCTCTACATTGTGCAGTGTAGAGAGGGATGACAACGTCGCCTGGTTTCACGTGATCGACGCCCTCGCCAACGGATTCGACGGTTCCGCAGCCTTCGTGACCGAGAATAACTGGGAAAAGACCTTCGGGATCGTGTCCGCCGAGTGTGTAAGCATCCGTGTGGCAGACTCCAGTGAAGTTGACCTTCATTCGGACCTCTCCGGCCTTTGGAGGATCGACTGTGATCGTTTCAACTTTGAGTGGCTCTTTTGGACCCCACGCAACGGCTGCCTTGCAAGTGATGACTTTACCTACAGTGCTCATTCTTAACAAATTTTGAAATAAATAAAATCGTCCGCTCTCTCGTTTCTTGGTATCCAAAAGGTAGGCGTCAACTGAGCTGTAAAATATACAGATACGTAGGCAAGTAAAAACAAATTGACCCCGACCGATTGCAGAGCAAACACAATCATTTACTATTGGTAAATAATGAAAATAAACACAAGGGCTATATTTTGACCCAATGCCAGAGAGGCACCTTCGATGATCCCGTGATCTTTCACAATCAAAGATGATCATCATCAATTTTCATTCAACAATTTTAGCGGGCAAAATCAGGTGATAACAACTGAAGGCAACGAAAATTAGATTTGAGCAAAGTTACATGAGGATAAATGGCAGTTGAAAAAAATGCTTGCACAAAATATGTTTCCTATAAGTTTACAAGGAAAAGCTGTTTTTGATGCGTACTTCATCGACGACTTTCTTGACGACTATTGGATCTTCTTGAACTTATCGAATCCTGAAATTGAAAAATTCAATTGCGAATCAAAATATTTCAATGACTGCAGAGATTCATTACTCCGCCACGCCCATCAACTAGTTACCTCTCTAGTTTTGCTAGGAAGTCGTTTGTCTGAAGGAAGATTGTTGAAAAATGGATGTTTGAGTGCTTCTGCGAGGTTTATTCTTCGTGACGGCTCATATTCGAGCATCTAAAAGCGTCATTACTAAAGGTTTAATTGAAGAATAAGGTTACCTGGGCAATTAGATCAAAAAATTTGACATGTTCGGGCTCGTCTCTTCGACGGCAGTATCGAATAAGCGGCTTGCAGTTTTCACGCACGTACTTTCCGTTGCTCGACTTTGAGTCCCAGTCGAGTTTTCCCCTGCGGAAATATTTCGTCTTCTTCGTTTTCTAAAGCGCCCATCTAATGTTTCGCTTTTAATGATTTGAGCGTACCTCAATCATATGATTCGGAATAGGGCCGAGAATTCTTTCCATCATGGCGAGATGTTCCAGATTGTCGTGCGTCTGGAACATCGTGATTCCCATATAAAACTCAAAAATAATGCACCCAATGCTCCAGACATCGCAGCTCTGCGCCCATCCTAGTTCCAATACTACCTCAGGAGCGCTAAACAAGTTTCTTTACACGACATCCGAAGCTAGAGCAAATTTACCGATAGTGTCGTGTTGAAACAACGGCGCTGTGATGTTCATGATCAAAGGTAGCTGAGCCCATGTCGATGACTCGTATGTCAGAATTCTTCAATCGTCTGTACTCACGTCGTTTTCGGTGGGAATACTCGACTACGCAAAACATTATCAAGTATGAAGTCAGAATGGAACAGTTAATCGGAGTCGGTGGAAGATGCGCTCTTCCGCTTGACTTACTTCACTTACCTTTATGAGAGGAATCAACGAGAAGAATATTTTCGGGCTTCAAGTCTGTATGAGTGAGTCTGTTGTCGTGCATGAATTTTACGGCCCAGCAAAGCTTGACATATATTATTGAAAAAGTCCTTTCGATTTTAGTCTTACTTGATAGGTCATATGCCTAACGTGCTCAAAACTGTAAGGCCTGTAATTGTTATTCTTCTGAAAATCAAAGGTGCTTTCTCCCAGTACAGGGAAGGCCAAACAAACGTGTCCACGATAGTTGAAGTGGTCGAAGAGACTGACACAGAGATATTTGCCCTTTGGATCTTTTCTTGTGAGCTTCTCAAGAACATTTATTTCTAACTTGGCCGCGTCCCGGTATCTTGAAAATGGAGTAAGAATCTTTCAAATGAGCCGCAGAAATAGAGTGTTGAAATAGGAGCTAGGTTAGTAGGAAACCTTTCGATATTTTTAATAATTTTCAGGGCGACAGTCTGGCCACGCTTTTTGTCGAAGCATTTTGCCACTTTCCCAAAAGTGCCTTCTCCGAGCGTTTTGTCGATCTGGTAGCGATCATTAATGACGTCGCCGCGTTTAAATTTTAAATGACCGTCTAGAGTGAAGAGTTGTAGTTGATTACTTTAGAACACAGCGAGATACTCCGCCAAGGAGTGATACGCATGACTCTTTTGGATGAGTATCTCGCGTGTCTAAGTAAAGAAGCGTTGCCAACTAACCTTGATCGACTTTGGTGGGAGCCTCAGAGCCGTGTCGTCGTCGTCGCCGGTGGGAGCGGGAACGGGATCGCTCGGAAAGGCACTCGGATCGATCGCGCTTCTCTCGCTTGAATCGCCTGAACAAGAACTTCCAAGTCAGTCAAACTTACAAAGCCTACCGTCCGCTGGAAGACCTTCTTCGCCTAGAAAACGATTCCATTGAATAGTCCCTTTTTATCGAGTCACGTTCTCGTTTGAGATCAAGCTCTCGTGAATCTGTCCGACTTCTCTAAGATAAAAATTTTATAATCTAACCGCTACGCAAGCAACTTACTCTTCTTTTCTTTCGCCGCGAGTGATACCCATCTTCTGAGCTCTGAGACCCATTTCGATCTGAGCTATACGATCTCCTTCGCATTCTTAATTCATAAACATTATTCGAATCATCTTTTGAGTTGTAGTTTTCAAATTTTCATTCTATAACGTTCGATATCTCATTCTTTCAGGGATTGGCTTCAGGGAACTGTCTCTTTCGTGTCTTTCTTGTGCTCTTCGGCGTCGCGGCTGGTGCTTTCTTTCTTCCTCTCTTCACTGGAGTCGCTTCGACAACAGGTTCATCCTTTGGTGGCTTGACTGGACTCTCTGGCACTTTGACGGGTTCTGGCTCGCCAGTTGGGAGCTTGATATCTGTGATGCCGACTTCTTTCAACGCTGCCAATAACGCATCGTCCTTTTTGTTTCGCTGTCTCGCCGCTCGTTCTAGAGACAAAACAGGTAAACAAGTTTACGATGATTCAAAAACTTACTCAACTGAGCTTCGGACTTTTCTCCATAGAGTCTCGCTCGATTGGCTCGGTGGCACAAGCCAGGCTGGAACTTCTTATTTGCTCCTTTCCACAAATGCTCGTGGATTTTCGTCTTGTCCATCACCTTGCAGACCAGGAGTCGCTCATGAAAGAGGTATTTGTCCATGGTCTTGGCGGCGATTCGTGCATTTTTGGCATCATCGTATTCCAAAAATGCGTAACCCTTGCTTTTCCCTGTCTAAACGAAATCAGTCGTGAATTTCAGAATTCGATCCTTACTTTTTTCGATCTGGAAAGTCTGAGTCGAATGATACGTCCGAATTGCTCAAAGTATTTTCTCAAGGAAGGCTCCGAGAATTGAGCTGGTAGATGGCCGACGTAGAGAACTCCTGGTTCGACCTTTTTCCTAAAACAAGTATTCTCATCGAACTCGAGAAACAGTTGATTACTGTTTATTGACGCCCGATTTTCGTAACTTCTTGACTTTCTTAGCATATTCTCCTTGATCCTCTGCGTTGAGAGCAAGAAGTTTCTAAATTAGACTTCATCTACTAAGATCAACGAGTTGAAAACAACCTTTTGTCTTTCAGACGATTTTTTCTCTGCTTTTGTAATCTGTGGTTGAGTGTCAACCTCCATTCTAAAAGCGATACAACTGAGACGGCTATATTTTGAGCTTTTCATTGAAATAATTTATTTGGTTGAAGTTGTAAGGTAATTTCAGGTTGTGTTTCAAGCATTGATACAGGTTTTCGACATGTTACTTTCTTAGGAAGATAGAAATGAGAATGGTTTCTTTTTAGTTGTCTTTGTTTACAAAGGCCTGCATTCCAGTAATTTCTCGGCCAAGGATCAGCGTGTGGATGTCGTGCGTGCCCTCGTACGTGTTAACTGCTTCCAAGTTGACCATGTGTCGCACAATATGATACTCGTCTTGAACACCGTTGCCGCCAAGCATATCTCGAGCTGTCCTGGAGATGTCGAGCGCGGTCTGACAGTTCTTTCTCTTCAGAATCGAAATTTCAGATGACGAGGCAGTACCAGCGTCCATTCGGCGGCCGAGGGTCAAGGCAGCTTCGAGGCCGTAAGCGATTTCGGAGAGCATATCGCCCATTTTGTACTGCATCAGCTGTTGTCGAGCAAGGGGCTTTCCGAATTGAATTCGCTGAAAATATGACAGGAAGGAAAAAGAGAGAATTTTACCTCAAGAGTGTAGTTTCTAGCAGCATGAAAGCAAGCTTCAGCAGCTCCCATTGCACCCCATCCGATTCCATATCGGGCATTATTCAAGCATCCAAATGGACCGCTCAATCCTTCGACATGTGGCAAACAGTTCTCTCCGGGGACCTTGACATTGTCCATGAAGATGGAGCCAGTCTCCGAAGCTCGGAGGGAGTACTTGCCAGGAATGGTTGGAGTTTCGATTCCTTCCCATTGTCGCTCTAGGATGAAACCTTTGATTTTCATGTCGTGAGCTTCGGATCGAGCCCAAACGACGAGTGTATCAGCGATTGGGCTGTTAGTGATCCAGGTCTTGCCACCGTTGAGAATGTAAGTATCCGTAGCCTTGTCGTACTTGGCAATAGTTTCCATGCCGTTGGGGTTCGAGCCGTGGTTCGGCTCCGTGAGACCGAAGCAACCGACTTTCGCGCCACTTGCCAGGTCGGGGACGTATTTTCGCTTTTGCTCTTCTGTTCCGTAGGCGCAGATGGGCCACATCACCAAGGAAGACTGGACAGAAAGGGCGGATCTGATGGTGTTAACGATTCGCTCTTGGATAGTTTATGGCTACCTGTAAGCAGAGTCGACTCGCTCAATCTCCCGAGCAAGAAGTCCATAAGTGACGTAGTTGACCTCAGCGCAGCCGTATTCTGCGGGACAAGTAGGGCCAAGAGCGCCAAGCTCGCCGAGTTCGTACATGATATCCCGATCGAAGTTGTTGTTTCTGTTGTCCTGGACGATTCGGGTCATGAGTTTCTCATCGCAATATCGCTTGAAGGAGTCGCGGAACATTTTTTCATCTTCGCTGAGCCGAGACTCTGAAGGAAAAGACAGTTTTAGCAAAGAAAAATAACGAATGAATTAACCTAAATCGAAGGGGTCTTCCCAGTTGAACTTTCCCCATTTTTTGCTGGCAGCCCTAGTACAGGTGGTCTGCGCTGATCTCTGTGCTATTCTAGCGAGAACCATAACCTTCTTCTCACTGTTTATTGAAATTTGGCTCCTTTCAAAAACTTCAAAAATCTAGAATAAAGTGATAACACACGCCCCTTTTAGTGATAAACTGACGAGGCCAATAACAATTCGTGTCACTTGTTGTCCAATGAGCGTGACGCAATTTCTCGTTCTCGAAAATTCAACAAAAACGGAAAAAAGAACGTTTTGGTCACATTGCCCGAGGCGTTATTTTCGTCAAAAGATGCTGCAATATTCAAAACGTCCATTTTCTCTATGAGTCATTCGTTTCTTGGTGGTGGAGGTGCTCGAACAACCTCGGGCGGGTTCACGAAAACACTGAAAAAAGGGAGGAACTGAAATTTTTGAAAAATGAGATGGTTATTGATTTTGAATTGGGTTTGTTTGGTGAGAAGCGCTTATAAACCGCCGGAGCAATGTTTTTTCTGCGTCAGCGATCAGGAGGAAGATTGTGTGCGCGGACAGGCTGCAATGAAATGGGACAAAATGGGATGCAGGTAAGGCGATTAGGCCGTTTAGTAGTTCCCAATTATTCTTGAGAAAACACTTTATTCTTAATGATAGTGATGAGCATTTCGACACAGAGTGCCGAACAATGGAAGGAATCCAGGTCACTCTCGGAAGCGAACCAGACAACAACGAAAAGATCATCGAAATATGCGGCAAGCGTCTCGGCCAATGCCAACCCCACTTTACCGTATGTTCCCATCTCATTTACTTTTTTTCATGAAACTGTTCAGTCAACGAATCACATTGAAATGAGAATGTGTTGTCTTGACTGCGACTTCACAAACAGTACAATGAAGTTCACGAAAGAAATCAACCCCGCTCAGGATCGAAGAAAAATGCGAGTCAAAGTCGTCCTCGGCATTTTTGCCGTGTTCTTCCTTTTAGGTAACATTTGCGTAAATGAATAACATGCGCAAAAAACAACTCGAGTCTCCTTACATAACGTGTCTATTTCTAGCATTTACTGGATACGCTGCTCATAAGAATTTCTTCATCAAAAGAAGAGAAGTCCGCCCGGTTACCGAAGCTGATTACTTCAAATAAAACTAAAAATCATTACTGTTACATAATCAAGCTCCTCCCTTTTGCCAAGTTACTGTATCTGCACCTTCTGTATGTATATTTATAAACATTCAACAGCTGATTTTTATCGAATATTTATTGAATTGTGAAGCAGTTCGACAGACAAAATCGTTTTCAAAAGAATCTCTTCGTTGTTTTCACAAAAACGTCAAACAGGCCGTAGGAATAAACAGATAAAGTGAACTTGGATAATTATCAAAACATAAAACAAATGTTGAACAGGATTGAATGAATAGGATTTATGGAAGAGATTGCGGGTAGTCAAACTACAGATATTCTATTCTTTTGCACTTGGAAACTTGGTCTAGTATCGACGCTTGGTGGTATGACTTTGCATCGACATGTTCAGCTGGGAAGTGGAGATTGGGCCTTGTTTGGAGACCCAGTCCTTCATTTGCTGCTTGTTTCGGTAGTGGTCCGACAGCTGGTTAGTGAAGATCGGGAGGACCTGAGAATTCTGTTGAAAAAGATTTCCAGGCACAGTAGGAGATGATAACTTCGGTTATTGATTTTTGAAATCAATGAAATTAAGATAGGATATTTATGTCGAAAACCTTTCTGAAAGTCCACTTCCTGTAACATGAAAAAGTCAAAGCGATCAAGCAATTACTTCTAAGTATCAAAATTTTTAATAAGTTCAAAATATAGTATATTTACCCTTCAATAAAATAGGATGCTAACTCTCGTTCTACGATTTCAATACATAAAGTCTAACCTCAACAGCATCAGCATTGCCAGACTTCAGATAAATGTAAGCATCAGTTCCGTATCCTTCGACTGACTGAAGCATCAGATCGCCTCCGAGATATCTGGCGTAGAGTCGCGACAGCGGAATACCGTAACCGTAACCAGCAAGTGGGGCGATGTTTTGTCCGTCTTCGGACTTTGGTGGCGGCGGCGCGGTACTGTACATGTAATGCGTCCATCGGCGGCACTCTTCCAAGCAAGCACCACCACCGAGATCAGAAATTTTGATGCAGACATTGTCTCTGCCCTTGGTCAAGAGAACCTTGACGGGAGGAATGTCAAAGGTACCGTGCTCCTCGACCATCGCTCGCATCGAGTTCTTGAAGAGCTCGAAGCAAATGTGGTGAAGATGCGAGGGAACGTAGCCCATTTCGATGTAGTTCCGGTCTGAAATTTCGATTAGAATTTCTGTTGACGAAACGAAAAATTTGGAATGAAATTTAATCATGAGGTGAATCGGGAATTAAAGATTTGTGCTTGGATCAAAATAGTTTAAAGTTTTATACCTTTTTCTAAATCTAAAAAGTATAGATTGAAAAGAGCTTTTAAAAATGTAGGACTTACCGTTGACAAGCTCGATTTCAACCTCCGGAGCACCGAGATAGTATTTCTCACAGAGGTGCTGGGCAGCGTGGGCAGCGTCTTCTACGACTTTTCTGATGTCACATTTTGCATCAAAAGCGCCGATCAACGCGTGCTGGGAGCGGTCTTGGACATGCGACCCGAACATTCCAACTTAATATCTCGATTATTTTCAAAGTAGAAAGGAGGGGCGAACCGTGTTGGTTGATGAGTACTCGGATGGCAATTCGAGACATGTAGAATCGATCGAGAAAGTATTGCATCTTCTCTTCATCGATGCTTCGGTTTCCAGTGTTTTGAACGCTAGCCTTGTACTCCATCACGGAATACGCAACCTGTTCAACCACGGACCTACACGAATGTTCTTAGAAAACTCGAGAAAAGAGCTGCTTTACCGATGTCGATTGACAATTCCGTGAAGCGAATTGAGAAAATCCTCTCGGACTTGCTCATCGTTAGCGTCTGATTTTTCAAAGATGAGGACTTCTCCCAGCGTTTCTTCATACATCTGCTTCACATTTTCAAAACTTGGGGTCGTCAAAAGTTCCTTGGGGAGGCGGTTCATTTCCTAGAGCCCGTTTTAATAATGAAGACGATTGAAGGATTTTTACCTTGATCATGTTAGCAAGGCGAGTTGGCAGTTCATAGCGTAGGTATTCGAAGGATTTTTGCTCGTTGTCAGAGGTAGCACCTTAGAATTTAATTGAAAAATTTTCAAATATTGGAATCCGCTATTTATCGGGTGATACATCCTTCAACCCGTGGTCAATAAATTTCAGTTAACGATTCGTTGCGTAACGATAATACTAGCCACACCCAGTTTATTTTCATCGTTATTACGGACTCATTAGACAATTCTGAGTGCGGTCAGATTCTGGTTTTCTAAATCGGCCCATTTTTACGAGCCATAAAAAGGTGAAAAGGGTGAACATACCGAAGTCCAGGAATTGTTGGACGGAAAGCGGACTGGGCGAGTATTTAGAATATTTGTCGACGTTCTTGGTCAGCAAGTCTCCCTTGGCCATCGCGGAGGCGAGACGAGCTTGAGCGCTCGACAGTTGACGAAGGGAGCTAGAATTTGTTAGTTACGGCATGTCTCTTGCTTTCTCTCTGCCTTACCATTTATTAGTTATAATATTGAGACGCATATCGAAAATTGTTTTAACAACTTGGGTCTGCTTTTCGACTCCAGTTTGTCGCCTGAAAACGCCGTTGTTATGAAGTTCTTCCTTTTTCGCGTTTTTTGTGTCGTCGAAAATCGACCACCCGTTCTCTTTTTGTCTGAACAAAAGATAACCGTTACTTTTTTGTCTATTCTATCTCTCTTTGAAATCAAAGAAATTTCCAAATTTGGGCGAGGTCGATCTGAGCAAAATGGAAAGTCAACCATGTGATTTAATATTTGGAGAGGCCTAAGGTCGGCAAAGATGAGTTTCGTTGTTTACCCGCATGCGGAAAAAGTGACTCAATCTGAAAGAAAATAGTAAAAGTGTATTCTGCAAATTTCCCTTTTTATAGCGATGAAAAAACACGAAAATCAACGAAATTATATGTCACAAAGGCTATTTTGAGTGCTAAATAGTTGAATGGTCGAAATATAAATACCTGGAAAATAAAATGAAAGTCTCTTTTTGAATTTGAAATGGACGCTATTGAAAAAAAAGAAAAATTCGTGATTTGCTTCTGATAAACTTTTAGGGGTCACAAAGAATTAATGTGATCGTTAAATCAGACTCGTTTCGGAAAATGCTGGGGCGGAATTATCACATGAAAAAGCTCTTATGATCCCAAGCCACAGCTCTCAAGACAACAGTTCTCTTTTGATTTCTCAAAATAGAAAATAAATAAGTTTTGGAAAGCGGGAAACAACTCCCTCCTTTTCACTGATTTACATCTGGACTCCAGATTCTGGAGATCTAAAATCGGCAGCCGCTGAAGACCGGCCCGAACCGCATTATTCTAGTGCTTCTCTTTCTCAGTTGAATTAATTTCGTCATTTCGAGCTCAAAAACACGAATGACGAAAAAACGAGGATCAACCCTATATTTCGTTGAACCTTTTGAATTGTCCGCCACTCCCACTGACTGGGCCAATTGAGTTCGCATGACGTAATCATTTTTTACTTGCATCATCAAAACAGCAATCCTGCATTATTTCTGCATTTATTTTCATTTTTCTAGAGGGTGAGAAATAAGGTGGGAAAGACTTTGCGTTTCTCAGCATCTAGAGAATCCGCGATTTCGCGTTTCTTTGACAGCTGACGAAAAGCACCTTCCGCGCCAGCCAATCAAAATTCGCGGAAAGAAGGAAAGTCGAGCGGACGTAAAGAAGGAAAATCCCCGCAGACGTCCGATTTGAAATCAACAAGAGAAAACAACCGTTTTGCAGTTTTTTTCTTTTCTAAGGCGAAAATGGTCAAGGCTGCACGATCAAAAAAGGATGGACCTCCGCTAGTAAAGGTCCCAGAGAATCCAGAGAACAAACCAACTTGCTGTTTCTGCAAGCAGCCCGGTTTGAGGTAAGGCTTTTTGATAAAATTCAGAGGTATCGTTCGCTTTCAGAGATGACGAGATACCGATGAATGTGGACACTTGGCAGGAAAAGAAAACACTGTCCATAGTGGCCAGAAATGACGAAGTAGCGAAGGAAAAGCTCGAGACTGATCCGAAGTTCGCTCGACCACATTATGCTCCGGTCGAGTTTCAGGCGTACTACGGCAACTGGTTCAAGGACGAGTTCTCCCAGTTGGATGACAAAGGTGAGCTTTATCCTTTCATTCCCTGTTTCAAAATCGCTTTCAGATATAAGCTGCCATGAGGCATGCTTATTATTTTCGCCGAATCTGTACATCCGAGATCCGGAAGACGACGAAAAAGCTCTTCCAAAAGATCTCCATCACCAGACAATTGGCGGGTCCGGTATCCTTCGCGAAGACGTCCTCAAAGAACTCGGTCGTGCGAGAATCCACAAGTGCTTCATCTGCAAAAAAGGAACTGCTAACGTCGGTTGCGCTCATAAGACCTGCCGTCTTACTGTAAGTTTTCTTAACTAAAGTTGAGATCAATTTATTTTCAGTACCATTACCCGTGTGCTCAAAAATTTGGGCTGGTAAGTGTGCTCGATAATCAGTCCAATTCATCGTACTGCTGGAGGCACGCGACGAGAAAATACAGATATCCGCATGCTCGTGGTCAGGGAAAATATTGCTTGGATGTCGAACTGAAGGTGAACAAAGAGAATGATTATGGTGAGCTACTTTTATCACTGAAACTGATTCTAATTCGCAACTTAGAGCTGCGACTTGACTACCACGCGCCGATGTACAAGCGATTATCGACGAACACTAAGAGCGGATTCCGAGAGCAAGATTTTTCTGAGAAGGGTTACGTCCTGCTCGTCGAAGATTTCATCAAGCAGAGAAAGGTGATCGAGACGGGCTTTGAAATCAAATGGAAGAATCTTCATGATCTGTCCAATATGACAGACGAGCAGAAGAAGATCAATGCACAAAAGAAAATGCTCGCACTCGACGATGAATTCCAGAGTTATTTCGCCATGAAGAAGCGAGACGAGCGACTCTTTACCTGCAACTGCTGCGGCGAGTATTTCAGCGATTTGAAGGATTTGGTCGTCGCCAAGTGCTGCAAATTCGCCAATTTCCATCGACACTGTCTCACCAAAGCTGGAGTGACCCAGGGTCTCTGCCACTTTCGATGCCCTCTATGTCAAGGTAAAGGCTTTACTAAAGCTCTTTCTAAAGAAAATAGTTTGATAACGTGAATTAAGAAACTCAGGACCAGCTATTCGTAAAGTCCTGCATCGCCCAAGGAGTGTGGATTCCCAACAGACTTCCTTTGTCCGAACTCGACATGGGATTCGACGACCAGTACGAAGGAAACAAGACCAAGTTGTGCAGCTTGTACAATAAGGACGAAAAAAAGAATAAATGCAAGTTGAAGAAAGACGAAGGCTTCGACGGAACTGAGGAAGAAGTCATCAACTGTGATGACTGTGGAAGCAACGGAGTGCACATCGCCTGCAATGAAGACTTACTCGCCACATTCAATGAAGAGAATCGACGACGACTTACTGATCCGAACTTCAACGCAAAGTATGATTATGTTTGCTCCGTCTGTGGCCCGGCAATCGAAAGTGATGGTGAAGATACGCTCGTGGAAGAACCGGAAGAGCAGGCGATGGAGCAGGATACAGTAAAAACGCCGACTAAGAAGCGAGATACCAGCATCCTGGACGAGCTGGAAGAAAGTAGCGACGAGGAAACTCCAATCATGGGAAAGAGCAACTCCGTCGAATCGACCACGCGCGAGATCAGATCAGTAAGAGTTCCAAATAAACCGGAAAATATTAAAATCTTCTAGGGCATCGGAGGCTTGCATATGATTCGAGAAGAGGATGTTCCCGCACCTGAGACCCCGACAAAAAGGAACAAACGAAAATTGAGTTCCACTTTTGAAGCTGGCACACCGACTAAGAGGACTAAAAACTGCAAGTCAAGATCGATTTCCAGCTTCTTTTCAAAGAAAAACTAGCAGACGATTCATCATTAGTTCACTCACACTCATGCCTTCACAATTAGTCGTATTCACACATCTGCCGCTAGTAGCGCTGCCTTATTATTAAAATAAACTCATTGATACTGAATATTCATGACTTTCTTTGTTGTAGAATGCACTTGTAAAAGGAAAGAATGACACAGAAAGGTGAAGATAACCCGGCGGGTCCTGTCGGGCCAGTTAGGCGAACTGATGTTCTCCCGGACCAGGTTTAGTTGGACAGTGAGTGTTATCTTTAATTCTGAGTAGGCTCAAACGAGACAAAGAAATTTCAATCCAGCTGATCGACTGTCGGAATCATCTACGTCCGAAAATGGTAATTGAAAAAGCTGCCTTTTGAAGCCGCAAATATTTTCCCACTTTCAATTTTGAAAGCATTTTTCAGCCGAGCGTGAGCCCATGTTATCGCGCAGAACTCATCAGTCTTCTAATGGTATTAATTCTTCATGTTTTTCATAATTTCACCAAGAAAAAATCATGATTCACGAAAAAAAATTCGCTATTTCAAAAAATCAAGACCTCCTTCCCAAAAGCATGCTCTAAATATTGCTCAAACAGAATAAGAAGCTCATTCTTTTAGAATCATCATCGGCTCAAGAAACGGAGCTCAAATATGGAGCTGAAGCGGTAATCAATTTGTTCATCCCGGTTACTGCATGTGAGAATCTTTTCTCTTGCTTCAAGCTGAAATATTTCTAGGCATGATCTTCGTCATCGCTTCGGTCCAATGCTTATCATCATACAGTGGTCAACAGAAACAGAGTGTGTCTTTTATTTACACGCCTTTTCACCCTGCTGATGATGATCCGTAAGTGGCAATGCCACTGTGGCATTTGTTCGATTTTGCCTGATTGCTTTTCTAGCGCTGGAACCATCATTTGGCAGACGGTTGCAAACTCACTGATCATGATTTCTGTTATCGCTGTGATGACTTTCGTTCTAGTCCTGCTATATAAATACGAGTGCAATATGATTCTAGGCGGGTGGTTAATCTTTTCAACCATGACTTTGATTTTCATGTTCGGCTACTTTGTAAGCTTCCGCAAAGTTATCTTACGCTCATTGTTTCTTCTAGTACCTTCAACAAATCCTGAAAGTCAACAACGCCGCCCTGGATTGGGTCACACTTGGAATAGTCATGTGGAACTTTGGAATCGTCGGCATCATCTGTATCCATTGGAAGGGCCCTCTATTCCTTCAACAGTGTTACCTGATAATTTCGGCTGCTTTGATGGCGTTGATCTTCATCAAAATGCTACCTAACTGGACAACATGGCTTATTTTAGCATTTTTGAGCATTTGGGATTTGATTGCCGTCCTTTGCCCTTATGGGCCGCTGAATATGCTTTTGCAATTGGCGAATGATCGAGAAGATGAGCTCTTCCCCGCTCTCATTTACAGGTGCTTAAATTTTACCTTTCTTCTTTGTACTTCTTTGGTACTTCTTTGCGAAAATAAAATTCTTTTAGTTCTGGCGCGGGAATGGCAGTACCGACAATCATGGTCACAACTCAAGCTGGCACCTTCTTAGCGCCGTTGCTTGGAATGGCCGAAAGCTCCGATCCATCGACTCAACAAGAAATCCAAGTGAGGCAACCAAGATCTCAGCGATCATCAGAGGTTTGTGTTCGCTTTCTTTCTTCCATAATTTTAACTTGATTTCAGCGAGCAAGAACAGATGAAAGAAGGGAAGGAGTCAAGCTTGGTCTCGGCGACTTCATATTCTACAGGTTTGTTGACGAAAATTACCCTATTCTTTATTTATTTAGTGTCCTTGTCGGAAAAGCCTCGCAGGTGCACGATTGGAACATCACCCTCGCATGCATTCTCTCCATTCTCGTCGGGCTGAGCACAACCCTCATCATTCTCGCCTTTTTCAAGAAGCCCTTGCCCGCCCTGCCAATATCTCTCACTTTAGGACTCATTTTCTATTTCTCGACGAATTACCTGATCGCTCCGTTCATGGACCTTTGTATTCTCAAACAGGTCTTTCTCTAAATTCAAGCTCCAATATTCTTACATGTTCCTGTGTTGTTTCAACTTTAATTTGCGTGTTAAATTACCTACTAAAAAAACAATTGTTTTTTCATTCAGCATTTGCTTTAGCATCTCTTCAATTCATTTCCATTCATTTTAAGTCAACCATTTTCCTTTTCCCCTGCCAATTTCTCGTTCAAAAATGTTCATTTTTGTTTTGTCGGATAAGATTTCATTGTATGTAATTAATAAATACGATTCATCAAAGTTTACGAACTTAATTTCATTTTCTCAGAATGATAAGAATAGAAAAGTTAGCCAAAATATCGCGTCGGACTAAAGTCTCCCTTTGGCCTCAGAACTCTTCACAAAATCTTTCTGACGCTCCAGTCAAGCAAACTTCTGAGCAAAAATTCGCGAATACGAAGCTCTCCCGAGACTACCCAAAACATGGCCGTCTTGGGGACATGAAAGCTGCAGTCACTCTTCGGCATAAGAGAGCGACTGATCTTCCCAAACGAGCCATTGTCACTGAATCCTCGCATGTGTTGAATCGGGATAAAGTGATTGACCCGAGATATCCTGCAAATGAGATGCCCTTGTGGAGAATCGAACAGACGGTGAATTCGGTTAATGACAGAACGCCGTTTGAAGTAGACCAACTCAATTTAGACGACAAATCGGTGGATTCAGTCGACGATTATAGATTCAAGGTTATTTTTCTCCCTTCTATAATCCTTTTCAACCTTTTTCTTTTCAGGATTTTGAATATATGCCTCCAGAATACATGCTCGGCCGGGACGATGAGCTCGGCTACTTGCCGAAAGAATTTGAGTGGCCTGAGGAGACAAAAAGCTATTTCAAAGACGAAGACAAAAAGAATAAAAAGTACCAGTGGGAATTTTACAAGCAAAATGAAGTCGAAGATGAGTACATGGGCGTTCGACGGGGCAAAACTCGGCATTTGCACGCAACTGGAGCGCCGATAGACACTCGTTACTTCGATCCAAATGTCTTGAGGCTTGGAGAAAAGTGGAAGCCAAAGGAGCTGTTTACAGAAGAAATCAGTAAAAAGATAAAAGAACAGGAGTTGAAAGAAAATTATATCCCTGGATACAAAGACAAACAAAACCTACAGCGGCAGGCATTTCCGGAACACCATCGCGACTACCAAGTTATCCCGTCGTTTTCCCTCCCGAAATTGAGTGAAAGAAAAAACCATCCCGAAGGAATCGCTACGTTTTCTGGGGCGCTGAATATAACGAAAACAAGAGTCACAGAGGAGAATAAAAAAGTGCTTGTTTCGGAAGAAATACAAGCTCGCGAAGAAAGATTGGTCGCTGGAGCAAAGAAAATTATTCAAAATGGGATTTTGCTGCAAATTGATGGGGGAGAGTATGGAGTGAATCCGCCGACGAATGTTTGGAATCCGTTGGACACGAAATATGGAAGCATTGACAAGACGAATATGTTTGGCTCTCACGCAGATGAGCGTTCTCTAGGTTGGGAAGCTTTATTATTTCAAAATTCAATCTTTCTTTTAGTGGAGGAAACGTGGCTTTGGGACGAACGACATGGCCTTGCAAAGCCCGAGCGCTATTCAAAGGCAATCGCCTCCAATCTAACCAAGCTCTTGAAAAGCATTAATTCTAAAAACGAAACAGCATCTTTGCCCGATGAGAAAGTCCATTTGATTTACCCCAAGCGAGTCAATGGCTCGATTTGTTACCTTGAAGGTTCGTCAAAGAAACCGACTGTATTCATCATGAAACGAACTTTTAGTCCACGATGAACTTGTTGCTTCAAATTTCTCAAGTGATCCTGTTCAAAACTCCGAGATCGCGAGTTCATCAAAAGACTCTAGCGATGAATTTGAAATCTACTCCCCAACTCAACTTATGGTGGAAAATCACTTTTACAATTTGAAGAAGATTACCGAGAAAAATCAACGGGAGAGCGAAGTGAAAAAGAATCTTTTGTCAAATGGCGAAACTTATTTAAATTCTATCGGTTCGAACCCTTTCTTACTAATGCAATATTGATCATGTTTTTGTAGTTATTTCTGATTTTTCTACTCCTTCGTTTGATACATCGGAGCACAACATCACCAGATTTGGAAAAGACCGCGAAAGGGCTAGAAAGTTTCTGCCGATTCTCAGGTATTCGCCATATATTTTTACGACTGTTAACTGCTGAATAAGGGATGAAATGACAGACGACGAGAGCAAGGGTCGACTGACAATGATCGTCCACGGACTTTTGCACGACCAGGCAGTTCGCGAATTCGGAGTCCAGGACAAACTGGACACTCCCTTATCCGCTTATGGCTACTGTCTTACCGATGGTAAAATTGCGCACGTGATCAAGTTCCAGCTCAATACGACAAATCTCGTTGACGATCACGACGTGTATAACCAAGTGGAATCTTTCGAAAAATTGGAACTCTTCGAAGACGCGAGTCATTTCTTGTGGGACGAGGCGGAGAGAATTAAATCGTTTAGTTCTGAAAATTTATTAAAACTTGCGACGCTGCTGAACTCTCATTAATAAATCAGATCAGTAATTTATCTAATCGAAAAGCTCCTGGATTAAGTGAAATCAAGGAGGTGAAAATGGAAACTTGTCAATTTTTAATATTGCAGGCAAAATATCCTATCGAATTTATAAAAGAAAAGACAGCTCGTATGAAGCCTCCAATCGGCAGCATCGACGAATTGATTTTCTTTAGCTCTCGTCTTTTTCATACAGAGAAAGCTTTTATCGTCCTTTTCAGAGTTCATTTTTGCCAATAAGATAGCGATAAATTATTGTTTGTCTTATAAACATCTTGAGGGAGCAATGACCGCAGAGCGTTTCTAATTTATTGAAAATGTGTCTTTTCAGAGGCAGAATGACTAGCCTGTTGAAGTGGCTTCCAATGGGCCTCCTCTCCCTATTTGCCCAGTGACGTCAATTCATTCTGCGAGTATCCTTTGACAGGGAGCTCGAGCTCGTCAAAACCGATCTTCCTTGAAACTTTCCTCTTTTTTGTATCGCTTTCGATCGCCCTTCAACTTTGCCTTTTGTATCGCTCATGGCATGGTCGATCAAGGGGCTGTCTTTCAACCGCCAGTTAGCCAGTTCGACGAAGACTGAAAATATAGAGCATGACAAGCCAGAATTTAAGAAGCCATCAGGCCCAGAGATTTAGGTTTGGAACGTATTTATGCTGAATCAAAATGTAAATTTTCCTCACCCCCTTTTTTGGCATCTGGGAACTGAACATACTAACACCCCTGTTGCATAACAAATTTATTCTTCCCATGCTGCAAAAAATGAGCGTAAGCATGTGAACTTGTTGATTATAGCGATTTTGATAAAGTCGTCTGGCAGAACTAGTCTTCGTTCACAACGACCGCTAGGTTTCGTATCTACTTCTCAAGCGATACAATTCTTCATTTGAGTTAGACAGGTTCAAAAAAGTCAAAAATATAGAAATGAGAATGCAAATTGGTTTGACTTGTAGATGCCGGGACCACAGGTGAGCGCTTGTCGAGTATGTCGCGCTAGAATTCTCAATTATCCATTTTACGAAATTCAGGGTCATCAATGAGCTCCTTTCATCCATTGTTTCCTCAGACGGATAGATACACTAGATCCAATTTAAACTCCGAAGCCTGTCGTCATCCCCTTTTTCTTTGACAATTCGATAAATACCCGCTGGTCATATCAGGTTCCCTTCCCGAGAGATAGCCCTTACCTCTCGAAAAAAAATAAAGAAAAAAGAGAGCAGTTGAAATTCAGAAAAATTCAATTTTTTGAGAAAGAGCATTTCAAATTTCAGAAAAATTAAGAGGTAAAGAAATCTGGAGATACCAAGCTACTCGAAAACAACGGTAGAATTTGAGTCGAACATTTTTTATTGCTTCACGAGTCGAAAATTTAAAGTGCAGATATTTTGATTGGTGACTAGTCTTCAATTTGAACTCGAAGAATGTTCGGCTGACATTTGTAAACGAGACGCATGCACTTGTTTTATTTGGGAATATAATTTTATTTCTTCCATTTTCAAATGGTAGAAATACGCGAGCAATTCGCTCCGCGCATTCTGAATCTCGCCAAATCCAATATTATTCAAATTAAACCGAACTTGAAAATCGAATTTAACATCTGACCCGTAAGGTTTGGCCCGCAGTCCAAAGCGATAGTATATCGAGAGAGTTAAAAATATGGGAAAACAGAATAAGAACAGAAAATTTAGGCGAATGAACAGAAATCAGGAAACAGCTGATCCGTCTGCGTATATAGATGAATTCAATATTCAAACCATCGTGAAGGTACGTTTTAAATTGAAAATAATTTGAGAAAAAAATTATTGATTCAAGGCTTAGTTAACTATTGTTCAACAAGTAATATATATACTACTTAAAACGTTTTACGCGGATTTATCGAATGCTTTTAGGATGCAATCGCTGAGTTATGCTCGAAGCAGCCACAGCGCCCACTTGCATACTTGAGAGACTATTTTGGACGACTGGAGCAAATCTCGCTCAATCGTTCCAACTCCATGGACTCAACGACGTCAGCCGACTCAAGTAAGAGTCATTGTTGATTTCATTTTTTTCAAGAATATTCATCAGGTGCATCTCAGACGGAGGAAATGGAGACCTGCCAGATGAGAGAGAGTAGAACCCCGCAGAAAAGAAGAGGGGCGATTTCCGCAGAAGTTTATACAGAAGAAGAGGTGAAAAAACTCGCCCTATCAACTCAAATTATAAATATTTAGGTGGCCAATTACCAGAAAAAAGTGATTCCGAAAGACTACAAAACGATGTGTGCCCTAGAAAAAGCATTCCAAAACAATGCCTTACTCCGATCTTGTGATGAAGAGCAGCGAAGTGCCATTTTTGACGCCATGTTTGAGAAAATTGTTTCAGGTACGATCTTGCTTCATTATTAAAAATTAATGTTATTGACTTTTAGAGGGGGATATCATAATGAACCAGGGCGATATCGGAGACAATTTCTACGTAATTGACATCGGAGAGGTAGAAGTTCTCGTCAATGGCCAGCACGTTACAAACATAGGAGAAAATGGAACCTTTGGTGAGTTGGCACTTATTCACGGAAGAACACGAGCAGCGACAGTAAGAGCAATAACGAAGTGTAAACTTTGGGCTATTGATCGGTAAGTGCAGTTCCTTGTTGAAAATGGTGAAAATGTGTCAATTTTAGCGAAAGCTACCGAAGAATATTGATGAATTCGCATTTGAAGAAACGGGCTTTGTATCAAGAATTTCTATTGAAAGGTGAGAAAAGGCATTTTTGCGGTAATTATTATATTGCTTCAGTGAAAATCCTACAGAATCTCGATGAGTGGGAAAGAATGACGATCGCGGATGCTCTGGAAGAAGTGATCTTTCAAGCAGGAGAAGAAGTTGTTAAGCAAGGCGACCAAGGCAACAAATTCTACATGATCATTCAAGGACAGGCAGATGTTACACAGCATGTATCTCTTGATGAAGAGGAAAAGCTCGTCGGAACACTTGGGCCTAGGTGAGACATTACAGTAGTAACCGTCTGCATTTAAACAGAAGCACGCTGTCTGAAATAACGGCGGTTATAAATGATAATTGTTCATTGAATATTTTAGCGATTATTTCGGCGAAGTGGCATTACTGTCAGATCGACCGCGCGCCGCAACGGTGACAGCCAAGTCGACACTGAAATGTGTTCGATTGGATAGATCCCGTTTTGAACGGGTCCTCGGCCCTTGTGTCGACATCCTCAAGCGAAACATCAACAACTACAAATCCTATGTATTTATTTCTGTCTGAAGTCTTTCGCTCATAATTCTCTCAGGGCGCTAAATGTGCCCATAATTGAAAAAAATCTACTCTCGAGATTTCAAATTCTCCATTTTTATGATAAAATCTATGAAAAAACAGTCCCTTCGATACCTATTTTCCTCTCGCCTGGCCAAAAAATATTTCTGCTACTGATAATTTCCGAATAAACTGAGGAGATCGAATTCGTTCTATTGTCAAAAAGGTTATTATTGTTGGCCCTAAAAAGGGCCGTTTTGGCAGACCGTTAGTTATTGGCAGTTAGGTGAGGTTCGTCGGTAGGTCACTCCAAGTTTACTTTTTGCTTGCCATGTACTTGCTAGTTGCCCGATATCCTTGCATATTGCCGTGTTTTGCAAGCTCGCCGCCAACAACAAGTTGCATGGAAGTTTGAATGTCGGCCACAGCAAGTGTACTGCGATTGCTCATTTTCGCAAGTCGTGAAGATTCATTCGCGAGGCGCTCAAAGATGTCCATTACAAAACTGTTCAGACAAGACATAGTTTTGACGGAGATGTTCATGTCTGGGTGTGTTTGCTTCAAAAGTTTATAGATGTAGATCCTGAAGCTTTCCCGACGAGCTCTTCGTGGCTTGTGTTTTTCCTTCTTTGTTGGTTTTTTGTTCACGAGTCTAGCCATCGTTGGCTGTTCTGATTTTGGAAAAATCAAAGTGCGCCCTCGAGAGTTGCCCTCGGCGTTTATATCGCCTCAGGCGAGAACCTACCCTTGCTCTAGAAACCATGCAAACAAATTGTTTACGCAGAGAAAAATGTCAATAACAGCCCTAGAAAAAATGGGATGTCCCTTCCTGGTAAAAATCCCTTCCTGGTAAAAATCCCTTCCTGGTAAAAATCCCTTCCTGGTAAAAGAAAAAAGTTTTACCAGGAAGGGAATTTTACCAGGAAGGGATTTTACCAGGAAGGGAATTTTAAATTGTGAAAATGCTCGAAAATGAAAAATAAGCTTATTGTCTTAAAAAAATATCTGATTCACCCCCCCTCAGCATAAATTTTGAATTCAATTACTTCTCTTTGCATTATCTGTGCACTCTTTGCAACAAATAAAACAGTACTTTTGTAATTTTCAAGTTGATTAATGCTTTAATAACAAATTGAAAGCATCAATTGCAATAATTTTACTGATGTGATGGTTGAGTTGGCGGCTTGTATTGTTGATGTTGGTAAGATTGTCGCTGCTAATGATGAACTTCTGGATGACTTTGTCGAGGTTTTCACTGGCTTATTTTTACAAATCTTCGAATTTGTCTCTTGAGTCCGAGTCGAAGAAACAGATGCCAGACGCTGCATCCCTGTCGAGAGAGCTGCTCTTAATTTTTGTTCAAAACCATGGAAGACAATTTGTTCTCTTACATTGATAGCGTCGAATTCGAACATGAAAGTGTGGAAAATCACGTCGGTACTTTCAGTCTTACGAACGGCGCAGAGATCCTTGTGCTTCGTTTCTTTCTTGTTGAGGACGCACACTGAAGAGCTGACAGTGCTCATTTTGGTGTTTTTATATGGCAGTTCCACGCTCCAAGTTTTGCTTGATCTCTTGTGTGTACTAAAAATGATGATAAAACTTCGTCTCAAGAAAAGCCTTACCTTGGAGTAGCTACGGTCAATTTTCTCGTTGAATTTTCTGTTTTGCTCGCTGATGTAAGTAATGTCCTTGTCTTCGTCGTGCATGCGTCGTCTGTGGAAGTTCTTTCTCTTCTCGATTTGTGCCTGAATCGGTTAAAATGATGGTTTTTCGTTGATTGAGTACCTTGACAACATTGACGAGTCTCGATTTTGCTTCTTAAGAGTCCTTGAGTCTTTCTGGAAGAATGGAAGCTGTTGAAAGTCCGGCGTAGTAGTCATCCCCATTCGCTCTCTAGAATGATGTTATTATCACATCGTAAAGCCAATATTGTAACAGTTGCATCATGGATACGACTAAAAATAGTGAAAACGACGGGAAAAATGACAAAAAGAAAGAAAAAGAATCGCGTGTGTGGAAAATGGAAGATTCTGATCTCCTTATCAAACCTAAAGCCCCGCTTTCAAGGACCGATTTTGACGCAATATTGAACTCGTCTGCTGAAAATCCAAGACTAATATCTGTTCTTATGGAAAGCGGCGCAGCTCGATTTACAACGAAGGAAAATCTTGGCGTCTTTATGTATTTTACCCTGAAGCGCGATTTTCAAAAGAACGTCAAATTTGACAAAAAAGGAATGCTTTAATTTTGAATACTCAGAATGAGCAGTAGCATAAATAGGTTTCAAATAATTCGGACATAAATTGGTGGAGTGGTTTTGAAGGTGTTAGGGTCGAGATATTTCGATTCTCTCTTTTGCACCATGTTTGGAAATGTCTGTAGTGTGTTAAATAAGCTTTAATCAGGCCATTACATAATGTTCTCTTACCATTATGTGAGGATACTGCCTTGGCACGAGAAAATCATCAGACGGCCTGACAGGTTGCATCATTTTATAGCTCTTCCTTAATTTCTCCGGCTGCGGCCCAACTGCTGTAGTATCCGAACTTTGGAATCGAATTGAAACGTGAAGTTGTTCCACTTGTGATGGGCATCTTGTTAAGTGGAGAGTTTTCTAAAAAGTCAGTAAGTATAAAAGAAATTCAAATTAAAGCATAACAGTTGGGAAATTCTACATAACCGTTTATTGCCATTCGAAAAACAGAAAGTGCACCAAAAGAATGAAACTTTTCCTTGGAATTACGGACCCAAAGAAAGAATCTTTCTTCGATTTATCAAATTTTACGATTGCTCAGACGTTTGATGCTCATTCCTCGACAAAGAAAATGCCGCGATTAAACCGCAAACGAACTGATGCGGAGAAAAAAGCTCTACTCTTGGAAATTAGCGTCTGCTCACTTGAAAACTGTGAAGTCGAATTCAAAGAACTCGACAGAATCTATGATCTTTGGCGAGCGCAACAGATGCAACACATGCCTATCCGTCCGAATGCAAAACAACTACGAGCAGAGCTCCTCAAAGATAAATCAATCATCATCAGCAGTGACAAAGCGAAATCTCTTAATTCCAGAGCACAAAAAAGGCTTGCAAATATTTTATCGGAAAGGACGAATATTTCATTTTATGCATTAGGTTTTTCACTGAAATTCTTTCAAGTTACGCGAAATAGATTGCCATAATCACTATCTATATTGCTCAAAAGCCGCAAGCGGCTCTTTTGAATAGGATTTCTTCCTTATTTTGTATATTTACCTTTAATGCTTCTTACTTTTTTCTTCGCATTTCATCGCTTGTCGGATAAACTTTCGTAGTTGAGGATTTGAGCTTGTTTTTCGATCGAAGAGTCTTCTTCTCTAAATAAATATGTCATCCTATGAAGCGTTACCGAATGAAAATCAAAGATGATTTGAACAAAGATCCCTTTGTGATCCTGGAGTGTATCGGAAACGAGCAATATCGTTGCAAGGGGGCAGGGTTCGAGCACGAGGCTTTCGAGAAGTTTGAAATCTATGCCACGAATAATGACTGGACGAATATGGGTATCGCTTTGGGGTTGGGGCTGGACGGCAATTTTTCGGCCGTGAAAGTCGCGAAAGAAGAACTTGGTGGAGGAAAAAGGAAAGGTTTCAATTTAATGCATCTACCTTTCTATTGCATCAGCAAAGTCTCGTTGAAGTTTTTCTAAACCGAGTTTTCGTCGCTCCAGCTCGTAAAATACCTAGAATAATGTTTATCAAATTGAAACCAATTAAAAGCTTTCAGCTTGTGTTTTTCGTTCAGGCCGGAAAGTTCAATATGAATCAATCAAAGAACTTTTCGGCCATCCGGCTTGCTGCCTTTATTCCGAGCAAAAAGAGTGAGGACTACTGTTTGTTGATTGATGGAGTTCGTTGGAAAGCGGGCCTGACGAATTTGAAATCGCTTAGCTTGGATTATGAATCGTCATGGATAAAAGCTATTGCTGATTCCTTCAATGGTCAAGTTAATCAGCTTTACTGCAGCTTTCACTTGGGCCAATGGACGTTTTAATTTAGATTCATTTTCTTAACCCCTATACCCGAAGTGTACAATTTTTGTCGATTGCGTGGTGATAAGTATATATATTGTCAAATTTATTAAAACTATAAAGCAATACAACGAAATGCTTTGTACGAGTATAAACTTGATGATTGGAACAAGCCCGTCGCAAAAACAATTCGGGAACTTTGCACCGCGATACCTTACATTCCCTTATATAATTGTTCCGTCAACTTGATGTTCATTGAGCTTGTGGAAGAAGAAATTTGTGCTTTGGAGAAAATTGATAGTGAATGGCGCCGCTTTTCAAACTATCTTCTGAAGAATTATGTTCGACATAATTCTACATACTGTCCATTAGGAATGATTGAAATAACTCTTACTTGATTGATAATCTTGAAGAAATTAAGATTAATATTGATATTAAGGCTATTCCTACTGTTGAAAAATGGTATGACTTAGTTCCTTACTATTTGATTGCTCTGGTGAGACTTGCGGTGGCGGAACAACCAGAAATCAAAGAAGAAGACTACGAGCCAATTAAAAATTTACGAAATCGCATTGCAGAAATCATACTCAATGAAAATGTTTTGATTAATCTATGAAAACTTATTCCATTTTTACTTTTTTCGACTGTCTTCATTTTATATCAAATATACAATAGATATCCTCCAGCAGTATAAAATTGTTATTTCGTGATTTTTAAAATGCAACTTGCCTTTGTTTTTAAACGAGATCAAAGTAGGCTTCTTCTTGCTTCTAGCCGTATGCTGTGATTACTTCTTTCCAACTGCCTCTTATTAACAGAACTCGTTCCAAATTCATCGTCAGCGCTTCGATAAACATCATGTACGTTCGTTCACTAGAGTTTGTTATTTACGGTAGAAGAGGGTATTAAACAACGATTGAAGGACATGCTTACCGCTCTGTGTTATTGCTTGGTGGTGCTGAGAGGTTGATAATGACCAGCGTAAAATGTTTTTACGCTCTTTAGAATTATTTGCTGATTTCTCTCCGTTTCAAAAAGCCCTGGCTCAAGCGAATTACCTGCTCTGACTTCTTCCGCCACTAATCCAATGTCCTCAACGCCAAGTTCTGTCAGAAGTTCGTTTCGCTGGTCCATTTTTACCGTTAGCTTTAAAAAAAATGTTTACTTTTGGTTTGAACCGATTTTTTACCTGGTAAGCGTACGCGCTGATGTCCTGTTCCCGGAGTCAGTATTTTCTCTTGAAAAAGCAAATGAAGATCGTTGATGGCAGTTTCACCGACACAAACCAAGAAGAGGAAGAAACGTCGACTTTTCTGTCTTGAAATAAAAAAATGGGACCCGACAATAAGGATCCCAATTAAGATTAAAAAAAGAACGCATAAATAACAGATACAACGCACGATTAGCGGCTGATAAAAGCGATGACTCTTCAATTGTCAAGAATAAACACACTGGTTGGGAACAAACAGGACGATTTCATTCAAGCAGTGATGGATAGAATCGCTTATATGGAAAAAAAAGTGGGCAGAAAAACTGAAGTAAAAATGAATAAATTAATCAAATTATTAAATTCTCAGTTATCTTCTTTCTTCTTTTCTCAGACAATTCTCAGTCAAAAATGATTTGAAAATAAGTTGATTAATTCGTGAGCGTGGGAAGAATGAGTCACGATTATTCGCAAAATGGCGCGCAAATTCCAAAATTTGAAATTATGAAAGAAAACTTTTTTCTATAAAAAAGGTGCTGAGAGGGGGGTAAAGCAGATATTTTTTTTAGATGATAAGCTTATTTTTCAAATTTGAACATTTTCACAATTTAAAAATCCCTTCCTGGTAAAAATCCCTTCCTGGTAAAATTCCTTCCTGGTAAAACTTTTTCTTTTACCAGGAAGGGATTTTTACCAGGAAGGATTTTTACCAGGAAGGATTTTACCAGGAAGGACACCCCAGAAAAATATCGAACGCCAACTTGTTTTCGAGTTTCTTTTTTCCATCGAGTTTCTAGATACTCACATGCTTCCCCGATGTGCCTATATAAACAGCCCCGGGCCCCGATTGCCTCACACTTTGAGCAACCACCAACTCGAAAAGTCAAAAAAACGAAAATGTCCGGAAAAGGAAAGAAGACCGCTGCCAAGGGCCGAGCAAAGGGCGTCAAGAGCCAGACCCGATCCGCCCGGGCTGGACTCCAGTTCCCTGTTGGACGAGTCCACCGAATGCTTCGACGAGGCAACTGGGCTGACCGAGTCGGTGCTGGCGCTCCCGTCTACATGGCCGCTGTCCTCGAGTACCTCACCGCTGAGGTCGTTGAGCTCGCTGGCAACGCCGCCCGAGACAACAAGAAGTCGAGAATCATTCCTCGACATCTTCAGCTCGCCATCCGAAACGATGAAGAGCTCACCCAGCTCCTCGGAGGTGTCACCATCGCTCAGGGTGGTGTCATCCCCAACATCCAAGCCGTTCTTCTTCCCAAGAAGACCGCCAAGAAGGAGTAAGCCTCTTACTGATTCTTGCAAAACCGGCCCTTTTAAGGGCCACAATTCAAATTAAACAACTTTATTCAAATCGGTCTAGAACAGATCGGACCATCAACAGTTATCATTGGCGAATAATACAGCCATAAAGTTGTATCATCAGGATCATTTCCGAGACTATAGGCGGAAAATTCGCTTGGTTCAAGTTTTGCTTTGTCGAGAACACTAGAAATATTGAAAATATACCTTCTCAAAAAGATAACTTACTCTTTCCCGATATACGCGTAGCCATTAACAATCACACCGGCGTTTACACCGTAAGAAAACTTTTGTGCTTGAGAAAGCTCGCCCGAATCAGCCCAGCTGTGCCCGTCTTATATTCGCACGCCGTATCGAAAGCCGATCTCCCCATAATTTGCCACGTCACTGATTGTATAGAGTCCATTTTCATCCCCAAGTACTAAATGACCGTACATCGTTGAGTCTGGGTGAGGTACTGATAGTTGCCACGAGTTTCCGTCAAAAAATTCGACGTGATTGTAGCAACCACTGGATTCACATCCACCAACAACCCACATTCTGCCATCGTAGACGGCCATTGAGGACCAATCGTGCGCATGAGTACTTTTTTGCTTGACGCGAATCTGATCGTTTCCATCGAATCCTTGGCATCCTCGTTGATCGACGCCATTTTCATCAAAACACAAGTACGCGATCTCGTTGTAAGCCGCGCAGGATCCGTACATTCCATCGACATGCGATGTACCCAAGACACCGTGTTCTCTCAAGCTACAGGTCTCACTTTCAAAGGTAAGAATCTGATGAGGATTCATTGATCCTCTTAGAAGAAAGTGCTTGTCTCCGAGGAATGCGTAACACGAATCATCAATGCTGAGAGAGTTGTAGTTGACCGTCGCGTAGCTTATTTCTTCCGTTTTCAGATTCAAAAGATATCCAACATCTTCATTTGCTCTCCAGTAGTTGAGAATAAAAAGGAACTCTCTCTCATTGCAGACTGCATTAGAACATTCAACACAACCAACTGGGCAACCTTCTTCACAAGGACATGCATAACGACAGTCAAAAAACTCAGCTTCACAACGAGATGAACAAGTATAGTCGTTTTCATCGCAAACATTGATACAGTCATTTTTAGAAGACTGGCATCTATTCAGACAGCGCTCGTTCTTGTCAAGATCACTAAGTTCTCGTTCTTTTTTGTTGGTTTGGAAGACTTACGGACAGATAAAGGAGTTACTTGAGGCTGAAAATGTTTTCGGAAAATTTTTTCGAAGCATCTCTTTTCTTTTGAACAGAGGCGTGATGAAAATGAGAAAGTGAAGACATGTGTCGAATTCCCATTTATTGAAAATAAATGGGTGCTGCCATAACAGTACACTTTCAGAATCTTAACTTCAGAAGTAGAATTGTCACCCTAAAAATGCGTTTTGAATGGCTCGCATTTCCACCGCTTTCTTTATATACTGATGCCTGAGAAGTACCACAACATTTCTAGAGATTCTTCATTTGTAGTAGGGCTTGTTTGAATTTCACCGCCTCATTGGGGTATTGTTGCAGTAAAGCTTGTAGAATTTGTCTGACAATATCAGATATGTTGGAGAGGTGGGGATTCTTGGCATTTCAGGTCTCCTTGAGATAGCAACCATTTTGTACGTCTTCCAAGCAAAAATCCTCGAAAATTTAACTGAGAAGTTCTTGGATATATCTAGAAAAAAAAATGTCATCAGTCGATCATTATCCCGATCAATTTTCAGACTTCTTGAAAGACGAAGAAATCAAACGAATCAGAACTGAAGTCTTCAGGTAGAGCCTTCTTAGAGTCATAATCAGGTGACGTCATCGACGGAATCACGAAAAAGTGTCTACCGGCGCTTGATCTTTCTCCATCGCATTCCTTTGCCTTTCGCTTCATTTCCAGAATCACATCGAAAAGAGAGCCCGTCGAAAAAGAAACGCCAGAAGGAGAAAACAAGGCTTGGGGCTAAGGCTGTATTTATAACAAATAAATTATTTGAGCCGGCGAGTTTTATTTTTCTTCGACTTTTAGCCTTTTTCAGAGGAAAATGTCCGGCGCAGAGAGATTCAGGCCGATGATGAAGAGGAATTACTGGAAGAAGGGCGGTGGATCGAGAGGTTTTGGAGGGACTAAGAATTGGACACTCGGCGAGGAAAGGGTTGAAAATGAAAGTTTGTGCTTGAAAGACATCTGGGCGCAAGTGTCGGACAATTTGAATTATATATATTATATTGTTTGAATATTGGAAGTTTCAACCCTGAACTGTAGGAATGGGAACAAACGCCCTGTTCTTTGCTAGCAGCGATCTCCAGTAAACAAGGCGGGTTAAATTCGCGTCTTGACTACGCATTTCGCCAAATGACTCGTGAGACAATTGGTAAGTCGTCGATATATTCATGCTAATATTAACATGTCTACTCGCAGAGGATGCAACATGCGCGGCGAATATATTCGAGTGCCAGTGCAGTTTCGCGGGGCTGATCACCAGCGGAACAAACCAGAAGAAAAAGAGCGCCAAGCACTTGGCTTCTGAAATGATGCTCAGAGTTCTGGAGGAGAGGGGAATGGTCAAAGGACTCAGATGTCCTACCAAGCCGTATTTGGGCGTGGAGGACGATAACTTTGACAACCCGATTTCGAAGCTTTTTGAGTTTTTACAGATACGAGGTTTGTTCTTAATCATTCATCAACAACGACCATTATATTATTCAGAATAATTTTTCTTGCGACAAAAGATATCAATGATTTTAGCAATTGAAAAGCCAGTGTTCTGGGACGACTTGTACGGAACGCAGTTCAAAGTCACCTGTACAATCGCATCGCTGAAGTTGGAGACAAGCGGACTTAGGTTTTTCAGCTTTTGAATTTTAACTTTTCAAGTGTTTTTTAGCTCAAGCAAGAAACAAGCTAGGCGCGAGGCGTGCCGTCACATGCTCCAAAAGATTGAATCTTGTGATGTAGACGAACTAGTGAAGGAAAACGAACTCGAGCAGAAACTCGAGGAGCTTGACAAGGAGAATAATTTTCGCAGAACGAAAGATTACTTGGTTGAAAGAAGGTGAGCCTATCATAGATTTGTTCGTTGCAAACGAATTTTAGCAACATCCATTCATTCCTTGGATATCGGAATAATCGCGGAGCTTACATCAACATTGACGCGAGAGATCTGTACCGACTTCAAGCTACCGACAAGTTTATGAACGTACTCGACGCGATTTGGTAATTATCTCGATTCATTAATTGGTGTAAATTATTGTTTTTCACAGCAAGCGTTACAATCTTCTGGTGACAGTCTTCGAACCCCAAGGAGCTGGAGGACGAAAGGATAACTACGGATTGCGAGAGACGATACTGAGAGTTGGGTGTATTCCGCCTCTTGTCTGCTGTGCAAAAGGATTCACAAAGGAAGACACTAGACATGCAGCAGCACTACAAGCAATTGAGCACTTTGTAAGTAATGCACTTCAGTTTAAATGTGCATTATCGCATGGCTAGTGACAATGTGCATGATATTTTCAATAATGTGAATATAATACGCACTCAAATGCATTTTAAATGACACTATATTTAGAACGTTGGCTCCAGGCGAATGGTATTCCGAGAGAAAGTATACGACAGAGACGAAGAATAGTCAAAACTGTAAACGTAATAATAAATTCGAAAAAGAAAAAAGAGTTCGACAAATGAAATTAGGGACCTGCATAATTGACCTCGTTGATGGCTAGTTCTCTACTGCCGTCGTTGAATTATTGAAGCTTTTTTCGCGGACTAACTTTGAACCATTTAATAACTAACTCTAGTAAATATAAAGCGGAGACAGAAGACGAGAGCGATTTGAAAAATGTTTTCTAGCTTTACAATGGTTGAGTCAGAGCACACCGGGGCTGAACAGTTTATCATTTTGAACCCAGAGCAGCAACAAGCAGTCACAGGTGTTTATCTTTACTTTTAGAACGGAAGATGGGACAAATTGAATTTGGTGTTGGCTGTAAGTTTAACACAACGCACATAAATTCTGAAGGAGATGCATGAACTTTTGTTCATTTTTGCACAAGAGCAAAAGATAATGAATGATCATATCTTATTGCTGACAATTTATTGGATTTTAAATGAAAAAATGGGGATATTGATGAGATATCCCGAGTAAGAAAGCGAGACATGATCAAAGTTCATTGATGAATTGTCTTAAACGCACTGCTGTATTTATTCCTCGTTCGACCATAAAAATAATTAAAAAGTTATGACGGACAAACTGTTCCACAGTTTATTCAAGTCATCAAAAATAGTTGCTGACAGCTTGTAATTGCAAATTAAGTCATCTTTCTGACTTCGCCTTTCGTTGTTTTGCTTGGATCACTGATTTGGTTAGCGATTGACTGGCCTGGGATGTTGAAACATGCGTTTTGTTGTAACAGCAGCTCATACCACTTCGATTATTTCAAGTCACCTGTGCATCGACAAACAGGAAAGAGTTCTTACTATTCTCAAAAAGAAATCATCGCACTCAGTTAAAGCTCTGCAAAAGAAATCCCTGGCGGCCCTAGAATACGACCACAATACACCCAGTTTTAGGAATGAAGAGTTATTTCCCAAAGCTGTTAAAATGTCAACGAATCAATTCCGTTTTATTTTTTTCTTCGATCTTTTGCACTCACTTTCTTTGTGCCCTGGCTTTTTACAGATATAACACTTTGCCGTGTCTGCGCAGTTGTGTCCTTCTGGTTTACAAACTGTACATTTTGAACAGAATACATGCGATTTTACATGACACACAGCGCATTTCTTGCAGTGAACAACTCCTCGGCCGGAAATGTCTCCACACGCGCCGCAAATAGAGCAGTGTGACTGTGAATGATGCACGAACTTGTTGCATAGGTCGCAGAACTTGTATTCGGGCGAGGGGAGCGGTATTAATTCGTCTTTTCATTGGCTTTGAAAGTTATATGAAAAATTGATTCAGGGCGACCGCCACTTTCGGTGAAGATAAATATCAATTATTGGCCAAGGTTATCTACGTTGGGTTCTTTATGCCTATAGGGGCAGTACTTATTTCGCCTAACTAAAATATTCATGATCCAAGCCTTTGCCTGTATTAACAAAGATCCTCACGGTTTTGTTCCTGTTCATCTTCCGGTGTGCCTCGTAATCAACCCTGTAGTCGAGCATTATAAAGCCAAGAGATCCTTCGAGCCAACGTATTTCAAAGTAGGGTTTCAAAAGCAGATGTCGTCCCTCAGGAGCGAGAAGCTGCATCGTTCTGACGCAAATCTCGTTCATGACTCCGAATGGCGGATCCATTATGACAACACTGTCAGAAGGAAACCTTTCTTTTTCGTTGTTCATATTCAAATAAACTCATGTTCCCCTCTATCTATTTTCCTTTGATATTCAATAAAAGCTTTAAAAAGTGAATAAATAATTAAATAGAACAGTTCCTGTATCTAATCCATTTCCATCAAAAAAGAACCCGTTGACAAGGTTAAATTTGCGAAAGTTTCTCGAGGGAAAAAACTCAAAAAATCGCTCATCGATGTCTAACAAGATCACATCTTTCCCTTCGTCCAACATTGGTATCAACAAGGTGGGACATCCGATCAGAATCACTTGTTTTTTGTCAACCAAGCTCAGGAGTACTTTCTTCGATTCTTCGTTGAAAAAGTACTGCGCCTGGGTCGAGTTCTTTCCGATCGTTTTAAATTTGGAAAGCCAGTTTCTCTTGATTTTAGACGGCTGTACTGGATTTTTGTTATTCTTCGTCATTTTAGAGCAGTTGGCATTTTTTCTGTCAAAAGAACAGCAGAAAACCGATTCCCCATCTTTCGAAGAATATTCAACCAAGGGACCATGAATGCAATTCGGAAAGCCTTCAGGGTAATTCTCCGGAAATACTGGCTTGAGACCTCTTAGATTATCAGCAGGCTTGCGCTTTCTTGAAGTCATTCTATGATGCACGAGATGTTATGCTCTGCGAAAATGAATTTATTTTCTTTTCGATTGAATGAATACAGAGTTGTCATGTCAACATGTTTAACAATATAAAGTTTGTTCTTTAGAGTATCAGCGATTTTCTGTTTATTACCAGTTGTTAACAATGAAATGGTGCTTGAATAACAGTTAAAATATCTTCCTAGAGTTGAAATTGCTGTTGGTGTGAAATCCGAAATATTCTAGCGCATTTTCCACGGGATATCGAGCAATTGAATGGGAACTGGTTGACCATGGGGTCCATCCATTGTTACAAAGTGTTTATTTACTAAAATTTGTTCTCATATCATACCACTACATGAATGAACTTACCTAGATATAAAATTAATGTAAGCTTTAGCTCCTCGTCCATGTCGTCTCCCAAAGTAGTTGTAGAAGCGTCTCTTGAATTCTGCCAAGATTCTACGATACTTCTCGCCATAGGAATGTCCACTTGACTCTGCATCCAGGTTATCGCCTCATCTCGCCTCCCGATTGCCAGGTACTCTTTTAGCTTTGACCTTAGAATTAATTATGACCTACTATTTTGCAAAATTGAACTGTACCTCGCTCGATTTGTCATGAGATTTGGGTAGCGATTGTCAAGGAAATCGAATAATAATTGATTCGCGCGATTGTCGTCAACGATTCGGGGGGATTTTTGCATGATTTCATCGTGATTTCGTCTAAGAATTGTGACTGGGCCAGGGAACTTGGAGAGGTAATGTGAATTGTTGAGGTTCCAAATTGACCTAAACAGACGTTCTACTATTCTGACTTAATAACTGACTCTAAATAATCAAGAACCTTATAGTTTTCTCAGTGATAGGCGCCAGAGCTTTCGGCATAACATTATCAGCTAATGGGAGGACGTCATCAAACGTAGCGTCCAGGTAAAGTCCTTTTAGTTCTTTGTACGCCGAGCCAGCAACTGTCGCGTCGAAGCCCCCAATGGACCACGCGTAAACTACAATCTGACTCTCTGTAAAGCCAAGTTCGTGCTTTGCGTAGTCAATAACAGCCGTGACAGCTGCTGCATCGTTTTTCGGATAGGGCACTCCAGTGGACCCACCGAAACCTACAGAACATTGAAACAAATGAAGATTTAAGGAAATACCTGGGTGATTATATCCAAGAACAGAGAACGAAGACTTTGACACAGTGGCAAAGCTACCAACTTCCATGAAGCCTGCGTTCCCCTCAGAAGTTATGAAAAGCGTTTCTCCTTCTCTGGAAGAAAGCCGACGATCGAAGAAAAGTGTGTCGATTTCATGCTTGTTTGAGGTAAGGATTTTGGCTCGCTGAGCTCCTGCTTCGATAAGTTTCTTTCTCTCTTGCTCGATCATAGGTCTGAAAATTAAAATTAATATTTTCCTATCTTTGAAGATAGAACGACCTTAGAAGAGAATTCAACAACGGTGTTGCGCCAGGATAAATCATCCATCTTGCAAAAGTATGGCCGATAATTCCAGCAATCGGAGTCAATGCTCCAGCTGAAGGAAGATCCAGCTCTATATTTTTATTTTCTTTCGCTTCAAAGTCAACAAGCCAGTGACTAAACGTAATATCCCACTTTTGCTTGAGCTCATATTTTTGTTTCTTCGTAAATGATGATGATTTTTCTAACGCATCGAGATACTGACTATAGATTTTATTCTGCGTTCTTCCAAGGCCACGAAGAGTAGCACAAATCACCCAAGTGGCAGCGCAGAAACCGGCGTATTTGGCATGAGTTGTTCCGATGGAAATGTATCGCTCGATCACGCCTTTATTTCTTTATAAAATAATATTGCCAGAGTTAATTCACCTTTGTTAAATCCATGACTAAAAGGTTGGTAGGCAAGATACCACGGAATAAACAGCAAATAGGTTGACATCAAACTTTCTGCCCATCCTAACGCACTGCCGGTTAGAGCCTCCACGAAGTTCGGCTCGTAGATGACCCACTTGCTCTCCGTAAAATGGCGAAAGATAGTGGGCCCGGTGAAGTACTGCAAAAATCGCATCTTACTGGTGTCGTCTTGCGCTCATTCTGAAAGGCGAGTCTCACAAAAGATCAAGGCACACGGAATTTCATCAGAACTGTATTTTGTTTGACGAGTATCCTCAATCAAGGTCAAATCAAAATTCAAACGATCCTTAAATTTTAGGCAGAGTCTGGCACGGTGCCCTGGCCATTTATAAATACGATCTCTCGAAGGGAATACGCGGTAACACTTAAGTAGTAGTAGGGATATGTTGACGCAAAATGCTGATAACGGAAAATCAATCAGGGAAAGTTAGAATTTCTCAGAACAATCATTGCCTTTGGAAAATTTATTACGAACAATTCAAACATTTAATTTCTATTATACAAGCTACTGTAGATAAAATAAATGTAAAATGGGTCTAGAAAACTACAGATATATTTCCTCCGAGAGATCCTCTTAAAGCTTAGTGTGTAAACAACTGTGCATGTGTGTAAATGAAAATAAACGTAAAGAAAAATTTGTAAAGAGAAACGAAAATAAAAAGAAATCGAGTTTAAATTGCGTTTCAAATAAAATAAAAGAAATAAATTAGTAAGGTTGGCGCTGGGTTGTGGGTGCTGATGTCAGATGTTGATGAAAGATTTTTTGTTGGAAATTATTTGAATAATTTATTTTTTCCTTTTGTTAGTTGGCATTTCTTGAAGGCAGAACGGGCATTTGCCATCTTTTACCGTGTACGACTTGGTCGCCTGGTGGTGCTCGCGCGAGAGCTTCTTCACCTTGTCTCTCAGCTTTTGGTTTTCCTTGAGCAGCTTTTGTATTTCGATGCGTTGCTCTTTGTTGCTGTTTTGCAGGCCTTCGCTGTAATCGTAAGGGTCCGTGCTAGGCTTTGATTCTTGCTTCGTGACGCAGGGCGAGGAAGTACGCGACGCACGGTCCGATAGCGAGTCTTTAGGCGGCGCACCAGCTGGAGGAGGAGGCGGGTTAGTTATGTTGTTAACGGTCTGGCTGGATGAAGTGGTATCGCCACCTTGTTGCGCGGCATAGGAGACGGCGGGAGACATGTATGCTTGTTGAACACTGGAAGAAGAAGGAGGAGCGGGAGGCTGCACGTATTGCATCATTTGTGGCATTCCTGTTCGGGGATACATTTCAATAGGCAAATTAGCAGCAAGTCTTTCACTAAAGAAGAGAAGCTCATGGCTTATCATAAATTATCCCGTTTTCCTGAGTTGATCATGGCCATTCCCATTCCATTCTGAGTGGCTAACATTGGCATCGCGGTCATCATGGGCTGTGGAGCGGCAACCATGCCCATGCCACCCATTCCTCCGAGCGCTACCATCCCATAAGGCGATGCTAATCTCGCTTGCAACGCAGCTGGATTCGCAATTTGGACTTGGTTTGCCATAATAACTTGACCGTTGTTGGCGACAGCCATCATTCCTGGAGGGACGCCGGCGCGAATTTGATGGGCAGAAGTCATCGGATATGGACTAAATCGCTTTGGAGGACTCTGCGTCGTATAAGGAGTTGTTGTGGCCGATCCTCCGCCGCCTCCTGCATCGCTTGCTGCTCCTCCGCCGACAACACCCGCAGCGTGTGGAGATGATTGAACACTAGACATCTACTGTCTCTTTTCTTCGTATGAATCGCTCCTTAGCTCTGCGTAATAAGGAATTTTTCTACTAGAAGCTCTATGATCCCGAAATCGATGTTTCTCAAAAATGTCAATCTCAAGAATTACACTCTGAAAGGAGCTCGTTGGTAAATATTGATCAGGTGACAATAAAGAAAGAAGAATGCAGCAAACTCTCGCAGCTTTTTGTAGCAAGTTGTTTATTGTTAATCGGATTCAGTAAAAAGAGTAACACGCTAGGGTAGAGTTTCTCGAAAAACATGAACACGCGCTACCAATTTTTCAGAAGGGAAATTTATGTAAAACGCGTTAAAGCATTGGAGAAATGTATTTTGGCTGAACGGAGAGCATCGGCAGCAATTAACACGGACAAGAATGTATAAAAATGAGTCGAAGAAGACCCAGGAAAAGGGTTAAAAGTGCTGCGGAAATCATGATTGTGAATTTTTATTTTTAATTTACTACGATAGAAAGATATTTCGATTGATCCCCATGAAAAAAATGAAAAAGGCAAAAGAATGCGAAAATTTTACTTTGGAAAATATGAGGCTGAAAGTTGAGTGTCACGTGGAAATTATAGACTAAGTAAGTCTATTTATTCAACTATGGAATGGAGGGGAGGAGAAAATTAATAATTTTGCGAGATCCAAACTGGTGCCACGGAAGTATCATTCCTTTTCAATATTTTTTGTTCAAAAGTATCAGTCAAGTATGAAGAATAAACTGCAAAAGAAGGATATTATCTACAAGTTTTGATGTTGTAAGCTGGACTAGGGTGTTCTGAAACTGTATTCAAAGCTAAATTCGTTGGTATTTATATTTCGATTTTGTTTAGTAGCGGAGATTTTGAGAATTGACTTCGTTTACGTGAATGCGCAGTTCTTCGCGAGTGGGAAAGAGTCGGTCGCAGTGGAAGCAACAGAAGCCTTTGTGTTGTGTGTTAATCGGCTGGCCCGGCTTTCTGACGGGTAATGCACGGTCCATTACGCACTAGAATTGGAATAAATAAAATTTCATTTATATTGTTCTCACTTGATAACGGTGCAACTTAACGGCGGCTTTATTTTCGAAGTATTCATTACAAAGGGGACATTGCACGGCTGGCTGCCACTCTTCTTGGTGCTGCTCGACCTTCGTTGCGGTTTCGTACTGGTCATCGTGTCCTTCGTGTAGGTTTTCGTCAACGTTTTGATCGATGATGAGAGCACCTTGCTCTTGTTCTTGCTCGTGAGAATCAGGCGCTAGGCGGCGATGGGATCCGTTTCGAGGCGATTGCTGGTTCATATGCTGCATCTAGAGATAGAAAAGAATGACTACAGTTCTGTACCTGTGTGACATTGATTTCTTCCAGTGTTCCATCACCGTGTATAATTTTTCCATAATAATTTGCGTTCTTCATCCTCATACATTTCCTTGGATGCGCTATCAGATCGCTTCTACTCGTAAACTCATCTCCACAATGGTAGCATTCCTTGCCATCAACAGTGAACGCGGCGTACTCGTTTTGCGTCTTGATCTTCGCGATCTCCGCTCTTGATAGGTCGAAGAATCCAGATTCGACTTTTATCGAAGAAGCAGAGAAGTCTTGACCGTTTCCGACCATTTCGCCTTCTTCTACCGTCGGTTCGACCATTACACGCTGACGTTTCGCTCTTGGTGGGTTCGGGATTTCGCTAGAATTGAGCATATTTAAGTCTTGAAGGTAAGTAAGGCTCTACTCTTGATGATGTTCTCGCTGCCTTTGCGTAAGCTCATCATGGGAAGGGCCGTATTCATCATGTTCTTCTGGGTGATGCTCAACATGAATTCCTTGGTTCTGATGCTCATCAGCAGCCATTGTGCTATCTGCTCGCTTTTGGCCAATGCTTCTGCTTGAAATCTGCTTAACATGATCTTCGAGTGATTCTCTTTTAAGAAGATGCTAATTTCGAAGCCGATCGAATTACGGAAGGGAATTCTATAAAAATTTCAATATAGCACCGTTCCTGGAAGAGAAGTTCTGATTGCAATGGTAGCAGAAGAACGCCGGTCTTCTTGCAGGACGATTGCTGACTTGGGCATGAGACGCCATCGAATTGTGACTGTTAGGAACTACAACTCCGTCTTCGTGTTTATACATTAACGTTTTTCTTTTCTTCTTGAAACGAGGAATAGTATGTGAGTCCTATTATTCAATCGCGTTTCTTAATTTTTTCCTCTAAAAATGAGAGTTATTTCTCTGAATGAGCCATTTAATCTTTAAATTTATTCAGCCGTATTGCGCAGGTTGTGATATGTTTTTTCATCGAAGCTGTTTTATCAAAGTTTTCATGGCAATGTGGGCACATGTAGTCCCTACTGTGCTTTCGTTTATGATAATTCAATTCCGCAACAGTATAAAACTTCGAGCTGCATTGATTACACTCGAACGTTCGAATTTTGAAATGATAGAGCATGTGCAGCGCCAAGTTTTCAGGCTGAATGGCGCGGTATGTACAGAAATTGCAAGTGAAAGGCAATCGATTCTCATGGACTTGATAGTGTTTTTCTAAGTTTGACTTGTAAACAGCCATGTGAGAGCAACTGGGATATTTGCAGGGAAGATTGAGGTCTTTGGACGGTGCTTTTCGACCGGTTCCGTGAAAGACCGCGATATGTTTGTTCAAAATCTTTTCAGAAAAGCCGACGAACATACAATCGATTCTATCACATTTAAACTCTCCATGGTTATGAGCCGTGACCATGTGATCGACAAGACACCCAGGAAAAACGTCAGAATTAAAAGTACAATAGCCGCTGTTTCCAGTGCAGTTAATTTTCCGGTCTTTCTTGATTGCCCAGTTAAATTTCTCTCGGTGCTCGTAGAAGAACTCAAGGTGAGCTTCAGGAAGACCAAAGGTCTTCGCGATCTTTTTGAAATCTTCTGGAACTTGGATTTTTGCTTAAATATTTTGATAACTTTTTCTTCAGTTTTTTGAACTCTTACTTTCTGAAGTTTTATCTTTAGTTGGCTTCTTGAGTACTTTTTTCTTCGTGGTGATATCAATTTTTCTTGAACTGGGAGGTTTCACTATTGAAAAAGTAAGTTGAACCTTTTTCTTCGGACTTTCTAATTTCCAATTTTCTTCAAGACAAGCGAGTGTCTCTAATCTATCAGATTCCTTCAAATATTTTCTTAGGAAACGTTTTATTCGCGCCGGGCAAGGACGAGGATTATTCATTCTAGCAAACTTAAAAATTATAAGATGGATTTAAATCAATATGCTTTGATACGAGGCATCAATTGAGCTTTCGAAGCCGCATCTCACAAGTAATCACGTGGACATTGAGTTTGTGAACAGATTCGAAAGACTGATGACAGTGCGTACAGGAGAAGTCGCTAGAATGAAGCTTCTTATGTGTGTTCAGAGCTTTCAAGTTGATGAATTTAAGACTGCATTGAGCGCATTCGAAAGTCTTGATTAGAAAATGATAACGCATGTGATCGCGCATGTCGTAAGGCCAGTTGCTGGTATAATTGCAGAATTGACAGAGAAATAGGCGGTTCTCGTGGACTCGGTGGTGAATTTCTAAGGCAGATGATCGAGCAGCCATATAAGAGCAGCTTCACTCAGGGATCGAAAGTTTTATTGAACATAAGGTTTGAGAAATATTTATTTGAAATTAAGATCCGTAGCTTTTAAATTTACATGAGTGGCGTTGATCCTTTGTCGGCACAACTCGTCCAGATCCGTGGAATTTGCTCCTGTGCTGCTTCAAGCACTCTTTCGAATACGCTACGAATTTGCAATCTTCCTTCAAACAAGAAAACTCCCCAAACGCATGTTTCTCGACCATATGGGCCACAAGACAACCTTCAAAGACGTTGCTGGAGAACTTACAGTGTCCCTTATTTCCAGTGCAGTGAATTCGGAAGTCTTTTTTGAGTTCGAAATTGAAGTTCTTCCGGTATTCGTAAAAGAAGTCCCAGTGTTCTCTTGGAAGCCCAACGGTTTTCGCTAGTCTTTTGAATTCTTTTGGTATTGCTGAAGACAGAGATCAAGTAACGCTTGAGCGGTTGTTATACATATTTGATTACGATCGTGTATATAATATAATATGCCGGCTCGAAGAAATCAAGATATGCTTACACTTCTTTTTAAGGTCTTTTTTGGTCAATTCCTTCTTTTCTTCCTTGAAATTTTTTGATTCTGAGTCTAGTTTCGTTCTTTTTGGAGCAGATTGAATAGAAAAACTGAGATTTATTCGTTTCTGCGGCCTCCAGTTCGTCTCAAGCACTTCAAGCGTTTTCAGCCTCCTAGTTTTTGACAGATATTTCCTGACGAATTCAAGTTGTATGGCTTCTTCCATTCTATTTTTTTTCATTTTTGAGATGGAGGTTGAAAACTCTTGTGATATCGAATGAATGAAAACACAAACGTCCCTGGTAAGAATCAGTTTATTAAATTGAAACAAATTTAAACCAATTCGTAGGAAATAAATAAATGAAGAGAGAATACGCTGACAGCTTTTGTTAGACGCCTATTCTAGTCATAATTAAATTGTTACTTATTTTTTAGATTAAATTTTAAGATCCTAAATATTGAAGATTTATAAATTTGAATGCGAAAGAGAATAAATTATACGGGAAAATTGTATTTTTCGATAAAAGAAGCTGGTGGATAAATGGTACAGCATAAACGGCAGTCCACGATTTCCCGGTTGTTTTGTTAAATATAATTTTTTTTTACTGGAGAGAGGCAGTTGTGTGATATTTCATCAGATGATGCTTTATACACTGTACTCAGTCTGTCTTCTAGCACAGAGATCAATAAGTGAAGCGTGATATAAACTTTGAAAAGTGATAAAGTTTTAAAGTGGTTTAATTATTTTTATTTTGTGAACTATCCTTTTGAGAATAATTAAATAAGAATGAGAAAAAATAGGTCACTTTTGACGCTGAAAGAAGCTAGATTTGAAATTTTAAGTAAGCGGTAACGGTTATTCTATTTGTGAGGAGTGGCCTTCTTCGAGCTCGCGTTTTGGATAGGTGGGGATTGTTGGATCACTCCCTGATGAGCAGTGGCACTGGCTGAAGCTGATCCACGCTGCATCCCTGGACGAGGGCCGTACGGAAAACCGAAGTGCTGAAGATTGAGGCCTGGATATTGAGAGAGCAGCCCAATCATTGAAGCGGGATAATGCCCAGCTGGAATGGCCATCCCCTAAATCATAGAATAAATACACCGTCGTCAAGTACTTAAATTGAAAATATCAAAAACAAAAATGAGGATTTATTGAAATCTGCTTCATTTTCGATTCTCCATTTTAACTCCTATTTTATTCACCGGGCGCCGCGCATAAGACCACTTTCAAAGTGAAATTGATCCGATACGCGTTTAAGTATTCACCAGGTGACATACCAGCGAAAGCGCTACTTGTAAGCCTGAGAGAGTAGAGCGCGATACTACTTTGATTGGTTTATTACGATGCTAGGCGCGGATACCGATTGGGAATGGAGTGTTCCGACTCTCATTGCTGCCGAGTTTTGTTGCTCAGACGTTGGAGGCACTGAGCTTGGGATTATTCCACCTAGACCGCCATAGATCTTCGGGTCGTGAGAAGATGGATCGCGAGGCCCACGGGTAAGTCCATTCAAATGTGGGAATGCACCTGGTAGTAAAACTTGGGCCCCGGTAGCGTAAGGAGGAATCTAAAGATAAATTAGAGATGCTCTTTATTTTCTATTGAAGGAGATTAAATTTTGTGATACTAGTAGCTAGATTTATTTTTACCTGGTGGAGAATTTGTTTTGCTTGTGGGGAGGTAGACATGTGCGAAGTAGGCGTTATGACGACTTTAGGCCTGTCGATGTCTGAACTGCGTCTCCTTTTGCTTGCGTTCTTAGGCGGCGAGCCGGTTTGACCGTTGGGAAGTAACTGTGTTTGCTGTGGAGGCGGAAGCGAAGCGGGCTGATTAGGCTGAAGGTGGATCGGATAGTGCGACGCTACAGAGCTGATAGCTTCGGGTGGGGGACCGACGGAGTCTAATTAAATTTCATTAGCGAGGAATGGAAATCATGGACAGTATTGAAATTGAAAAAGATATGATTTATTACCTCTTGGATGACCTTGGGCCTGAATGTGGTGGCCGTTGATTCGCGACTGGTTCATGTCGGAAGAAGGCGAGGATTTAGTTGAATGGGGTGATAGGGGCACTGAGTGAGGTGATGGGTTCGGCTTGGCACGTTGCGGTTGGGATACAGCGGTAGGGTATGGCTCCTAATGAAGTTTTTTAATTGATGAACGTCTTTATTTTGACCTACCATTTCCCTAATCTGGTTTTGATACGGTTTCATTATTATCGAAGGCCGAGGCTGAACGCCCTTCGGGGCACCATTTCCGATAATCGTTTCATAAGCAACTGGCGTGGCAGCATTACTATTAACTGGCGGACGGGCAGCGATTTGCTGAGGCGAGGGTAGAACATTATTCTGAACGCGTTGATTGTCATTCATGGCGTGGATAACAGAGCGGTTGGCCTTGATTTCCGACAGCAGCTCGAGATTGCCCTTGTTCACTTGGGCGACCTTGGCTTCGATCTTGCTGGCCCGCTCGCGCTTGCGGTCCTTGACTTCGCGGATGTGCTGTTCACAATTCGTTTCATACTACGTTTATTTTATAAGTCTGCTTAGCGAATACAATGCAATACAACATGGACAACAAATTTATACAACAAATTTCTGCTGAGGCAGCCTCCCATCTGGAGGAAATTTTCTTTAAAAACTTCATTGAAGTTTTCATACTTTTATGTTGCTCGATAAAAAATCGATTATCTTAACTGTTTACTCTGCCTTTGAATTTTCCCTTTGCGGGAGTCAACTTGAACTTTGCGATGAGCCTTGAGAGTGTCATAAAATCAACAGGCGCGCGCGTGCACGTCAAAACAGGGGCCGATCTTACCCACGCTAACGGCATTAAAGATTCAGTGTTTAAATTACCTTGTTCGAGATTCGATCCCTGTCTGATCTGGCTTCCTTCAGCATGCTCCTGATCGCATTTATCCTATTCTTTTCGTTCAGCGCAATTCGATCCAACAGTTGCTGAGGAATGTTAGAAAAGGCGTTGATAGTATCATCAAACTTCTTTTTGAAGAAGTTTTGCAGTAAGACGGACTTTGTCTGTTCAAGTTGAAAAAAACTAATTTTCATAAATCAAGCTTACCTCATCGAAATGGCGAAATTCTTTGATGCAGGCGCGATCTTTGGACATTCGCTCTTTCTCCACTAAAGTCAGATACTTGTCGGTCCTCTTCGTCGTTTTCTTCGAATAGCTCTTGACCTGCGCGGTGTTAAAAATTTCCAGAGCTTCTCGCGATGCAGAGTCGAAGTTAATGCTACTTCTTCCTCTCTTGGAGCCTGTTTTGGGCCCTCGTTTGGCAGCTGGTGAGTTTTCTCTGGACCGCTGCATTTCCATTTTCTCTGTGGTTTTGATTTGTTTCTTCATTGGTCTCTGTTTGAGGCTTCTCTTTTGGGATTTGTCTGTCTTCTCCGTCTTGACTTGTTCTTTTGCAGCTTCTTCGAAATCAATCGGAGAACTTGAGCTCGAGCGGTCTTTTGTGGAGCTAGAGGCAGAATTCGTGGATCCTTGCGCTAAATAAAACAGTTAGCCCCTGTGAGTCAGAGTGTTACTAGTCAGCAGATATCTATTTCCCAAGTATTTAATTATAACAGCCCAAAATTGATATTTATCGATTAATTCTTACGAAAAGTGAGTTTCGCGTGTTTTTCTCTTTTTACCTTTTTTCGTCTTCGAGGCGTAGTAATCTGCGAGCGCAGAGTGATCGATCACGTGCTTATAAACTTGAACGACGTTGTTCGTCCACGAGAAGCCATCGGCAATGGAGTCCATTTCATGAACTCGCATGAAGCAGCCAATATCATTCCCTGCATTGCGATCATTGATTTTGAAATCAACGGGGCAGAATGCTTTCGTCGAGATAATCTGGGTACCGATATTCATGTCTCCAAAGATCCGACGGAGCTAAATTAGTAATAAGAAATCGATCAAAAGCATATTCCTCTTCTTTGATTTCAAGAGCTCCATGATCAGTGTAAGCTTATAAAAGAAAGCTCATAAATTTATTAGCTATTAAGACGCGCAAACGCCCTGTCCCACGGGAGGACTTGACCGTGGCCAATAGACTAATTATTTCTAAAAGGCGTGTTTTTCTATTCACAAGGGACTCATTCTCGTCTGACAACGGATCAAAGACGTAGAGTTCAGAGACTCGTAAAAAGCAAACAAAAAGGTTCAAGATCAGTAGCTCACCTTCAAGTTCAAATCCTCCGAAAACGCGTAATTGTTTACAAAAATCACAGTGGCCTCTTCTTTCCAGTTGAAGCTGCTTTGTTTCTCCGTCCTTGTGTTGACGTACTCGTTTTTGATGAAGTCGCCGTTGAAGAGATCGTAGTTTCTGTGTTCGTAGCCGTACCACTTCATGATTTTCTTGAAGTTGATGTCCATGTTCTTGGCGTACTGGCAGGGAGTAGGCTGGATCTCGATGCCCACTGATTTAGCCACAGGTGTCATCGCGGAAACCTACAAGGAAGGGCTTGAATGACAGAAAAACAATGCAACGATTTGATAAGCCAAAGTACGATTATCACGCGCCAAGGTGATGAAATCAAGGCAATTACAACACTTTAAGCACTTTCTCTATCCACTTTGTATCCTCTTTCATCAATTTATTACCTGCATGACGAGCGAGCCAATTCCACTACCAAGATCCACGAAGACGTCGTCTTCTGACCATTTGATTGTTTGGATGATTTTGTCCATTTGGGCAAAGTTGGTTTCGCCATAAGTTTCAGAGGTAAAGGACTGATACTTGTTCAGTTGAGTAGGGTCGGTAACGGAAGCGCGATAAACCTGAAAAATTAAATTTAGGATGCTAAGTTTTTATTTTGGAAATCAACGAAGATCACCGAGATAAAAGCTTATCGCCTTTTTTGTTAACTCACTTGTTTGAGGACGTGGTCGAGCGCTTGTGTTTTGATAGGTCTTTTCAATAGTGCGTGGAACTGTTGTGTGCCTCGATTGAGTTTGACGTGTGTGGTGATATTCTTATTGAACATTCTCACGAGAGTCAGCGCCGATTCGAACGTTCTGTACGCTCGAAACTCCTGCAGCTTCGTCAGCAACAAGGATGTCCTGTAATCTGGCAGTTCATTTAAAACTGAAAGCTTCGTTTAAAACATTGCGATTCCGAAATCAGACATTACCGATCTCGATGGTTTCTTCGAGCTCTTTGACACGAGCTCCTAGGATCTCTTTGTCCTTGGACAGGGGCCACCATATTTCCAGGTGCCCTTGACCGACTGGCGATGAGAGCTTGACGCTTTTACCAGCGAATTCTTCGGGTCGAAATTCCATTTGTTATTTTCCGAACGATCATCTAAACAAAAAGAATTCATAGAAGCTTAATTTTAAAAGTTATTAATTTGTTTCATATCATATGGTAAAAAGTTTTTGTGATAATACCGCGATTATTATATATTATCCGCAGATGCTCTGACAAAATATGATTAGATTTTATGAAGAATAAGGAATATAAAGCTTATTCAGTTAAACTGATAATATCAAAAATCAACTCGAATAGAAATAATTGGAAGACAGGAACTGTTCTCTTTGCGAAAAACAGAAACAATGGATATTCATGCGGCTTTGCCTCCCTCTCTATAATTTTTGACAAGTTTTCACCCAGCTCGAGCCGTCCATGTTCAATTATCTCTGAAGCGATTAGCACGATTTCAAGTTCGTCTTTTCTAATTTTGCGGTAGAATCTAACAAAAAGGGAAACTTTCGTTTTAGCGGTTCAGTTTCATGAAAAAATCTTCGTAAACCTCTTCATAAAAAGGAAAAAAGAGAGAGTAGAAGAAAAATATGACGAGAAAGAAAAGTGGGTGAGGAGGCAAGCCCTGTTCGTAAATAGACAAAAGGCAAGGCAAACAGAAGCCATTTACGATGCGCGCGCTAACGAAAGCTAGCGCGGTGGCTTACGCAAACTTGACAAGAAATTTACGAGCGGGTACCCTTAAGGTCTAAAGACAAAGGGAGGTAATTAGACGTCGGAGGCGATTTTGAAAGAGCAAAGATCTGAAGTGCCAGGAGAAGAAAAAAACTGTCGATATACATTTATTGATTCATTACGTAAAACTAATAAACATCTCTTTTTCGACGAGCATACTTAAAAATCGACGAGAAATTAAAATTAAATCCTGAATGAAAACAAAAGATCCAGAATCATCATCGAAAAGTTTCGATAGTTTGATTTGTCAAAGATCGACCCCATAAAAGCAGAAAAAGTAGCAATAAAAAGTCTTCAAAGAGGACCGTCAGAGTTAAACTGCTGTCATAAAATAATTGCAAAAAATAATTGAGTCCTCCCCTGGGAAGGCGCAAAAAAGAATAGAATGGCTCTTCCGCGTTTTTTTCTTTCTTTCATTCAAGGATTCGCGTGAAAAGAATCAATTCTGGATAAAAGCCAAGTGTGCTTGAGACAAATGTCAACAGGCCCAGGCAAGATCTAACACGAGATATTTTTTGAGAATATTCTCTAATTGCTCAGACTTGATGTAGCAATTTTTAACAGTAAATAAGTGAAATCTTTCATCTGATCGATCGATTTTTGAATTCAGCACATGGCTGACGTCATCTTGTAAAATATGAAACAAGTTCCGCATTTAGGGCCGCGCGCCAGGGATCAACGATCGATACCTGCCGAATTAAATTATGTAGCTCCTTCTTCTTTCAGTTTATTTCTTTCGAAAAAACACAACGAAAGAATCGACAGATATAGCGGGATTTAATGACTTGACCTGTTTGGTATGAAATGATGATGTTCAAAATGACGCAAAATGAAACATTTTTTGAGTCGACAATTTAACTGTATTCAACTTGCAATCTTTTGAATTTAGCTTCCCTTTCTGTATGATTTATGATTTACTCTGAAAATGAAGACTACATGTAAAACTTTATAATCAAACGATAATAGAATGTAATTTTCTTTAAAATAGACACTTACCAGCAGTTCAAGCTGTTCAATTTCTTATTTTCTCGCGTTCTTTTCTCCTGCGAAAGTCTTCTATTTCTATCTCTCTCTGTTTTTGCTCACAAGAATCTAAGGCAGCATAAATTCAATTTTCAAGACGCTCTTTTTTTAAATTTCTTTTTTTTCCCTCTCCCGACGACGCGAAACCAGACGCGCGTTGTTCGGGCTCTCGGCCAATCAGCGTCTTCTTTGGGAACTCTAAATTGAAGAGGAGCGAAATCGCGAAAGGGGATGAGCCCATTCGAGCAGAAAGGAGATTTTAGAGAGCTCTAATCGAAAATGACCTTAGGCGGACATTAACCGTTATTTTGAGTCGATAATACTGGTAGTTTTATGGGATCTAACTCGAAATTCGGAGCTGTCCCCGTGTCTGCACACACTTTTTTGAATGCAGCCCGAATTGATTGAGAACCTGACAAATTTGACCGATATCAAATCGGCGATATGTTTATAATGACAGCAATGTTTAATCCTCGTTGCTTAAGGCTATAACCTCTCTTTTTGCCTCTCTGGACAACGGACTTCCCTTGATCGATTTCAAAAATTAAAAAGGCTCATATACTCAAAATCTATCGTAGATTTGAGAAATGCGATCAAAAATTATTTTTTCTTTCGAAATTTCGTTTTTACGATCATTTAAAAAACGCCATTCGGTTTTCCGAAGAACTTTACCATTACAGAGGTAGATTTTTTTCGATCAATAAATAGATTAAAGCCTTCTCTACAATCCCTATGGAAAAAATTTTCGATATCTCTTCAAATTTTCACTCTAGGGCCATGTTAGTGCTGGCACCTGAGGATAAAAATGCGCGTGGACGCGCTGCGCGGAGTGCTATCCTCCAGGCCAGAAAGAGAGCGCTGTTGGCGAGCGTGTGAGTCAAGCGATTTATCGCGCTCTGATTGGCTGCGCGGAGCTCAAGCGTCAGTCTATAAACAAAAGAGTTTTAAAAGAAGAGAGAACTATAATCCTAATTTGGACAATTTCTTATTATTTTTTCCATAGGGATCATAGAATATGCCCTACTTAATATTATTATCGGATTTTTTCTACCTCAGAACTTCCAGTTTTGCCGGAAAACCGAATGGCGATTTTTGAATGATCCTAGGGCAAAAAATTACCGATGAAAAATATTTTTTGGTGGCATTTTTGAATTCTTTAGGAGAAAACAACTATGTATGCCTTTTAAATTTTTGAAATCGACCAAGGGAAGTCCATTTTCCAGAGAGTCCAAAAGAGAGGTTATAGCCTTAAAATTAATTTATTACTTTTGCGAACTTGCTTATCAATTTTTCATCCTCCATCCGAAGCGATGGTCTTTTAGCTCTGCGGCTGTTAAGGTTATTGATTTATTCACCGTCAAGGATGAGCCATCCTTATTTAAACGTTCTATGAAGATTGATTGCAGAAGACGCGGATTCAGTGACTCATTCGTCTTGCCGGGGGAGGTGACTTTTTCTCCCTCAGGCGCGCGAATTTGAATTTTGTATGAAAATAGATTCTTTAGTGTACAAAAATATAAATAGATAGTTAAGATTACAGAGTTTTACAGATGGCGCTTTTCTTCTTTTATTTCTTCCGTGTTCATGTTGATGATTTCCAACACCTCGTCAATGTTCTTCAGCACATCATGGAAGTTTGTCTGACCTTTTTAGAGTTAAAAAACAGTCCTTTTCTGGGGTCGGCGACCCATCTTTCAAAGATGGGAATGATGGGAAAGGTGGGTTAGGGGAAAGGTGGGAAAGATGGGTTTTTGCCTTTTTTCCCTCACCCATCTTTTGGTCTGAAAGATGGGAAAGTTGGGTTTGCAAAAGATGGGAAAGATGGGTATCAAAGATGGGAAAGATGGGTTCGAAAGATGGGAAAAATGGGTTTTACCCTTGAATGAAATTAAATTCGTCCCTCATTTTCTGGAAAACAAATTTTTCCGTTTTTAAAAACCCATCATTCCCATCTTTGGGACCCAACATTCCCATCTTTGTGACCCACCTTTCCCATCTTTTCTGTAACCCATCTTTCCCATCTTTTGAATCCATCTTTCCCACCATTCCCACCTTTCCCATCTTTCGGAAAACCCATCTTTCCCTTTCCCATCTTTTGTTTGAAAGATGGGTTGCCGACCCCAGGTCCTTTTGTTCGATAATTTTCGATTTCTTTTAGTTCTTCGAACTCTTTCCTTGCATATTGGGCGCTGAGATTTCGTTGTGCAGGACATACAAATTTCTAGCAGCGTTTTGAATCGCATCCGCGAGCGTTTTCTCGACCGTCACCATTCCCATATTCTCTCGCTTGACAGTATCCATCAAGGTGAAGACTGTACCGACCTTGTTCTTGACATCGATACCAATGGCGTGAACTCGGCAGGTTTGAAAGAACACGGTGTAATGCAGCACCGCCAGATTTGTGTGAATAAGCTGAGAGACAGTTCTTCAGAGGGATTCTTCAAAGATAAACTTTGTACCTGGGTGCTGACGACGGCGTGTCTGGGCTCGATTTTGACCACTTCCTCATTCCTTGTCTCTTTTTTAGTGACGATCGTATTGTTGACTCCTTCTAATTGAATTTCCCTTGTGACCTTTTGAGTTGAAGTAACGGCCACTCGGAACTCGCCTGAAAGCACATTGAGGTCTCTTTCGATCAAATATTATTACCTTTCATTGCATCAAAATCGGCCCCTGTCGAGAACTTGGCCAGTTGAGTCATCGAAGACAAGTCAGAAGCCATGAGTTTCAATCCAGTCGCCCAGAGTCGTTGTCTCTGATTGCCGTCGAAGAAAGTGAGGAAGGTGATTTTGACCGGGCCAACGATTTCACGATCGATGCAAGCTTGTCCGATCCTCCCAACAGTATCAGCCAAGTCAATGGGCTCAACGGAAGATTGGGGCAGCGACCAGCCCCAGACATCGAAGCGATCGGAGTGTATCTGATCACCAGAAGAGACGAATTTGATCTTGTTTTCTGGAGTGATTTCGATGTCGACCGTGAGATTCGTCATTTCTTTCGTCGCCGGTGCTGCTTGAATTGCTCCACCTTGACTTCCAATCTCGCTCATAAACTTTTCAAGAGTAGGGTATGCTTTCTTTGTTTTCTTGTTTCCAGCAGTGGCGAGTTTTAGAACAGATGGCACTTGCTCAAGGATTTTGTTGAACATCGTCTGTTGGAAACTCTTCTGGCGCCAGCGCGATTCGCCGTATCTTGTGCACTCGCTCCGAAGCTGTCCCATTCCAGGAAGCTTTCTTGCTGGGAAAATGTAAGTCCCACGGCCATCAAACTGAGAATCGAGCTTGATCAGCCACTCATCAATAAAGGGATGTGCCGTAACTTGCTCTGCCAGGCATTCGACAAGCTGTTGGTAGTTGTAAATATCGGTGTCGCCTGGTGGTGTTTCAACTTTTGCTGCTTTGAAGATTCTTCGCGAGCCGGACTTTCCCGAGTACAGTTGGACAAGATCAGGCTCAGATCCATAAATAGGAACGTCGAGTTCGTCAGCAACTGATAACGTGTCTGCGCAAACGTAGCCAGGATAAATAATCGCTCGTTGTCCTTTTATGAGTGATTTTAGGCGACCCATTGCTTCAGCAGAGTACTTTAAATGTTGTGCTAAATTAAGGCAATGTGTCGGGAATTGGTTCATTGTTTCTGGCACGATTATTGTAAACTAAAAATGTTATTAAAATCAAGGAGGAATACAGTCGCTTACTTTTCTGGTGACTTTTTCGGGATCTTTGAGTTGAGCTGGATTACTCGTTTGCACTGCTGGACTCATTCCTTAAAAATAATTATTTTGAGAAGAAGACTGTAATTTTACCTAATAATCTGTTGTAATATCTTTGTAGATCGTCAGTAAAAGGCATGGCTGAGATGAAAATAACTTGCGTATTCGGTTTCGTTGAATCGATCAGCCTTGCCATTTGCGACATTTGTCTTCGTTCAAGATCCTCGATTGTGAATCGAATTTGTCGACGAAAGCCCAGGCTTGGCAAATGGATGATAATCTTTGGCTGCTCGACCCACATGGGCCACTCGATGCGCATTTTGGAAAGTCTTTTGTGATAGCTTTTCAATTGCTCTTTCCGAACTTCTACGAGCTTTCTCTTGCAGCGGCGCATTCGTACAAACATAACCCAGGAAATCGCGATGATGCCAGCAGATTGTTGTTGCCTCCTGTATGTTAAATAAAATTCTCGATCTCTTCGCATCTTGAAGGCGGCAGTTATCATCAGCGATGCTAAGTGTTTTCGTCTCTTTTCACCGGTAAATTGCCGCCCAGGCTTCTTCATTAGTCGTTTAATGTCGTTGTAGTTGTCGAGATAAGTGAGGATCTTGTGAAGAGGCAGTTTGATTGGAAAGCTAATCTCGTGAGTTTCGGCACATTTTCTCAGTCCTACGTAGGTGAAAACAATCAGCGGAATCATGTAGTCTTCGCTGATTTCCACCAGTTTTGGCAAAATGTCACGCTTGATTGTTTTCCACAGCGCTTCTCCAAAGTCTTCCACACATAGCTGCTCGTTATAATTCATTTTGCCACCGACTTCTATCACTACAGCGATCGTTCCTTTTTTCAGAGATATGTCAGAGTACTTTTTTAGCCTCATGCTGGAGCTTTCGCGGACTTTTGCAGCGGGAGTTCCAGGCGGAGGCATTGGAGTTTCGATTGCTTTTACGCTTCTTTCGCCGTACTAAAATATTTGTTAATCAAATAAATAATAAAATATTCCCAAGGGCGACTCATATTTGACCCATATAAAATTTTAATTCTGGAATCAAGGGCACAAAAAGTGTTAATACAGCAACGGGGCGTTCCGGTGATGCATTTTCCCTTTTTAGTGCGCTCTATTTGAGCAATTAATCGCCTAGCTGAATATAAATGCGAGCGATTGCTTCCTAAAGCCAGTTATTTTTTTCATTTTTCAGAAAAAATGCACGTCCAACGACAGTTCACTTGTGAAGACTGTGACATTGACTTTGTCTGCAACCAAGGCAGGAGAGAAAAGCCTTGCCCTGAATGCAATGACATCGTTGACGCTGATCCTGATTATTGGAATATCACTAGAGAATTTTACTGTGATAATTGTGACGAGGAATTCGAAAGTACCAAGTACAACAAGGAGACAATGAAGTGTCGATGCGGTCAGATTCTCAAATGGGAAAAACCATTTGGGAGAATCCAACGCTTTTATTATTGCAGAGGCTGCCGCAAAAACTTTGAATCACTGAACTTCCGGTAATGTTATTAAAAATCCCTATCGCTAAAAAAATTCAGGCAAGATGAAATTGATTGTCCTTACACTCATTGTGAGGAAGTCCTCCATGAGAACAAGAAAAAGACAATCTACCATGGAAAACTTTTTGGTCGATATCGCTGCCCTAAGAAAAAATGCGGCAAAACTTGGTCAAGTGCATATGCATTCGATGGCGAGTGGCAAGAATGCGAGGTAAGAGCAGAAAAATAAGCCATCTTTCAAGTTTTAGAGTTGCAATACAAAAACGGAGCCACATTATTTGATCGAACACGAACGTAATGGTAAACAGGGTGACAAAGAGCATCGCTCTGACCTCTGTGGGAGATGCAAGTCTGGCCGACCATGCCGAGGTGCCCGCTTCCAAACCTCGTACTCTTCCGAAGAAGAGTCGACTGACGAAGAGTCTGTGACTGACCTCATGTACGGGATGTCCCTCAACCATGAATCTGATTATGAACACTACAATGATTATTATTACGACGATTACTGATCAAATAATATTTTTACTGGAAGAAAAGAACAATAAATGATTTAGATCTATAATTGCATCGTTGAAAAAGTTCTCCTACCCCATCTCACCTTTGAATAATCATCCGAACTCATTGTAAAGTTCGGATCGACCTTGATGTTCGGATGCTGTTCATGAAAATATCCTGACGGCGCGTAGTTTGACTCCTCTTCTGCTGATTTCGTCGCTGTGGAATGACCTTTTGTGATAGGACTCGGTAGAAGTTGAATATGAGCAGCTGGAGGGATGATGCCTCGCTCGATCATGTTGAGAATGCCTTTATCGACGTCATCGTGTGTCACTGGAATCGGATCTGTGCACTCTGCCGGGTGGTTCTTTTGAACAGGGTATGATCTGATATTTGGCAAGCCAGTTCTGATTCTCGAAGCGTCCTCAATTGTTATTGAGGATAAACAAGAGCTGATAAGACTTACATGAGACTTGGCAGATCTGGCCCGACCCGTTCTATCGGTCTTGTCCCCGACAGAACTTGTAGCGTCGGTCGTTGTGGCCACCATGGAAACAGGTGGCCCCTCGATTGCGAGACGCTCTCCATTTCCCATCTCGATACCGGAAGCATCGCCAGCTCGGGAAATGAGATTTTCCGGAACACCGCCGCCGAACATCATAGAAGGCTCGACAAGACGTACCGGCGGCAGCTCGGAGAAGTTTTCCGTTGATTTTAAGATGCCATCCTTGAAAATGCTCGAAAATCATCAAAATTAAACTGAATTAATACGAATCAATGAATCAAACAAAAGAAGATTGTTGAATTTGAGCACTATTCCTGAATGGCGACGAGCTTCTCTGCTTCTTGCACGAGAAAATCTGTGCATCCCTTCATAAGGTCGCCGTTTTTAGAATCGGCGGCGCTTTTAGCGAGCTCATCAGAAACACTTTCAAGTTTCTCTCGAAGACGGAGAATCAATTTGCCGACTTCGGCCGTATCCTTTGTACAGTTTCACATAATCAATTACTTTTTTAAAATACAGTGAAAACTCAAATTTCCCCGCCCCATAATTCTGCCGCTTTTTCGGCAAATTGGCATTTTTAAGAATCTGAAAAGAACCCAAAATTCTGCCGCAAATTTTAATCTGAAAACCGGCAGAAATTTCGGTTTTCACTGTACTAATCTTATTTATGAACCTTTGCCTTCATCCCTCAGGATTTTCCTTCAACTTTGCGTGTCTCTCGCCCGCGTGCCGCTCGAACAAAGCGCGAATCTGAACTGAGCTGGACAAAAGACAACAATCCAAAACTTTCTCCTGTTCTAGAGATTCTCTTTGTTATGTGCCCAAATTAGAAAATAGCCCATAGGGACACACACGCGTGTCTGTGCTTGAAGATAAATATGACAAATTGCCCGTCCTCGGTGATTATCTTAGTCAAATTTGCTCACGTCTGAGATTTTCTTGATTCATTTTTCAGCATTAGAAATCATGGAAGAGTATATCTTTGCGGGAAACATCTAAAGCGGGGGAGATAAAAAAGCTAAGCTGGTGGTAGTTTCGTCGAGAGAGAGAAAACACATCAAAATGTAAAACTTTATGATCTGAAGCTCTGATATTTGCATACGTTCATAAAACAGACAGCCTTTGGAGACGAAACTAAATAATTGACAAAATGCCTTCATGATCAAATTACAAGTAGAAAATTTTCTCAGGAATAGAAGTTGATTAAAAAGTTGTAGGATAAGGATTAAAATGAAAACACTGCAGTTTTCAGGCTATACTCCGTTAAGTTTATTAATTGATACTTCCAAACAAAGCCACAGAACGAGATAAATATTATTTTGGCAAGAAACTGCTAATCCCATACTCTTACTTACATGTGTCTTACATCAAGCAATTATGTTAATAACTGATCGTTTACCAGGACTTACTTTTAACACAACAGTTATTTCTAATGTGATCAGCTCAGAAGAACACCTTCGCAAGTTTTAGTGAATTTCGAATGAAGTACACTGAAAGGGTCAAATAAAATAAGTTGTAGATAAGTGCACTTGAATACTTTGTTACAAGAATGGTATTGTAAAAATAAACTGTTCCGGCGGTGGGATCGACCGCCAAGTTGAGTGAGACCACGTGAGGGAATCTAAGCCCCAAACAACCACCGGATTATCCAAACTCTGGAGCCACTGGTGCCTCTGGAATTCTAAGCTCAAAAAGTATCGACTCTTCTAAAATGCCACTGACTTTCCAGTAACCGCTAGCGATCTAACCAAAAGAACTTTCGTTTGCAAACTAATTTTCTGAAAGTTTTTAAATTTGTTCGAACAAGAAAATGTATGGTATGCGAATTGGAATTGAAAATCATTGCCTCGGACAATCTCACGTGCTGAAATAAAGTTGATTTCGATTCTTGTGATGCGACAGTAACAAGGTTAACTCTAGTCGATGCCTCAACGAGTCTGTCGATGATAAAGATGATGTGATTAGAGCTACTGATTAGAGTAATTGATGAATTTATTTTATTAGTTGCGCTTCGACCTCAGCTAGTTCTATTTTTATACAAGCGCAGAGAGTGATCAGAGCAGGCAGGTATCCTTTAAATATTCAATGCCAAAGCTTACTCCTATCAAATTTGAATAAAAATGAGTGCTCAATATTTAAGATAGATATCGAGGTTTGTTTTTTCTGAGGAAATATCGATAACCTGTTTTTTATTTGTTGTTTCGTCCAGAATTTACTAAACTGTTTACCTTTTGATCAAGTTAACTAATCTTCTCCTTTTTCTTTAGAAATAAAAATCCAAACTGGCCCACTCTGGCGAGAGATAAGCCTGCTTCTCTTTCCTGAGATAAAATTGGAAGTCTTTCCCTCGACTGCTTATGGGGAAAATAGACGACTCAGACGAGCGGCTGACGCGCAGCAGCGTGAGTTGGGTCAAATATTACAAGGAAGAGATCAATTATGATATTGCCAGATTCGCTATTATTCAATCGAGGAGTGGGAAACGAAAATTGTTTATTGAGTTTCTGTAATAATTATTGTTGGCCAGTGGAAATAATAATAGAGTTCCTTAACCCTCAATTATAATGATTGACCTTTAGAATAGGAGTTTTCTGCTTACTCAGGTGAGAATGATTATTTTACTATTTTCAATGATGTTTTCTTAATTTTTGTGAGCAAGTCTTATCAATTTTTATTCAAAAACCGCTTAAGTACTTGAGAATCGTGAACATCATTCGGTTGACAGATGTATTTCTGCGTACTCACAGGGCTAAAAAGTCCTCACCCACGGAGTTCATGAGTTCAGCGGAAAGACATTCCCCCGCGGTCGACTTAGCCCTTTGTAATACTCACAAGACGTTGACCTCTGTGGTGCTCGAAAGTGCCATGTCGTTTTTTGTTTTGCTCGCCACCTTATTTTACACGTTTTCGTTTTCACTAGAGCTGCTCTAGTTCACTAAGTGGATACATTTACTTACACGGATCCCATAAAATTAAATCGTTGCTTTATCACGTGTGACCTGTTTTGTTGAATAGCCCGTTTTTCATTAACTCTTAGGTCCGCATGGAAGTGCGTATATCGTAGCAAGGAAGCCGATTCGCCGTCTGTGCTGGGGCGTACTTATGACAATTGGGATACTTGGGGACTGGTTCCGATAAGCCTATCTAGTTTGAGATAGCCAAAGTGATCGTTGGGATTAGCAGAGCGTTCGAGGAACCATTTGGAAAGATCAACCACCGGGCTCTATAAATGCACCTATCTCTATAGCCACAAGGTCAATAACTATCACTACCAGGAGCAATTAAGTCGTCTATTTTGAACGGTCTGGAAGCTATTGAAAGTCGTTGTTTTCACTAAATTGACTATGGACAAAATGTTGAAGTTGGCAAAACTGGGATTATTTTTTTAGAAATGAGGCCAATTCAATTATTTTTCATTTAGACGCGATCGAATTCTGTCCCTAGCAAAGTATCAAGTATAGTATTAGTACGCACTATCTGACCACTCTAAAGCAAAGTACCGGAGTGGCGCGTTCGGCCTCCATTTTACCGTCTGTAGGCTATCAACTATCTCCTCGAGAATTATAATTACGGTGATGAGTAGACCCGCACCTTGGACGTTGGAGAACGTGTGAGAAATTACGCAAACGACGTTGACCCCCGGGAAGGAAAAACCACTAACGGCTGTGCGGTCGCTTTTCTTAAGGACCTGCACAAAGATAGTTTTTGAAAAGTTTTGAAGCTAGAGCGTAATTTATTCAATCACAAAATTCGCCGCTTGCCTCAAGATTATTGTAGAGTTGGAGTATATTTTAAAAGGGAAGCGATTATTTTTGACCGTGACGTAGACAGTACCGCGGCATTAGCAAAATGACAATGGAAGAAACGAATCCCGACTTTCCGCAAATTGCATTTTGCCTCAACTCGTTGCATTCGAGATACGATCTGCAGAGCAAGTTTCCGACGCTCTACCCGCTCATTGGAAATTTATATAATGGTAAACTCATAATTATTCCACGGCCATCGACATAAATAACATGCTGGTGTGAATATCATGTGCCGATAAAAATTGACGGACACGTCACTTTCAGCAAACTTGGTCAATGCGACATTTATTGAAGAGATCGCCAAGAACATATCCGATTATACCGAAAATATAAAGAAGAAATTCGGGCAGGTGCATCAACTTTTTAACCCGGGAATTACTCGTTAATAAACGTGTTTTGCAAAACTCTTACGGAGGGAGTAAAGATACTCTATTTGTAAATTTCGAACTCGTAGCCGAGGAATTTTGTAAGCTAAGTTGTCAATTATTCAAATTTGAGCACCACCTGAGCAACAACCCGAGAAACTACCCAAGAAGGGTTACAAAAGCTGCTTGACATTTGGACGAACCTTTCTCTGAGTAGGGACCGCGTCGGATAAATTCTCCCATGAGCAGCCAAAAGTAACCCAGAGGATAGAGACGTTCCCACTAAGATTCAGTTGGCAAAGAACTTGGATCTTTTGAAGGGCAAGGTTAATTAAATAAAAAGCTGTCTGGCAATTCGAATTTTAGAAAATCACCTTTTACAAAATGATTTGCAATTAAAAAAGCTTGCCAAAGAATATCACGATGCACACATTATATCAAGAAACAAGGCCAGACTTTGACGTTTTAGGTTTCGGGGCACACCTGTCCAGGATAGAAATTTGATGCATCAATTTGGCAATGTTCGTCATATAAGAATCCTCAGGAGATATTGTCTTCCGTGAATAAGCATGTCGATCGGGGCCAGAAGAATGTCGCCTAAGCTGGAAATATCACCTCTTTCAAGAAGGAAGGAATTGGTTTCGCTTCAAACCTACTCGAAGAGTTTCTGCGGAAGTTGTTCTTTTCGAAGATCAAAGAATCTGAAACCAGCGCAACAGTTGCAAAATATACACTCCGCGGAATAGTTCAAGCCTAAATATAGTTCTTGCCTACAACGGTTAGAGTCTGCTCTCATAAAAACTCTAAAAACGCGCCCGTCTTCCGGTGTTTTGAGGGAAGGGGACAGAGTGGACCATAAATAGAATTCGAGTGAACTTTTAAGCATTTTTACCTTTTAGCGAGCGATTGGTCCTCAGGCACCGCTTCCGGAAAACATCAAAGTTCAGGATATTTACAGTAGATATCCTTGAAAAAAGGATGGACT